CCTCGTGAAAAGAATAGTGACCACTAACGTGTAATTCTTGATTGAAACATAACCACAGAGTGAGACTTCTCCCCATACAAAATACAGTAATTATTTTGTTTGTTGAACTAAAAGTATGATTTTATTAGAAAAATAGTTAAATATGAATTTTAGGAAATTAATGATGTAATTTTGGGACGGCGGATTAAAGTTTTTTTTTAATTAAAGTAGCAAAATGAAAAAGAAGTCGCCGATGTGTTGATACATTAGTGCTATATATACACCCATTACCAGACCCATGAACTGCTGCTTCGCCTCCCTAAAGTTAGCCTGAAACCTGCTGCCACAACTTCACATAAACATATATAAAAGGGATTGGCTGTAGATTTATATATGCCGCAGATCTATCCCGTCATCAGAGCCGGCGATGAATATCTGCGAGAGAGAAGACGAGCGCTGAGCAAGATGGAGAAGCAGGGCACGTGCATTATTAACCCCCATCGCCCTCTCTCTCTCCCATGCTTGCTTTACAACAATTTACACTCTTCTCCGTTGTTGATTCTCTTGTTTCTTTTTTCTTACTCCGTCTGCCCAAAAATTATTCTCCGATTTGAATTTTCAGTTTTAATATAAATTCTCTCGACTCTTTTTCTCTTTTTGTGTTACTTAATTAGCTACAAATTGAAGTTATGCCCAAGAATTATGTCTTGCTTTTTTTGGTTTATCTCAAAAACGGCTCCTTATTATATACATATATGTATAAATAATTAATTAGGAAGTGATGATCGATCAGCTTCAGTTGAGCTGATGATGATTCATGATCAGTTGGTGGGGTTAAATTCTTCATGTGCCTTTCTTCTCCATCGTGCACCGCTCGCCTTTCATTAATTTCCATGGCATTCCATCCAGCCGGCCGGGTAAGTCATGTAATCATAATCAGTCTCTTTGTTTCTAAATCACAAGTTCATGTGATCTCCATTCACTTTTTTACTATTTATTATCTCATTAATGATTAGCCATTTGACATTTTAATTAATTTTTTCCTCGTGTCTATATGTATATACACATAACTTTGTATCTGCATGTTATCTAAACTGGAAGGTCCTGATGATCTTATGTTGGAAAAAGAAACCAAAAGAAAAAAGAGCAGTAGAAGAGAATGTCATGGTATAAGGAAGAATTTCTTTACAAAAAAAAAAAAAAAAAAAAAAAAGTGATGGAGAGAGAGGGGCTCTCTTGGTGGAGTTGCATGTGATAAAGATAATATATGCACACAGTCACCATCCCATTTACCATCCTCCAGTCTTGTTGTGGCCATGTTTGATGCTTATGTATCGCATGCATCCCTTTCATCCCTCCATTTACTTCTTTTTTCGTTTTTTATTCTTTTATTTTTAGTGCTAATTTACATGAAGTTGTAATATTCAGTTGATGTCAATAACTCGATGAAATCCCCTCTCACCCGGGAGTTGGTCGTTTGAGTAACCAAAATTACAACGATCAAAGTTCTTAGTGAAATCCTAAAGTATTTGACATTATTTTGATACATAATTTGGTATGCTATAATTAATAAGACAGTTTTAGTACGCAAATTTTTTTAAAGTTTTTATGATGAGTTAATTTCTTCTTCTTGCTGAAGGTCTGGGTTTGTTAGTGAATAAGAAAAAGAGACAAGTGATACCATCAACAATGTCACATCGGATGGGATCATTCTTCTCAAAACAACGTGTATCAAAAACAATTTTACCATGAACCGTCGATGGGATGATAAAAGTCAGCTGTTCTGAGAGACTAGAAACAAAAGCAAAGGAAATCACGTAATATTATTGATAAGAAACCTTAATACTACAATTTTGACGTATGTCACGATCGACGTATACACATACCATTTGGGACAAAATTTGCAAGGTTTTTATTTCCGCAGATCGATGCCTTTACACTCCATAACACGTAATTACTTAGGATCTCTTGATATTCCTGGCATTGGTACTTTTCTTTTTTTTTTTCTCTCCCATCCTTATAGCGATTACTCTCTCCGTCCCATAATTATTGTTCAGTTTAGGTTTTTATTTTTAGTTCAAATTGTACTAAAAGTGAGATCTCAAATTAGACAATAATTTTGAAACAGAGGAAATACTATATTGCATCATAATGAAATTAATCGATCGAGCGGGATATAATATCGAGCGCGGACTCGGTAAAAAGTAATCATACACTTGTAATAGTGATTCAAGGCACATACAACTATGCTCCTCACTATAACAGTGGAGTTTCCATCGCGTAAGTGGTTTCATTTGATTTGAAGAATTCGGTTCACTGTTTAAAATCTTAAATGGCACTCCCAAACCCCTAAGGGGGAAAAGAAAGAGACAACACAATAGTAGAAATTGAAGATGTCTATTTAATCTTAGATGAGTGCAGCTTTCTTAATCATCTACTATTTGATATAAGTAAAATCCTTCTCAAAAATAGATTATTAATGGTTGGTGGAGGTCAAGCAGCACATCAATTATAAACTAAGATGGGCATGCAATTCCCAACTGGACGTGACCATCTTGCCGGTAATTTATTAATACTGCTTTTCTCTTGTTCTTTTTTTTCTTTTTGAATTTTTGTCTCATTTCCCACCATATACCACGTATTCTAATTCATGCGCATGCCTTTTTTCTTTTGAGTTAAATTGATGCGCATGCCTAATATATACTCAGATGTTTGAAATTTGTAATCGGAAGTTGGTAATTTATTGATTGAATTCCTTAAAATTTTCATAAAAAGGGTGTTTTTATAGCATTTTATAATAAAAGTAAAATTAAAGAAAAATTCTAATTCCCTTATACCATTTTGCATCATCCTTCACGTTCATTGGAGATTGTGGGATATCAGTCTTAACGCTAGCGGCTGGCGTGCAACCGATGCAAGAAGCGTGCCAATGCAACAGGAATTCTAATACAAATAAAATATATTAAGGGAAAGAAGAAAGAACAAAACTCACTTGGTATACATACATAATGGAGTCAGTCAGAAAGTAACCTAGAACTGAAATTTGATTAGCATACAATTAAATCTCAGGTGGGACGGCAGCAACGAAATGAACCGATTTGTTGGGCAGCAGACAATAAAATAAAATACTCCCAACTCTAAAATACAGTCTACCTAATCAAAATCGTTCAAAAGGGGGACTATAATTTTGGGGTGAGCGGAGTACCTGGATCTTGATGACTGCTGAGATGAATGATTTTATAGGAAGTTAAAATTATCTACGTGTATTTATTTGGGTTAGAAGGATGGATATGGTGGATATGAGATAGTTAGTGCTTGTTTGGACAATGTTTTGTTTTAGTTTTTGATTTAGATTTGAGAAGAGATTTAAAAGGTAATTTAGTTTTTTATTTAGAAAGTATTATAGTATAGTGACCATTTATGAAATTAAAATAATTCATCGACCAAAATAAAGATTTTATAATAGTATAACGACCAAACACAAGACTTTACAATAGTTTAGTGACCAAATACAACACTTTACAATAGTTTAGTAACCAAACGCAATGAAGACTTTACAATAGTTCAGTGACCAAAACGAAGACTTTATAATAGTGTAATGACCAAACATAACATTTTAAAAGGTAAATTAAAAAGTTATTTGGATGATATTTTTTTTCATTGGGTTTTGTGTTTAAGAGGTAAAATGAGTGAAAATGGAAAATGAGTTATTGGACAATCAAACACTTAGTAACTTTGGGGTGAGTACCTTGATCTTGATGATTGCTGAGATGAATGATTTTATAGGGAGTTAAAATTATTTACATGTATTTATTTTGGTAATAAGGATGGATATGACAGATGTATGGGATAGTTATTGAGAATGTTAGTGCTTGTTTGGACGTTTACTTAATTTTCATTTTTTTACTTAAAAGTGAAAAGTATTTTAAGTGTAAAACGTAATGGGAAATGAAAAAATTGTTTGGATGGTATTTTAGCAAAAAGTTGTTTAGATGGTGGTTAGGAAAATTTTTTTGGGATATGTATTAAAATATCAAGTACGAAAAATATCACTAAATAATTGAAAAATATCAATTTTAGTCACTGTAAAAAATAATTTCAAAAATAATCACTAAACAACGAAAAAGTGTCGATTTTGGTCACTATAAAATGATCACTAAAAATTATGGAATAACTTCTAAAATTAATATTTTACAGTGACTAAAATCGATATTTTTCCGTTGTTTAGTGATCATTTTTGAATTTTTTTTACAGTGATTAAAATTAACACTTTTAGATTGTTTAGTAGTATTTTTCGTACTTGATATTGCAATACATATTCCAAAAAACTTTTTCCTAACCACCATCCGATTGAGCCTTGGTTTTTTTGACTAGAGGCAATATGAAATAAATGTGCAAAGTTTTGAATTTAGTCACTGAACCATTTTTAGTTCAAAAATGGTTACTGCACTAACAAAATGTTTCAAATTTGATTTTAAAATATAAATCAGAAAGTTGTTTGGACGTCGGTTTTGTTTGCATTGGGTTTTGTATTTAAGAGGTAAAATGAGTTGAAAACGCAAAATGAGTGAGCGTCCAAACAAGCTCTTACATTGGTATTGAAAGGTTGTATATCAACATATAAGTATTTCTCTTGTTGCAAATTGATTTTTAAGTGGAGCCCTATAAATTTCTACCTATCAAAGTCAAGTTGTCAAAAACAGATTCCAAAAGATAATACAATTAGATATCAATATATAAATATCGTGGTCTACTCTATTTATTGCCAATCGGTTTTGGGTGGAATCATATAGGTTTGTATAATAGTTAATCGAACCAAGAATCGGGTACTTTTTCTGAAAGTGTAGCAAAACGCTTCCCCTGGAACTCTGATAAAATTTGCTCAATTTAGGTAGTAGACTCCAACCTATACCAGCCGAGAGAATTCCTAATAATCAAGAAAAAAATTGCTTTCGCATTACTGACTCCCGAGTCCAACAAGCATTACTGATCCATATTGTAGATGCGTATACGACATATATGATTTCTTAATTTAGTAACATTGGATTTAATAAGATGGAGAACCGTTGTCCCTCTTAGTTTTACTAAAATTCACAATTTGGCAATGACATACTATCCGGAGAAGGGGGCGCATCAGGAAGGTGAAGATGTGATTTGCAGTCAATTTCAAGACCAGATTTTTTAAGATGTAGTAATTAACAGTATTGTTTTGCACCAAAATATACAAAAAGAAAATTTTACAATTTCATTTTTCTTCTATCATCATATCCTGGTAGATGTGCGAGTTTTTGTGCAGCTTCACTCCATTCTTTTCCATTTTACTTACAATTGATCTACCCAGAATCAATTCCCCATTCCGGCAACAAGCACCCAAGATGATGTTATACGTATTCAAATCAGGCCGACCCCCACCAACTTCCTCCATGCAATCCAACATCTTTACCGCCTCTGCCAAATTATTCCGCTCGCAAAGGCTCCTTATCTTTGCATTAAAACTGAAAATATCGGGAACCAAACCCCACACGAGCATTTCATCAAACAGTTGGTCTGCTTTCTCGTGCTCCCCTTTCTTCACCAACCCATTCAAGACCCAGTTGCAGCAAACAATGTCGGGTCTTAGTCCTTCCCTTCTCATCTGCTTCAAGACAGCCATAGCCTCCAAAGCTTCACCTCTTTTCACCATAAATCCAAGGACGTTGCACCAATCACCCATGCCCGGAACAAATCCCGCTAATGTCTTCATCTCTTCAACGAAACCCAAAACGTCATCGTCTTTCCCCTCGCACATTCTGGCAATTACCCGAGAAAAAACATTCCTTCCTAAATCAAACCCGTCGTTCACTGCGGATTTCAGTAGTTCAACGGCTTGATTCACCTTTCCGCCCCGACACAGACCCGTAATCAGAATATCAAGAGTCGAGCTTTCCAGCCGAATATTCATCTCCCGAGCGCTCCTTGTCAAGATTTCGGGTACAATTTCAAGACCCTTTTCGTTCCCATCAGAAAGAAGACCGGAGAGTAAAGCATTCAACGCATCCACAGAAGGGTCGGATCGGAATTTGGGAATCCTGAAGAAGAGATCCACCGCGTGCCGGGTCATGCCACATTTCGCATAATACTTTATCAAATAGATGAGAATGTAATCCGGTGTTTCAAAGGTCGCAACTTTCTCGAGGTGATCAACAACCTGTGAGATCTGGTGCTCCCAGTTTTCGGGTCTTTTTCGGGTCAGGGTTTTGAGCATGAAATAATAAGCATTGGGAGTGGGTTCGCAGCTGTAGGCGGCAAAGGAGTGAATGAGTGTGGAGAGAAGTTGGGATTCCTGATCAGCTGATGATGATTGGTTGAGGAAAAGCTGCATCGACAGTTGATGGGCTAAAGATGACTGTTGCCATTGTTGGGTTTTGTAAGGGGAGTTTGGGAGTGGATATTTCCTCCTTTTTCTGAGGGAATAATTGTGGAAAGAAGGCGAAGGAGGCCTTGAGTGTATGGATAACGATTGGAAGAAGATGGACATGATAAGGGGGAAATCAGCAGTACTGTTATGGAATTGTTTTGATTTCAACGCTCCAACTCTCGCCGGCGAGAACATCTCCGATGACCGATCGAATCTCTGTAACTTGTCCCGCTCCCGTTTGACTATGTGCATCCGCTATTTGGAAGTTCTCTTTTCCGACCCCTTCCCACGTTATATAGTTGCAGCCAATTTCATTTCTTTTACTTCCTTACTACAGTTACTTTTCCTTTTTCAAATTGTAAGTTTACTTTGATTTGCATAGGAATTGTTCAGTTTTGAATTGTTGCTTACAACTTCTACAAAAAAAAAAAAAGGAAAAAAAAATAATAATTTTAAAATTGATAATCATTTTAGAACCGAAAGTGTAAAAATATGTTTTTTTTTTCTTTTTCTGATTATTATGGCGTAAACAGTGTGTTTCCTTATCCAGTGATTAATCGTATAAGAAACTGTCATACTGATGCTCGCACTTGTTCTTGATGTAATTAGAATTGAGAATAAATCTGTTGTTCCTCTACTTGAATTAATCGGCCAACTTGACAACTCATGAGAGGTGGTATCTCTCATTAAACTAAGCTGATATCCTTCCTTTTCCAAAAAAAAAAAAAGAGGCTAACATTAATCTCTGTTCCAATAAATTTTACTTTTACAAATAACAAAGCGTCTATAGTTGATACTCCATCCGTTCCAAAATAAGTGTTATTCTAGATTTTACACACAGTTTAAGAAAACATTAAATAGGATAACTAAATTACTGGAATATCATCAACCAACCTATTAAAATAAATGCTCACCAATAATATTATTTCTTTTGAAGGTTTGTTTGGAAATTTTTGAAAAAAAATGCATTGGAATCTGAAAACGACACTTATTTTGGAATTTCTCCATTTTGTCAAAACGACACTAATTTTGGAATGGAAGAAGTAATACTTAGTATGATTAATCTCTTCGCTTCGCTGAGACCTAACCGATAAAAAAATATGAAATGAGTAACTGTAACTCAATCACGACTCTTTTGGTTGAAAACTATTAATTAGGCCTATGGTACAGTCTTAAAGGTTAATTTGCGGAGTTTTGTGTTACAAATCCCTTCGGCTGATGGGCATCGTTGGACCAAACATCAGAAGTTCCTAATAGTTTACAGTTATATCTTGCTACAACCTAAGGCCCTAAACTAACAAGTCCATCATGGATTCATAGTCCATACATTTTACATGCCCGTCAACGGCAATGACACGGTACCTAGAATCCGCCCAATCTAGCTGCGTAGAAAGAAAATTGCTCCTCTCTTCGCCTACTTGTCAAACCAAAGTGGTTGTGATGGAGTGTAAGGGACTCCTTCACCCTCAATCATAAGTCGAGGGTTCGAATCTCACCATGAGCATGGAGGAACCTTAAAATACTTTGGCCAACTGTCTCATCCATCGAGGTACCAGTGAGGAGATTAGTCATTGTTACTGATAGTGAACATCCTGTAAATATGCACAAAAAAAAAAAAAACATGCTTGCCAGTTGCTTCCAGTTCCAGCTATCATCAAGTCCCATTTTTCTTCATTCCTCCTCTTTGATGAGATCCCATACGTGATAATGCATAATTATCCAGAACCCTACAATTAATTTATTAATCATAACTATTTAGTTGGAAATGTTCGTTTCGTTTATAAAATACTACTCTCTCCGTCCCAAAATTACTATCCACTTTGAATTTTCATTTTTACTACAAATTAAAATAAATTTGACAATCGAAACTAAGTAATAATTTTGGGATGGAGGGAGTAATATTTTATATTATAAGCTGAAATCCATAATCAACATGTATGTTCTTAGTTGATACTCCACTTAATGACTTGATGAGATTCTTAACTACATTTTTCCCCTCTTAAAATTAGTTACAACAGCTGTTACTTGTTAACATGTACTCTAATAAACAAATTGATAAATGACATCCTGTGGAGCACCAGCTAATTTAGTAGCGATGATTAATGAGTTGGCCTTTTAAAGTTTCAACAATGAACTCACTGCTTATAAGTGCGCCTGTATTTGCTCTGCTATTATAAATATTTGTACCGTTAAAACCAAGAACAACTAAGTAAAAGTAGTTAATTGTCTCAATAATTTAGTATATACTTACTCAAATTAAAAGCCATTTTCTAAAACACAAATTACGACTGCCGATTATTTTAAAGCTTGGTACATTTATTTCATTTTACTAATTAAAGGATATGTAAGGAGTAAGATGCCTTATAAAGAGAATCAAACAAATTTTTTAATGTACACCTTATAAATAAGATCAGAATATGGATTTGATATAATAATTTTATGATGAAGGAGAGTCAGTGGTTATCACAAACAAATGCCTACGTGTTAATTGTTTTCACAAAAATGTGTAGAAGCTCTGTCCACACGTACCAACACATGTATACATACATTCTCATCACTAATCTGGAAATTTCACATCAAGGGAAAGACTTTTAACAAAGTTTTAAGCGGTTGACTTGATGAAGTCTTTCTTTTGATTTTTTCTAACTCAGAATATATATATATATACTATTTGTAAGTAGTAGTAAATGAAAATGTTTAATCGAAAAAGGCTAACAGTTGACTTTTAATCTCAGAAAGCAACAATATGATTGGTTGCCAGTTGCATTAACAAGTGACTCCCTCCAAATAGTATACGTATTCAATAGTCAGAAATTGGAGCTGAATTTTTGGTTGGATGCACTAATTATGGATAGGCTGGCGATGGAATGTATGAATTAATGATTAATTTGATAATGTAAATTAGTCAGAGTAAGAATTTACGATGGGGACTAACACCTTTAAAAACAGCGTCAGCTCAGCTAACAAAATTGGAATAATCATTTGTAGTAAATGAAGGTAATTTTTGTTTTTTTTGGAAATAAAATGAAGGTAAATTGATTAACTAATTCACTATCATACAGCGAATTAAGGTAGGTGTGTGTTATATAATCTCAAAACATCTTCTCCTTTCAAATCACCTTCTTCTTGGCCTTGTTCAAATAAGAAATCACAGAGCACGTATCCAGATTATAGTATCCTCCCTCCCCATGGGGCAAACGGTTTACCCGCCAACCGCCGGAGCACCACCATCGTCACCGCAACTCGGCCACCAGCCACCGCAAGTGAATTACCAGCCAACTGCCATATCAGCACCGGCACAACCACCGGCCCAACCATGCCATCCTCCAAACCCCCAAGAGTCCAACTTTTTCCCCTCAGCAGGCATTTATGCTAATGCAAGCGGATACACGGGTCAGCCCCCCCACCAACTTTATCGACAATCCAGTTACATCTCAGGAGACTATCAAAGCGAGAAGGTTGTAGCAGCAGCTTATCAAACACCTTCGCCGGACCCGGTGGCTCAAACACATTATGCAACCTCCTCCCAAACCCCCAGTGAATATCAGGCTCATGCAACTACTGGATACCCGGCCCAACCACCTACTGTAATCATGAATTCCCCACTGGGTCAACAACAACCCGGTTACACCACACCCACAGTGGTCGTCCCAGCAAAATGTCAAACTGAGCCTGTTATGGGCAACCCGATACATTCGCCGATGCCCATGCCCCAACCACAGCCTATGGCTATTGTTCACCAGCTCGGTCGACAATCAAGTTACATACCGTCGGTGGTCGAACAGCCACAATCCGGCCCGTATTATCAACCCACCCAACAACTGGCCGGCGGTGGGTACGCTGCAAGTGGAAGTACATATCAAGCACAGTGTTTCCCACCCCAAGAAGTGGTTTACGGTGGACAGTTCAGTAGTTACCCGGCGACACCGTCAGCAGCACTGGTTCCAGCGGAGCGCCCGGCGGGTGGTGGTCTTCAATATTCGGTCATACCCAACCCGGTTCCAGTCGTGGGGCTCCAGTACTGCCTTCCTCGACCCGTTGAGTTGATGATGGTGAGAAAACTGACGCTAAGCAGCGACTTCACGGTGATGGATGTTGCCAGGACTCCGATATTCAAAGTCAAAGGCAAAGTGGTTGGGGACAAGCGTATGCTCTTGGATGCAGCCGGAATCCCGGTCTTCTCCCTTAACACTAAGGTCAGGTCAACCCCCCAAATTTCATTCTTAATATATAATCTAATCACTCTGATTTGGAATGATCAATAAATTCTAGGACTATTTGGGTGCAGCTATTGTCAATGTACAGGAGATGGCAAGTGTATAAGGGGGCAAGCACCCACCCTACGGATTTAATATTCAGTGCCCGAACCTCCTCCGTGGTCCAGCTCAAAACCAAGTTAAACGTCTACTTAGCTAGCCGGGTCACCGAGGATTTTTCTGATTTCAAGGTCGAAGGCAGTTGGAGCGACGGATCTTGCACCGTTTATCTTGGTGAAACTCCAACCGTTGCTGCTCGTGTAAGAACTATATATTCATCTCTCTCTACCCAGTATACTCTCATTTTTTTTTTGTATCATCGTTGTACGTAGTTGAACCAACCATCTTTAATCCATATATTATTGCAGATGAACAAGTTGGACAATGCTCAAAGCTACTTCCTAGGGAAGGACACTTTCATGATTACTGTCTCTCCCAACATCGATTACGCATTTGTGGTGGCTCTTATTCTCATCCTCGATGCCATCAACAGCACCAATTCCAACATCACCACTATGGCTAGTTTGTTCCTCGGAATTCCAATCAAAACCTAAAAAACATAAGTATTTGTCTCCACCAGTCATTAATTTTTATACAGGGACCCTGATCATTTCTCCTTTGTGTATCGTTTCAGTTTTATATGATGTCTCTGAAAAGTTTTATAAACGCACAAATACTTTTTTTGAGGCCCATGATGAAAGGTTGTGGGGAATTTGTGATGAACATCGATTTCTATATATATATATGCACATTCTGATCCAGTAGAGACGTAGTATGTGTTTCCAATGGTTAGGGGTATTGATTCACGAATCATTATGAATCCCGAATGTGTGATCATCACAAATTGTACCAGGGAATACTAGAGTAGATCGGGAGAGGTATTAGTCGGTATCTCTAAATCATATATTTCTTCTTGCCGAGATGATTGTTAAATTTGTTATAACAAAAAGACAGCCATTTGAGACTCAAGGAGTGAGTTTGAAGCAATATGTTCTCGGATCAGCAAGTCTACCAAGGGGAGTTGTTTCCGTTTAACGATCATCGATTGATTAATATTTCTTTTTATGTCATTATTACCAAATTATTTTTGTACAGATTTATCTTTGGTGTTTGCCTCTTTTGATGAATCTCAAAAAAAAAAAAAAGCCCCTAAAAGATGTAATTTGGGTAGTATAACCCGCAATGTACCAACTTAGTTGGTAGACGTGAGTTTCTTACTATTGTAACAAAAAAAAAAAAAAAGGTTGTATCAAAAGAAAAATTATATGTTATTTTCAAGCGACATGAATATAATTATAATGTGCAATGCGATACGTTTGTTTTTTTCTCTACATTTAATAAATTTTCACTTTGTTGAATCTAATTAAAATGGAACAATAGGAATATTGAAAAAACATCTTCCACATAACAAATAACAAAAGTAATTTAGAAAGGAGGGAATATTTGTTCATCCTTGTCCTTCCACTAAAGTGTACGTAATGTTATTGGTAGATAGCTTCACCAGTAACTAAAACGAAAAATAGTTTAAGCGATTTATAAAAGTGGGAACTAAATTAAGTCGGTGCGATGAAATCTCAATGCACTTTGATTGTTTTTGTCGCTAATCTGGATCTCACATCCATCTTGTACTTGATTTATGTAATTCAAGTAATTTTACCATTTGTTGCTTCGTGCGTGATTGAGAATTGAAATTTATAAGTCAACTTCTTAGCAAAGGTAAAGATGCTATAATTAGTAAGGCATAAATGATCTCTCATTTATTGTAATAACAAAAAAAAAAGGTTATAATTACCTTAATCTACTTAATGATGATCAAAATTAAATGAAACGCAGAAAAGCCTTCTTGTTCTTGGATATATTGGCATCGTTCAACATTAAGTTATTGATTGAAATTTGAAAAGGTTTCCTTTTCTCAGAAAGAACAAGTAAACTAGCTGCATACATATATGATTCTCAGATGTGAATAAGAAGAACTACAGGGAAATGATAATTAAAATGGCAGTTGTTTTATTTTTTATTAATTGGAGACTAGCTAATTAATCAAGAAAATGACAATATTAATTTTTGGTCTCCAACTCAAAGTCATAGTTATGGGAGCGTTGATATTATGCATCATCTGCACTGCTGATGGCATCGAGGATGAGAATGAGTGCCACCACAAATGCATAGTCAATGTTTGGATTGACGGTGACCATGAATGTGTCTTTTCCTAGGAAGAAACTCTGAGCACTGTCTTTCTTGGACATCTGCAAAATGCCAAAATGATATATAGAACGTGAGATCGATCATTCAACCATATCCGTTCATGGAAGTTAATTAGTGTATATAATCATACGACTAAGTACTACTGGTAGCTTAGTGGTACTTGACATTTGAAGCTAATTAGAGCATATTAATTCAAAGTTGTACGTGTTTGTGCTCGTCTCACTTACTCGAGCCGCGACGGTTGTGGATTCTCCGACAAAAACCGTGCAAGATCGCTCGGCCCAGCTTCCTTGGACCTTAAAATCGCAAACATCCTCGGTTGTCCTGTTGGCTAAGTACACATTTAACTTGGTTTTCAGTTGGATCATGGACGAGGTTCTCGCACTGAATATCAAGTCCGAGGGGTGTGTGCTTGCACCCCTAAACACTTGCCATCTCTTGTGTGCTGACAATATCTGCGGATTATTAATTGATCAGCAAAATGAATGTACACCGTGTAGTACGTACTACTATAGAGTATAGACTATACTTTAAACCATTTATCTGTAACTCCTTCCCGTTCCAAAATTATTGTCTAATTTATATTTTCATTTTTAGTATAAATTGAATTAAAAGTAAGGAAGTATGATACGAGTATTGGGTGCAATGACCATATTTAATTACCTTATTGCTGAGAGTGAGAACAGGATTTCCAGCCGCATTCAAAAGAACCCGCTTGTCATGAAGGCTCATCAGCTTGCCTTTGACTTTGAACATCATATTATTCTCCACATCTGTTACCGAGAAGTCGTCGGTTAGAGTCATGAGCTTTCGGACAATCATCAAGTCAACGGGTCGAGGAAGACAGTATTGGAGCCCCACTACAGGGATCGGGTTGGGTATGATCGCCTGACTCGGACGCTCCGCCGGAACTGTGCAGGTCGATTGCTGCTGTCGACTGGGCGGCGGCGGTGGGTAAGCAGGCGGATAAGCGGCGGGTGGTGGTTGATACGCCGCCGGGTATCCAGCTGGAGCTGCTGGTTGAGCATAATAAGTACCGCTACTGTGCTCGTTGACCCCCTCCACCTTAGTGGTTGGATAATAATATGGTGGCAGCGGCGGGTATATCGCTTGCGGTGGCGGTGGTGGTGGTGGTGCGGCGGTTGGCGGGTAAAATGTTTGGGCAACTGGTGGGTAATTGGGATGTGCCATGAAGAAACAAGATTAGGCTATTTTTGAAATGTAAAATCTACGTAGGAGTACTTTGGTTTAGCTTACAAAATGAGGCTTATGCATGGACTGCACTTATAAGAACGCCATTCGAATTTTCTTTTTTGAAAAGGACGCCATTCGAATTACTAGCCACTCTACTGCCAAGATTGATTGGCTTATAAATTAATTAGTAATTACAACACTTGTTGATGCATGTTTAAGGTCAACTCTTGCTTCAAGAAGACTAACAAGTCATTCTTTATGTTAAACTCTAGTTTTGAAGTCATCTCCGAGTTAAATCACATTGGGATTTGCGTACGCTGTCGACAGTTTGGTTGTGGAGGAATAATGCTCAATTATTTGGGGTATTAGGAAGAGTGCTGTTGGGGAGGCAAGCTAATGGGACGATTGGATGGATCTCTCCTCTTGAATGGATGAAAGTTGTAGGATATTATGGAGCATGCCCCCGAGAGTGTTAAGTTGTGATAAATGTGTAATGTGATTAAATATTTCATAATGAATGTGTTTAATTTATCCTTAATTTTGTTAGGACATGTTCGTATATGATCTTTAACTTCAACGACCATGTTAATTTAGGTACAACACATAAGTGTTAGCTAGCCGGTAGCAAATCAATGGGAAAAGGAAAATAATCACGACGATGGCTTACTATTATTACTTAATAAAACTCAAACCATGTCAACCTCTGTACGTGCTTGACTAACTTAAACCATGCATTTGCGCTTCTTTTTAATAGTTATAATGACGACATTTTCATAGGAAAATGTGAATGACTGACAAGGTTAAGAAGATAGGACTAATGTCAGTGTTAAGGCCTGAAAATTACAACGCTCCGTGGACATGGAACACCAATGCAACCTAATCAAACCATTTTACGCTTTTCACGACGCAACCAATACGTGGGTGTTATAATCTAAGTTCCTGATTGAGTCAGTCCACGCGCTTCTCCATTTGTCCCTTTCCTAAATGTACTAGAAAATGGAACACTTTTTGCTATGTCAAAGGTGGTTAGGGAACCTTTCATCTATTCAACAATTTGAGCAAGTTGTTGAACATTATCGATCCGCGTACAAAATTATTATCAAGTTGATGATGGAAAAGAGACCCAAATCAACCGGTGGACAACAAAAGAAAATAGTGAGCTTGATACTTAGTCAACTGTTATCAAAATGATTTATTAACCACCGAGTATCGAATTTGCTGGGCAAAAGAAGCACTAAAATGTGTACTATACAGGAACTGGATTTTTCTATGGATAAATAATTTGCGCTGGAAGGAAATGTTGGATGAAGACCTTAATTTTTTAAGGTATTGGGTGAATTTTGATTTTTTGTTAATCTTTAATTTTTTTTGCATATTAGTATTTAAGTAAGAAATACAATTATTATACCAAAAAAATATGGATAAACAGAAATTATGAACTAGCTAACTGTTTAGAAAAATTATTTTTCAGAAATGTCCTGACAAAAGGATGTCCAATGATATCATGCCATGTAGTTAATCACCTAGACGAATTTAATTATTTTGTTTGGTTTGGGTTTTATTAATTAATAAAAAAATTTAATGTAAATAATTGAGGAAATAACCTTTAATTTATAAGACAAGGTTTAGAAATTTAATATAACGGAAAAAACATTTAAAAATCATATGTGATATGATATCATTGGGCTTCTTGACAAGACAAGGTGTCGTCAAGATATTTATGACAAATGATATTTTCAGCCAACACAAAAAAGAAAGAAAAAAAAATAGAGAGAGCCTGTCACGAACCGGAATTTTGACGACAAGGAGGGGAGCGGGGAAATCCGGTAATCGAAGATTCAAAGGGAAAGAAATGCAGAATTAGGGTTCTAAGGGGAAGAGGGAATTGGGATCGGCACAAGAAGGAGAGAAAATTCAGATATTCATTTCATGGAAAATTGGCCGATCTACTCAAAATTTTACATGCATTGTCAATTCTACCATATTCTTTTTCGATTAGCCAATATTACTCTAAACGATTCAACCGTTAGCCGATTTTGTCCAATTTGCCAATTTCCTTTTGAATTAACGGATTTTCTGTTAGTTTTAATTATAAAAATACCCTAATAATTTTAAAAATTATTAAAATGACCCTAAAAATTTATAAAAAGAACAAAATAGTCTTTTTTCACTTTTTTATTTAATTTTTTATGTTTTTTTATTTGTTTTTACTATTTTTCATAACTATAAAAATATACTATATGATCTTTTAAAATAAAAATTTATTTTTAAACACTACTGCATAAATTTATAGATATACATATTTGTAATTCATGTTTGATTTACATAAACATACTAATTTTTTTAATAATATGGCTAGAAAATAATGATATTAGCTTTTTAGTCCATTTTTTTTCAAATTATAGAATAAGATTTTTTTTTACTAAAACTAATTTTTAACAAAAAATTAAAACATTTAGCATAGATTAAAAAATAATCGGCCAATTTTTCCGTTTCATGAGAGTAGATATAAGATTAAGTCTCACCAAAGAATTTCTAACCAGGAGAGCGATTTTATCCATATTTAAACGAGGTCCACTAAGGTGAGAGGATTAAGTTAGATGGTCGGGTGATTTAAGATGTGAGATGAAATTACTGTGTTCAAGGTCTCGATTCTCACCGAGGCAATCTAATATTTATTTTTTTTTTTAAAAAAAAGGTGGAGTCCAGTACTTGAATAGATTTTCTTTATATTATTTTTTCTTTAAAAAAAAAAAACTTTCTGCTAAAGTTAGATATATTAATATCTCAAAAAATTATCGCAAAATGTTAAACCCTCGCAATGATAAATATACATGTTTTTTATAAAATATTTTGTACCATTTTTGTAAATGCCACGACACTAGTGTTGGGCCAATGTAGAAACGAAATAGGTTTTTTTTTTTTCTTTTACTTTCTTTTCGTACTTGGCCTTTTACAGAAAAATTTATATTTTAGTTTTAATTATTTTAAAAATTTTATAATACAATTTAAAGTCTGTTGAATTAAATTGTAGTACATTAAAGTATACCAATAACTTCTTTTTTAATCTTTGCTAAATGTGTTATTTTTTTGTGCAAAATTAGTTTTAGTTAAACAATCTTATTCTTCAGATTGAAAAAAATGGATTAAAAAAATTATATCATTATCGTTAAACCATATTATTAAAAAATTAATATGCATATGTAAATCAAATATGACTTAAAAATATGTAATTATAAATTTGTACATTAGAGTTTAAAAATAAATATTTTTTTAAAAAGATCATATAGTATATTTTTATAGTTATGAAAATAGTAAAAAGAAATAAAAAAAACAGAAAAAATTAAACAAAACCTGAAAAGAGACTGTTTTGTTATTTTTGTAAATTTTTGGGATCATTTTTATAATTTTTACAATTATTAAGGTTTATTTATAATTAAAACAAACAGAATTCCGTTAATTTAAACGGAAAATAGCAAATTGGACAAAATCGGCTAACGGTTGGATAGCTTAGGGTAATATTGACTTATCGAAAAAGAATAATGTAAAATTGACAAGGCATGTAAAGCTCGGGGTACATTAGCCAATTTTTCCTTCATTTCATACTTGAACTATTCTATAATTTCTTTATGGACCACAGTAGAGTAATTAAAGTCCACTAATTAACCAAATTACAATTAAGCCCCCTAATTATAGCTAAAAGGAAATTAGCCCCCAGTTTTGTGATTTTTAAACAAAAACTGTTTTGTTATTTTTGTAAATTTTTTGGGTTATTTTTATAATTTTTAAAATTATTAGGGTATATTTATAATTAAAACAAACATAATTCCGTTAATTTAAACGGAAAAAAGCAAATTGGACAAAATCGGCTAACGGTTGGATATCTTAGGATAATATTGACTAATAAAAAAAAAAGATACAATTAACAATGCATGTAAAGCTTAGGGTAGATTAACCAATTTTTCGTTCATTTCACACTCAAACTATTCTACAATTGCTTTACAGATCACAGTAGAGTAATTAAAGTCCACTAATTAACCACATTACAATTAAGCCCCCTAATTATAGCTATAAAAGAAATTAGTCCCCAGTTCATGACAGAGGCCTAGACTCATTTCGATATCGGATCAGGAAGAGATCATCATCAAGAAAAGTCAAAACAGAGATTCGGAGTTTGAACATGTAAAGCTTCTTGGGGAGTTCCAGTACCGCGTGGCCACTTGTCCATTTTTATTGGTAAAATTATAAATACTCAGTTTGCACACGTATGTTGATGGTATGTCCTAGGCATTCAAAAACAATCAATTCGATAATTGATAGTACTACTATCTTCTATCCAAAATCGAACCATCCGATTCCCCATCGTGTTTCCTAATTCATTCATTCATTCGGTAAATCTACCTAATAATTTTTTATAAGCTATAGATCCAAGTTTATCAATCATTCATGGCGGGAGCAGGATCGAGTTATCCCCCGGCGGGCTACCCGGTTGTGGCTAACCCGGTTCCACAAGGCGGCGGCGGCGTAGGCGGAGGAATCGTGGTGGTGGGCCCACAATTCTGCGCACCCTATCCGGTTGATCTCATCATCTCCCGGAAGCTCATGACCCTGGCGGAAGGCAGCTTCGGTGTCACCGACGTTAATGGCAACCTCATGTTTAAGGTTAAGGGCAAATTCTTCAGCCTACGGGACCGTCGCGTCTTGCTTGACGCCGCCGATCAGCCTCTCCTCTCCTTCCAACAAAAGGTTCTTCTTCCTCCCTCTTTTTTACTCTATTCTAATTTTTCCGTCCGATGCGATCAATGTTGTTGAATGATTTTGCACAGTGATTAATTAATTAGCATCATCAATCGAATTATGTCTAATCCTAATACTTCAATATCTGTCATAATCACATCAATCCATTTAGCTTATGCACGGATCATACCAGTCACTATGCAACATCAATTAATGTCTTAGCTCGTTTAAGTAGCCTAGTAGTATTTGATGCATTTGGAAATCTGCCAACGAATATTGAAATAAATTAGTATTATTTCACAACATACATTGTTATATCTTAATTACAATGAGTGAATGATATCATGTGTTTTGGACGAGCAATGAATGATTGAAAAATATATATATATATATATATATATATATATCCGCCACTTCAGGTTGTGGTTAAGGTTCATGTTACCGTCTGTCTTTAATCTCACATTTCTGTACCTCTTGTTGCCGTTGTTCATTCATGGTTCCAAACTGTACATGTGTATATTCAGATACTGACTGCACATAGGAGATGGAAAGTTTTCAGAGGAGATTCCTCAGACGATAAGAACCAGCTTTTCAGTGTTAGAAAGTCTTCACTCTTCCAGTTTAAAACCAAGTTGGATGTGTTCCTGGCTTCTAACACCAAAGAAGATGTTTGCGACTTCAGAATCGAAGGCAGCTGGTTTGAAAGATCTTGCACTATCTATGCTGGAGAGTCTTCTACTATTATCGCTCAGGTATTTTTTTTAACTACCTTTGAAATCCATTTCTTTGATTGCGCTTCGACCAAAGTCCTTAGCATTTAGGTTTTTCTGATTAGTTAAACATTGTCATAAACTGTGATGATTTAAAGCTTTCCTTTGCTTTCACTGTCGATGAGATGATCCTCTGATGTCAACTGTGTTTGCATTGTCAAATGGTCATATAATAGTAGACGATAACCACCTAAGGTTTTTTTTTATCACTTTTACTATTAAGTTAGATATTTGATCACCTCAAGCATACATATAGTTAGCTGGCGGTAATTTTAACTATTTGTGTTTTGTATTTACACACTTTATCAACAATCCAAATTAATATTGTCTTTTTGAACAATTTGTCAATACACAGATGCACAAGAAACACAGTGTTCAAAGTATTGTGCTAGGGAAAGATACATTTGCGGTGACTGTATACCCAAATGTGGATTACGCTTTCATAGTTGCCCTCGTTGTGATACTGGAAGAAATTAACGAGGACAGGGATGGATCCGACTGATCTTGCATTCAGGCATGATCACCACTGCATAGTTGTAGTATTGGGATAAAGGCAGTGGTTATTGTTATTTAATGTGTGATACTGAGTTAGATTTTTGAGTGACCTTGAGCATGTTTTTTGTTTTTTTTTTTCTTTATCAAAATCTACGAAATAACGAGGGAGAAATGAAGCATGTAGATATATGTTGCAAAACAGATTTGATTGTATGCATATTGTACCTACCTTGTGTGATGGATTTTGTTCCCTTCCTTTGCCATTTTTTAAAGCTCTTGTTTACCTTTTCATAATGATAGAGAAGGGAGGGATTTGATCACTTATGGTTTATGTTTTTAATAACTTAGTGTGTGCGAGGGGCGAGAAGAGCAGAATTGGGTGGCGGGGATTACTTTATTATTATTATTATTATTTTTGTACAAAAGGGGATGCAATCGCCTTATATTAATACGTTACGCAGGTAAGATACCCTAGTCATATTTGGTCGCTATCCCTGCAAGGCAATCGGCCGCAAAGTTGGCTTCTTGGTGGACATGGTTTACTGATACCGACCAATTTCTCGCCAAAAGTTCCCTTATCCCTTCAATCAGGTCCATGGACACCAGTTAGTTGAGCTCCATTAAGGACTATACTGACTGTTGTTGTGCTATCCAACTCCGCGATGACCCTTATTTCCCCCATATCCCATGCCTGTGTAAGGCCCTGTTACAACCCCCATAGCTCAGCCCCCGTCACCGTAGTTGCCTCGATATTCAAGGTAAAGCCTTGCATCCACGTCCCATCTGAGTTTCGGATTAAACCTCCAGCCCTTGCTTCACCAGTGGAGGAGTCATAAGTATCATCCGAGTTTACCTTTACCCAGTCAGGCGGCGGAGGATCCCATCTTATCATTCTATGTTTCCTTTTTCTGCCCTCACCTCTAATTTTTAAGTCTCTGCTTCTGGCCGCCACTACTTCGTCCACCTTGCGTCTGATTTCTTTCAGCTTGAACCCAATCGAATGCCTGGTGTCGGAGAAGACTAAATCGTTTCTCCACTGCCAGATTTTCCAGCAGGTTAGGCCAAAGCATAACTACCTACTGATCTCCCTAATCTCTGGATTGTCTGAGCATGTTGTTCAACATCCAATCCTAAAGGTCCTCCTGGTAAAAGCTATCAATTCTCATCCCATCAACCAATAGGTTATTTCAGAGTTTGCATGAGTAGCTGTAGTCTCGAAGTATGTGGATTATTGATTCATCTGTCATCCCACAACAAGGACAAGAGGTAGACGGAGCCATATGGCGTTAGTTCCTCTCTAAATTGGTCATCAAACGGCCTCTAGCCGCCAAAGACAGGTTTTGACTCTTTCCGGACCTAGCCACGTCCAAATGGCTCTCCATAATGGCGAACCTCTCCTTTCCGATTGATTCTCCACAATTCCATAAGCTGACCTTGTGGTAAATCCGCCGTGTCCAGAGAGTGACCAACCACACTTATCCTTTCCTTGTCTTGGGTCCGGCGGTAGCGTCGCCGCAATCTTCATCAGGATACGGGCAGGGAGCAGGTGCTCGAACTTTGCCCAATTCCAGCAGCCTTCATCTGATAAGAAATCACACACTTTATATTGCAATTGTTCCACTGGTATAGGCAGTAAAGCCACATCTTGAAGGGATTTTGAGCTTTGTCCATGGATCCTTCCAGAACGGGATCGTTTCCCCATCATTGAGAGTCCAATGAAGCTCTTTCATCAGAGGGATCCAAGTTTTTGCAATGGAACGGCAAATGATAGAGCTGTTTGAGGGGGATAGCGGCCCGAATTTTTGAAGCCCAAATTAGCCATATTTCGCCTTATATACTCTAACCCACAGGGCGCCAAAGTCATTGAGCAGGGCCCAACCCAACTTCATTATAAATGTACAGTTCATAGACTGTAGTTTCTTTAATCCAAGCCCACCTACTTCCTTGGGCTCACACACCTCCTGCCAACCCACCAGACTAAGCTTCTAATCTTCATTATCACTCCCCAAAGGAATCGCGGGCAAAGCTTCTCGATTTCCAAGCAAGTGCTCGCCAGAATCATAACTATTTGCATATTTTAGAAGGGCAAGGTAGAAATCACTTACTTGATCAAGGTAATTCTTCCTGCTAAGGAGAGGCTGGAGGCCTTCAGACTGCCCAAGATTGATCGAACTTTGTCCAACACACCAGCAAAGGTATTACGATTAAGCCTTCCATGAATTACTAGAGCTCCGAGGTACTTGCCTAAGTCTGAAACCAATTTGAACCCCATCTTCCTGGCCAAACCTCTACTTGTTCTCCTGTGAACATTTCTGGAACAGAAAACTTGAGTCTCAGGCATACTGATCTTCATTCCCGAAGCGTCGCAAAATTCCTTCAACACCGAGTTTAACAACACTTGTGATTCTGTTGCTTCTAAGAACAGCAAAATATCATCTGCAAATAGGAGAAATGGTAGAGGTAGCTTCGATCTTCCAAAACAGAGAGGTATCCATGAGCCTTTCTCAACTTCTTTTGCTATGGCATGTCCAAGTCTTTCAATACATAGGACAAACAAAGGCGAAATAGGATCACTTTGTCTAATGCCACGGTTCTGTTTGAATACTCTGGAGGATTCGCCGTTCCATTGTATCTGTATAGATGCTGAGGTAATACAGTTCATTACTCCGTCCACAATTAAATCCGGAAGCCAGCCTGTCTCATTGTATCCTGGATGAATGGCCACTTTATCATATCATAGGCTTTCTCTAGGTCGATCTTGACTGCCATGTAACCCTTTTTTCCTTGCTTTGTACGCATGGTGTGGATAGCTTCCTGGCCTATAACGATGTTATCCGAGATCAATCTTCCCTGGATAAAGCTTGCTTGAGCCGGGCCAATTATTCCCGGAAGTGATGGTTTGATTCGGTTGGCCAAGACTTTGGCGGAGAGGTTGTAAATCACGTTGCAAAAGCTTAGAAGCCGGAATTGTCTAATATTCTCCGGGTTTTCAATTTTTGGAATGAGCACAATTAGTGTCTGGTTCATTGCTACCACACTATTACCGTCGTGGATGGTTGCCTTCACAAAGTTGCAAACTGATTGCTTCACCACTGGCCATTTACTTTGGAAAAAGAGGGGGTGGAGTCCGTCCAAACCCAGTGCTTTGATTGGGTCCATTTCCTTCAACGCCTGCAAAATCTCCTTGTCCTCCACCTGTCTACTCATAAACTGGACATCCACCGGTTGGAGGGCAGGGAAGCAATCCCTCACTCTATAAGTAACCGGCTCTGATGGCGGTCCAGTGTACAAAGATTAGAAGTACTCCACCGCCAATTCACGCAGATCTTTTTGATTATCTACCCACCGCCCCTTGTCATTTTTTAACGTCACAATTCTATTCTTTTTCCTCCTTCGTTTGAGAAAGGAGTGATAGAATTTTTAATTTCCATCTCAGTACAAGGTAGAGTCTCTATTTGCTTTTTGATCATCAGGATCTCTTCCTGAGCCAGCACCTCATCTAATTCCTGCACTAGATCAACTTCCAACGCATCCAACTTAGCATTTGTGTAATGTTCCTTGGCTCTTTGGATTCCCCCCAATCGTGCCAATAGTTTTCCTTCTTCTGGAATATGTTGCCAAAGGTAGATTGATTCCATTTGGCGGCTGAGATGGCAAATTCCTTCGAAGTACTCACAAATTCTGCACCCGGTTGCCAATGGCTCCTAACAAGTCTGTCAAAATCGTCATGGATGAGCCATGATGCGAAAAATTTGAAGGGCTTCCACCTATTGAGTCCACTACTCTGGCCCTTGCATATGATCATGATTGGCCAATGATCAGAATGGACCCTTGGTAGATGGGTGATGATTGCTTCCGGGAACATGTCCTGCCACAACTCATTGCTCAGGAACCTATCTAATTTTTTCAGTAAATCCCTCCTCTTCCATGTAAATTTTGTCCCAGTGGTTGGAAACTCTTGCATTTCAGGCCTGAAAACCCAGTCACAAAACCAACGGCATGGGCCACTCCCATTTACCACGCCACCCTTCTTCTCGACACTCTTTAGAATACAATTCCAATCACCGCCCAGTAGCCATGCCTTCTGGGATCCATTCGCTAATTTTGTTAATGCCGGTCATAATTCTCTTTGAATACATGGAGTAGGGCTCGCATAAACGAAGGTACATAAGAAGTTTTTGGTCCCTCTTCGAATCCTCGTATGCACACATTGTTTGTGGCATTCCAGTATTTCCACATCTATATAGTCACTCCACAAAATCTAGATTCCACCAAAAAATCCCTGCACTTCTACTTTGAAGGATCAATTAAATCGGCTCCTCCTTATAAAATCATCGGCCTTAATCCCACTGATTCTGGGTTCTAAGACTGCCACAACATCCGACCTATTCACAGCAACCATCAACTCAAAAGCTTCCTGAAATTTTTCAGACCATGCACCCTGCACATTCTATGAAATAATACTTGTATTCATTAATAAACTATTATTCATGCGAAGATACACACCTTAATTATCAGAGATAGCCACCGCATTAACGGCAGCTTCATCCTCCATCAGGCAGTCTTCCTCCGACGGTTCCTGTCCCTCCAGCACCATTGATTCAACAACAGATGTCAGTATACCTCCCGCAAGGTCCGGCGGAATGTCATCGTCGATCAGATTGGAATTCATCGTGTCCACCATCAACACTTCATTGTTTTTAGCAATAGTTCTGGTAATAGAGGAAGGGGGTGGGTTAGAATTGTTACGGCTTGGTGTTTCAGTTGGTCAAGTGAGGATATGGCAGGTTGTACATGTCGGCCGAGGTGGGTTGGGGTTTCTGTTGGACTGGGAGAGGTGACTTTTGTTGGCTCATTGTAAACAGGTTGGTCTTTAGGGGCGTTGGGATGGACATTTGGGTTGGCTAATGGGTTAGGGACATATAGGTCGTTTGGTGGGCTGGTGGAATTGGGTATTTGATAGTGACTAGGGGTAGACTTATCTGATGGCCCATTTGGTCTTGTTTTGTTCTGGGTGGCTACGTTGACTTCTGGTTCTGGTACGTCAAGCATCTTCCACTCATGATTTTTCATTATTTTGCCCCGTGAACTTGATTTTCTAGTCCCAAGGACAGATGGTGACGGAGTGGTTGCAGTGCGCTTCCCCTTTGCTTTGTCTGTTGGGTTTTCACCAATTTCAATTGGGATCGATGGTGAATCCCCCTCTTCCCCAGAAAGGTCCAACAAAACGTCAAATCTGGAGGTGTGACTAAATAACTGGGTCCCTCTTGGTTCACATGATGCCTCTCCGACTGGGCCTTAGGTTTTCCTCTTCACGACACATCGGCTCACTCCTCCATGGTGGTAGTGGTTTGACCAGTACCACCAGATTCCTTCGGAATCTTTGGCCGGTGTTCCGGCTGGTTGGGAATACCCAGTGGTTTGGCGACTTCCGGTTGCTTGGGCTGGAAATATGGATCCTATTTGGTGGCCCACTCGACTACTGGAGACGCAAGGATGGGGGACATTCTCGTACTCCACCTTCTATAATCTACCCCTCATATCAACTTCTGTCACCAACGGTTCATCTAATTCAATCTTGACAGCCATTCGTGCAAAGCGTCCCCATGTCTTCGTAGCAGTCTGTTGGTCTATGTGTTTCACTTTACCCAGGGCTCTCCCAATCTTCTTCAGGAAGGACTGATTATAATGATGCACTGGAAGGCCTAGAAGTCTAGCCCATACAATCGTCGCCTTAACTCGGCTAGTGGCTGCATTAAAGGAGCTGTCCCAAGGTTGAACATACAGGTAAGTGTTGAGGATTACCCAGGGGTCATTGTTCAACACTCTGTACATGTTTTCTTTACATCTGAACTTGATTAGGAAAAAATCTCTTACCTGATCCATAATCGCAATACAATATGTGATTTGCCATAAGTCTAGAAGACGGTGGCACAAGTTTGGAGAGAGTTTGATCTTCCCATCTGTCGAAGGACTAACATGTCCTTCCATTGATCTACCAGCTGTTGTTCCAGTCTGTCTGAGATCTCAATTCTCGCCTTCCCTCCATCCTTGGTGAGAATTACATCATCATCACCAATCTCCAATTCATCATCGACATCGAACAAGGAGTAGTCTAACCCTCTCATGATTTTATCTCTAAAACTCATGGGTGTGGGGTTGGAAGACTCCTTATCGGCTCCATATCTGGGCTTCTTGATAGATTTGATATCAATCAGGAGTGGGGGGCAGTGGATTCTTTAGTTACTAGGTTGGATTCTGATTTCATGTTGGGATGGGTTAATCGTCCTCCCTCAGGTACAAAGTTGGCCGGTGATGATGTCATGTGTTGGAAGAGAGAGTTTTCTAGAGAGAGGGACCTTTCAGAGAGAGACTTTTTTTTTTTTATCTGCTGTCATATAAAAAATTTGGACCGTTTCTCGATTTGTGCATGTCATACTGGGGAAGCCGAACCTTAGCGTACAAAAATAACTCCTAGGGCGGAGCTGAACACGGCTAGTTTAAGACCATTTTCTGAGATGTCAAAAGAGAGGGCGGACAAAATATACAATCCATGACAGAGATTACTTAAGTAAACGTAATATCACATTTAAATGATATGGGCTATACAAAAAACGGCCCAATCTTCTTTATGGATATCCATCGAGTAGATTAAAGTTAGTCCCTCCAAATGAAAGGTTCAATTCAAAGTTTTCATCAGCACTACTGTAAAGAAAATACTAGGCACCAGTTTAAAATAAAGTTGATTAAAAAATGTGTTCTTATAGATGGTCTTGATGGAATGGAATGTTTCATTCTTGTCGTTGTTCTTTTTTTCCTTTATTTTAGAGAAAAAGAAATTTTCGTTGCTGTTAGATATTGTCCAACTACATTTGAGTGATAAATATGGTATGAGACAAATAATTACCGACAGTACATTACCATTCTTACCTGTAGTAGTCAATTCATGGAAGCAGCTGGGCTTCCTTTGATTGGTGTAAAAAATGAACTAAACAAACCTAAAAATCCTGCAAAACCTTAGCCAGTTAGCCGTTTTTGTGGACACACTGTTGGTTATGTTAATGTGTACGTGACTGCCTAACTAATGAAGGTTGGCGCTTTCCCTAACTGTGAGTGCGTTCAAGGTCCCTAATTCATTAACTTACACCAATTTTTTATTTTTCGCCTATTTACTCTCTTTAGATAACCTTAGGTTTAATACGATAGAAACTCCAGCTGCGGAAGAGGTGATTCCATTCATACATGAAATTAATAACTAAAAGTAGAGGGATATCTCATAGATTTTACACGTAGCAGTTTCAATATACGTATGTTTTTTGGATTTGAAGGGGTTGAGAATGAGATCATCTTTATTTATATACACCTGAAGTCGTTTCATTCATGGGTACCACCTCTATTTATATTCAAAAGGAGAAAGAATCTCATCAAATGCATTAACACTTTGGCTCTTCGCAACTTCAAGAGGCTAATCCTTTTCTTTTTATTTAATTATTTCTTCTGTTGCATGCAAATAGCAGGACTACATTTTTTAGTTCTTGAACAATTGTTTGAATTCGTCATTATCGTATGTTCTTGCGTCTCGATATAATTGTGAAATTTATTTTTCTAAAAAAAAATACAAATCATGCTGAAAATAAAAATTTTAAATAAAATAATCATTTTAAAACACAAAAATAATTCGTGACTGGTCATTTGGTAGACAAAATCTTTGGTCTAACGTAGACTTCAGGAAGTGAAACTGCATGGGTAATAATCGGTACATGGGAATGTTACAATTCCACCAATACCCAATTGGCGAACTATGCCTTTACGGCTAACTGGCCCAATTCTCCCATTATTATTATTCTTTTTCAAAGGAAATGTCACTCTAAAGAATCTGTTACTTCCTCCGTCCTATAATTATTGTCCAGTTTGAGTTTTCATTTCTAGTTCAAATTATATTAAAAATGAAATCTCAAACTGGACAATAATTTTGGGACAGAGGGAGTATTATTTAAATAGGGAGAGATCATCAAGTTATGACTTATATATATGATGCGAGCTTTGTGTGGTGGGATTTTGATCTGGAAGGTGCCAATCCGATTGTTAAGACTTTTGTGATTTTAGTTTTTTCACAGCGGTTTAACTGATTCATTAGTGTATTTTGGGATTTGTTCAAACTAATTAAACTTGAAGGAGAGTGATGAAACTCCTATCCTACATGGGCGTGGAGAAAGTGATAATAGGTGAAACGCATGTTCATGTCTCTCATCCCATGGTTAATAATCCAATCTACTATTTGTAGTAATTTTAGTTCATAGTTAAGAGTACTATTCACCTAATATTCTTTCCATTAATTCCATAGTGTTGAATGTTGATGATGATAAGGTAGATAGTGGGGAGAGCGCGCGCACACACACACACACTCCCAAAGGACCACAATTCATCAGACATCAATCCTCTCGGTCTCGGCCGATTATCTTATCTTAATTAGGTTTTCACCATTGATTGTGATTTTTGTGAACAAAAATGAATCAAACATGGATTCCCGCACTACTGTCTTTAGTAGACACTTTTATGTGTCTAATAAATTAATTACCAGAAGAATAAAGTACATGCCGAATCCTTAACACCCAGAATTGTATTTTCTTTTACTCCACTTGGACTATCAGTTTGCAATATATACATAGACCTATGCAACTTTTTAAGCAATCAACTAATAGACATTAATTTTAGGGGTTTTTGGGCTTTATGTGTGCTTTTCTCTCTCCCCTAAAATTAACACTCTTCACTCAATTGTATCAAGATATACAAGCTGATGTGGTGCAACTGTTGTATTGACGATTTACTCTAGTTAATGGTGCGGAAATCGCACACACAAAAATTGAATACATTATCATGCTACTACTTTTCTTTTATTTTTCTGAATAGTAAATGAAACCAGTGGTGCATTTATTTATTTTCAAAAAAAGGTCACATATCATCAAATACCCGAGTACTTGCTAGGAGTCTAAGAGGAGTCTTCAATGGCATATATCCATCATGGTTGGAGGTAATTAAAATTATCTGGATTTTGAATAAAATACTCTCAAAAACAGTAAGTCAGGGACGATATTAGTTTTTATTTCTCAATTTCATTCTTATTTTTTCAGATATCAACGGGAGAATACAACAGAAGATTTCACTTTCAAAATCTCCTTAACAGTTAACAATGGGGTATTTAGAACACAACAACTGCCCTCCAGTGCTGCTTTATGGTTTAAAGTCCAGCCATCAAATGTTGACGACCTTTTTTATACATATACTACTTCCTCCATTCCTTTTTGCGTTACCCAAAAAAAAAACACAACTTAATTTATTATTCAGACAACTCATCACAAATCAATCAAAATTATTATAAATATTTTTTTATTTACAATACGAGGGAAATATTGGTAAAATGTGATTAAATATGTCTCGATTTTAATGACAGTATATATTTAAAAAAAAATTACTAAACTCTAAAACAACATATAAAAACAATAGAGGGACTATTCTCTTTATCTCAAAAATTATTGTAATGAGATTTTATTTTTAATAAAAATAAAAAATAAAAATGGATAATTATTTCAAGAGGGAAAGAATGTTTTTTCAATTGAATTTTCTATTACCCCCTATCAAAAATTAATCCACATCAAACTTCAAGATTTGTACTAATTTTAATATAAATTTTAAAATTTAATGTCTTTTTTTTTTTTACAAGAACAAGTACTAATTAGTTTACCTCTTTCATTCCAAGTATACCCCTCTTAGGAATCACTATCGATATTCTACGAAATATGAAAAAATAACTCATGACATTTTTTTTAAAACCATTTTACAAGGATATAAACTATTATACCTATGGGAACGGAGATACTACTGCTGGAGAACTCATGATGAAGAATTAACTTAATTCTGCCTCGTTTGTCTGTTTTTTTTACCTTTTCTTTTTCACCAATTAATTCGTCGATGATCCTGAACTTCGCGTTTAATATTTTTACAGTACTACATGTCACTAATTAATTACCAGCAGCGCAGCCAACGAGTAACGCAGTTTTTTGGTCTTGCCAAAAGACAAATATTTATTATTGAGCAACTCAACAAAATAGTGTTGTATACTACTTTTATTTTATTTTTATCTGTCACGTTATGATGAATGTATTTGTTTTAATCCATCGCACTACATTTTTAATGTAATATGCAATTTTTACAATTTAATCATTATCTCTTTTAACTTTTAATAACTACTTTCTCCATTTCAAAATGTAAGTCTTTTTAACATCTACACGTAAACTAAAGAGACAATCATTTAATAATTAATTCGTGTGTTAGATGTTTATTTTGTCCTTCATTAATTGTTTTAGAACTATAATCAAAACTAAATGAAAAGTGCTTAGCATCATTTATTGGGGGCAAAGTTGGGAAGTGAATCTATAATTTACCTTGAATTCCTAAAACGACTTACATTTTGAAATATTTTTCCAAACCTAAAACGACTTACATTTTGAAATGGGGAGAGTATTTTAACGAAAAATACCTAATTTTTACACTCCAATTTTAAATTTTTGTTGAGTTTTAATACTTTTAGTTAGGGGGCAAGAAAAATAAACATTTATGAAAATTAAAGTTTTAATCATTATTTCTTTAATAGTTGTGCAAATCTTAAAGCAAGCAAATAGAAGTAGTACTTAAATAAGATCCTTTCCCCAAAACAGAAAAGGGCAAACAAAAATAAAAATAAAAATTTCTTCACATTTGTCACTGAGTAGTTTCCCAAAAAAAAAAAAGTGAGTCAACTGAAATTTGTGAACTTTAATGAAAGCAGAGTGCAGGATGGGAAAAAGTTTTTTTTTCTTAAATACTATTAGATAATTATCCAATTATTACCACATAAACTGTTCTTTCATTTTTTATTTTTATTTTTTGCAACACAACATTTTATTTAAAATATCGTCTTATTCAAAAATGAATGATGTCGACGAAATGGATTATACCAAGACCTTAACTTTATATAGTAGTATCATCTTATGTGGACAAAAATAAGTCAAAAGTGAGAACATATCCATGGCCGGTCCGAGAACGATGTTTTTATTTACATTTGCTTCATATCTCCATGGATTTGGATTGAAAGGGTGGTTGGTAGGCCACTAATTTATTTCTAAAACAAAATTTAGCAATAAATTAGTTAATCTCCATGCACAACCCTTATAATTTCTTTCTTGTGCAAGTTTAGAATTTTTTAAAAATATGCAAAATAACCTCAACTTTCCAAACCCCTTGTCATTATCTTATTTCAAAATAAAATGTTTTATAAGACATATATGCTTGCAGCTTGTAGATGATATCGTGATTTGATATAAGAAGAAAGCTGTAATGATTTTCACTTCTTCACAAATAATTCTACTACTGTGAAGAAGTGAAAACATGTTTATGTGAGAATAACTAACTGACATCACCATCCTTTATGAATTGTAGATGCAGTGAGAATAGGTCCAATTGACTTGTAATTGGGATGCCTAAATAAACACAATAATGGTTTACTTTACCTCTGAACCACTTCCTCGCTTTCTAGATTAAATCATACTTCAGCTGCACAACAGAAATAATTTATATTGTAAAATTAACATTTAAATTACTTTTAGTACAATTTATAATTTACAATGTAGGCTTTTTTTTCGAGTACAGAGGGAGTATCAAGTTATAAAGTTCCGGACATTAAATCCAAAATTTAGGACATTATTCCTCTGTAATCCCTATGGAATAATAATATATATTATGTACACAGATCATATCTATGGAAACCCAATATTGTATATATTGATGAAAGTGATTTCCGATTACTCTAACCTGCGAAAGGGAACCTTGACAGTTTAGGCTTATCACTATTTAAAAATTGGTTTATTTCTAGACGAAAATTTGTGTGTAAATTTTAAATCATGCTACCTTTAACATGGAAGGATGACATCTATTTGAGTCCGAACCAAAAAAAGAAAAAAGAGAGAGAAAAAAAAAAAAAGAAAAAAGGCCTCAATCGAGTTGAAATCTTCTACTATGTGCATTTGATTTTAATAAATTGGGTCGGATATTGCCATTGGACCTAACCCGTCATACATAGATACTTATTTTGGGTGGCTTGGTTTCTTATACGATAGGGATGGAAGTGGCATTAGGATAGAAAATAATTAGCAAATGATAAAACAATGTCCTCGTAGGTACTCTACCTTTAGGCATGACCAAGGTTCAGATTTTAACTGGAACTGGTTCGGAATCGGTCCGTCGGTTCAGAAATCAGACCGGAATCGTGAGTGACGATTCATAAAATCGTAACCGGACTGTCTAGTCAAGGGTCGGTTATAATTCAAGCTTTCAAAAAATCGTAAATCGAATGTTCAATCAAAGGTTTTGAATTGACAGTTCAAACCGTTCAAAATCTTCGATTAATCGTCGGTTTTGTTATAATAAGTATCAAATATTGGTTATTATAAACATAAAAATAGTAATTACCAACTCTTTTTCAAAAATATACATCCATTTTCTATTTGTGGTTGCATCAAATTATAGGTCTACATTGTTTTCTAATGCATTCTTAATTCTTTTCCAAATCACCCTTGGAAGTGTTATTTATAGAATTTCAATACATAATACTTAAATTAAGTGATTGATCTAATTAACTATGGGAACAATAGATTTTTTCCATTTGTTAATGATTAGCTCGTAATTTTTGTGCCACTCAAAGTATGTAAATTTTACTTCTTTTTTTAAAATATTTATATTTTTGTTGTTTATGTATTGCTAATAGATGTTAGAAAAAATTGTAATGCCAATTCATCCTTTTGCATAAATTTTAAAAATTACTTTGTATATTTAAGTTTGTTATTTGATAAAATCAAGAAAACATATACATGCTCGTCCTAAATTTTGGTTAAAAAAATTTGTATTAGGCTCTTTTCAAGGGTAACAATCGTTTATTATTGTAGACATATTTTATGAATTTGAAATTTGAATGCGTCTTTTTAAAACCCAAATATGAAATTCCAGACTTAATTTTTTTAAAAATAACAAAACACAAAAATATTGTATAAAAATTGGGTTAAAATCGTAAGGAACCGAATTAGAACCGCCAAAAAAAGCGGATTGAGTGGAACCAAAATTGAACCTTAACCAGAGGTTCCCTTGACCGTAATCGTAAACTTACGGAGCGGTTACAGTTCATCCGATTCTTGAACCGTGAACCGACGGTTCATGAACTGGAACCGGCGGTTCTGAACTGTAGTCATGCCTACTCTACATGTTTCAAAGACAATTATTAAATAATATAAAAAGAATAAAATACCAGTGGTCCTAGTGGATATCAAAATCTTTTCTTCTCTTTTTGTTTTTTTTTTTTTTTGTTATTTAGATCTTTTTAGCTATAAATAGACTAGAATCTAGAAATAATCATCAATATTAGGTCAAACTACATTTTAATCATTTACATTAACTCAGCTGAATTGTCTCATACATTTCAGAATGCAATTTTTTTTTACCCTTTGACACTATTTAAACACTTTGATCAGATTTATGATCAAGTCAACAGAGGTATTTTCGGGATAATTCTTTATTTTTTAAAATTATCTATATCTCTATACTTATAAAAACTCCACTTCAATTATTTCAATATTTTGATTGGTCCAGAACTCCAGATGACATCAGTTTTTTATACTGAATAAAATACTATTAGAAATATTAAATAACTATATTAATAAAAATAAATAGGAAATAAAAAATAACATGAAACTAATAAAAATAAAACTTTTAAATTTATTTTTTAAACCAAAGTAAAAATACTAAAAGAAATGTACTATTGATGTCCTCAAAACTCAGTTTTGACCTTTTTTTCTTTGGGACAGAGTGAGCACTAGTTTGTACAAATTTTATGTTATCATTAATATAGTGGGCATGGAATAAAGTAAAAATATCACTTTTACACAGTCTCTAACATGAAATCATAATTAAGATTTAAGATTATATTCAAATCTATTTTTATTTTAGATATTTTTTAACTTGTGAAATTGTAAGGAACTATATTTACATAGTAGATAACTTAAAAAAAATCATTTTCTTAATGAATTGGGCTTCTTCATTTATTTTACTTATCCCAAGTTCACAGGAAAAATTATTATTTAATATATATTATTAATTTATAGAAGCGTAATAGTGAAGGTTTTTCCAAATCAGAATGTAAGTAATGATATAAGGCTCCGTTTGATAATCACTGAATTCTGAATCTGAACACTTAACACTTAATACAGAAGTATGGAGACTGCATTTACGTTGTTTGATAAAAACGTCTGAATTTGATGTCTGAAGACTAAAGTCCGAAGTCTAAAGACTAAATCTGAATACTTACGTATGAAAGTTATTTAAATTTTTAATATCATTAAAATTGAATTATAAACAAAATTATTTTAAATAGAAAAATAACTAATATTTTGTTCTAAATAATAAAATAATAATTTTAAAATAAGTTTTTGGTATATATAACGAAAGTAGATATTACACTTGGTAAATAATCAATATATAACTAAATTTAGATTATTTACAAATATCAATATATATGTATACCTTGTTATTTAGCAACTTTTTATGTATTAAAATTAGTAGAATTTGAGTGTGAAAGTTTGAGATTTTTTATACTCATAATATAAATTCAAATTTAAGCACTCTTAATTAATTTATCTTAAGAAAATAAAAATTTTAAAACAATGTAAAAGTAAGCGTCAAAATAAAGACGAGGAAAAAAAAAGAAGAAAAAAAAGTCGTTATAGAAATTAAGTGTTAAGTGATAAGTGATAAGTGGTAGGCCTATCATTTATTTTCTGACTCACAATTAAATTGGCCATTCAGACGCACTTAATTAATTCAGACAGTGAAATTTTAGTTATCAAACGCACTTAATTTAAAAGTACTTAATTAGTTCAGAACTTAATTCATTAAGACTTTTAAATAGCGATTATCAGATACACTTAATTTCGTTAAGTACTTAAATAAATTAAGTCACTACATTAAGTAATTATCAAACAAATAACAAAATAAACTTCAAAATTCTTTCGGAGGTTTTACTATTTTTCATTTTTATTTTTATTTTTTAACTTAATAAATAATTTGTATTAATATATTTTTTATATATTAGTATTTATTCAATATTTTTTTCACAAACAAAAAAATTATATGAAAGAAATATCCATATCGACTTGATTTAAATCTAGTAAAAGTACCTAAATAGTGACAAATGACAAAAAAAAAGTTATATAAAATGAAATAAAGAGGACATTTTCAGGCAAAATATCAATGTAGAGGATAGAAATGTATAGTTGGCCTAATATAAAGGACTATATTCAGATTTTAGTCAAATAAATACAAAAATAACAATTTTATTTTATTATTTTCTTGTATTGAGCCCAGTACAAATTATCTAGTCTTTAAATTAAAGAAAAGATGTATCGGGTTCGGTGCAAGCAAGGACAAAAGTGGAATTGTAGAATTGCACTGTGTAGAAGTAATATTATAATATTAGTAAATATAAAGAGTATATAAAGGAAAGAGAAGATAGAGAAGAGTCAAGAGTCAGAAGAGAATAAGAATAACAATAATTACAATTTACTATTATAAAAAATTGATTTTATATAAATAAGCAGCGAAAAATGGAAAAGTCGACGAAACTTTTGCTGCTTTTCTTTCTTCTTTCTCCTCATCATCATCATCATCACTACCCATAATAATTCAGGATAGAAAGAAGATACTCACGTTTCAACGTTTTACGGTATTCAATTCAATTTTTCTCCTTCAGAAAACTTGCTTTTTTTTTTACAAAAGAAAATTTTGGTTTTTTCCCCTTTTGAAAGATTCGATTTTTTTTGTGTGTGGAAAGATAAGAAATTTCTTATTCAAGAAGGTGAAGAAACAGAGCGAAACAGAAAGCAATGATGATGCCATCCATGTCACCTTCGTCGTCATCATCCGGGGTGGGGGGAGGAGGAATTGGAGGGGCGGTGACGCCATCATCCGCCATAACTCGAGTGGAGAAAGCCACCAGCGAGTTCTTGATCGGACCGGATTGGACTATGAATATTGATATTTGCGATACCGTCAACTCCAATCACTGGTAATTTTTTTTTTTTTTTTAAGGATTCTTCCCTTTTGAAAATTTGATTTTATTTGTTCTTTGTTTCTTCAACAAAGTTTGACTTTTTTCTTTTTCTTGATTGTTTACTCGAATTTCATGTCTTTTCTTTGAAATCAACTAAGGGTTTCTCTTGTATTTTTGAAGTTTTCATGCACGATATCATTGGTTGTATAAGAGCATACCTCAAGTTACAATGTTTTCTTGAGGCTCAGCTGCTCTGTTGTTTGTTTTGTTTTTCCTTTTCCTTTTTGTTTGGTTGGGATGAGGTTGACTTTGTGGCTTCGTGGTTTTTCAGTGGAAATTCTTGTTCTTTTACGGATTTTAAAGTTTTTCTCTTTGGATTTTTTCCCCCTTGTTGGTTTTTGGGATGTTGAAATTTTTAAGCTGTTTTTTTTTTTTCCTCAATCTTGAAGATATAGATATCCATGAGTGATTTCAAGTAAACCAATGAAAGTTGTCTTCTTGATTGATGAGCTTTACTGACCATTGAGCCACCACATGCAAGAAAGATTAAATTTTTGCTTTTTCATCTTTTTCTTGAACCAGTTGTTTTCCTTTATGTTTTGTTTGCTGTTATCCCTGTGTTTATGGGCTTTGACTTATTTGTCGGATTGCGAAATTACGGTATGATCATACGATCATATCCCTCCTCCGGGTACGATAAAGCTGCAGTTCTTGATGTTGTCGTTGTTGCTTAAGTAAGATTAGTAACACTTCTATAGCGATTATAATCTAACTATGACCGTATTCCTCATGAAAGAGATCCTAGGGCCAGTTATTGATTGTCGTTATATAAATATGACCCCTTTAGTCGACTCTGCAACCATGAAGGCCAGCTGTATAAGCAATTGTCATGTAAATATGATCCTTATGATTGAAGCCACATAGGGAGATAGATATTCAGTTGATTTGGTAGTTTCGGTGGTGGCTACTACCTTAAACCTATGACTTTAGGATGATGTCTGTGTTTGAATTTGAAACATCTGATTTAGCATTCTTTTAATGCTGCATCTTTAATGTGCTTACCATGTGTTAATTATTCTTCATCTAACATCCTTTTCCATCATTGTGTTCTCCTCAGGCTGGCAAAAGATGTGGTCAGAGCTGTAAAAAAAAGATTGTTGCACAAGAATCCCAAAGTTCAAATGCTTGCCCTGACGGTACTTTATATTTTGTTTTTTAATTTTCTTTTTTCACTTTTTTACGACTTAAAAGTACATATCCATAGAAAGAAAGTGAAGTATTAGTAGTAATAGTAGTTTTGAACTTAAAGGGTTAATTTGATATTTTGAAAATTTGCTTCAAAAACTAGTGGTGGCTTGCTTATTGGAGCTGTTTTCAGGCTCTATATTAGCCTTATCTTGTTCCAACCTTGGTTGCGCTGTTTGGTTGTCTATTTGTTGGTAATTTTTTATTTCTAGTTTGTGTGGTAAATATACATCCTAAACCCCCAGGTTTGTTGATTATGAGCTATGTTTGTGTGCAGCTTTTGGAGACAATGGTGAAGAATTGTGGTGATTATGTCCATTTCCAGATAGTTGACCGGAATATATTGCCGGAGATGACCAAAATTGTGAAGAAAAAGGCAAGCCTTTCCTTCTCTTGATTTATCTTGGCATATGTGTCAAATATTTTGTACGAATGTATTTGATTAGCCTTTAAGATGCTATCAAAATTGAAGATTTCTTGCGTCTTTGGGCCGACAAGGTTGCATCTGAGGGTTAAACTCTAGTACTCGTATTTTCTGCTTTCGCTGATTTGATTCCCCTCCTAACTGAAGGAATTTAGGATCTATTGGACGGTTTGTTTGAGGCTGAACTTTCTAACATCTTAGCTTTAAATGTGAAATTAAAAATCTAAATGTGAAACAAAAAAATCTTCAGAGGGTTATTAGCGGCAAGTACTTGGCAAGAGGGCCAGGATTATTTGATGCATTCACTAGGCTAGGAAATGATTTTTTTTTTTCGGTCTGATAAATGTGTCGATGCTCCCTCCCTGCCCCCTCAAGTATGATATTTGTGAGCATATGACTCACTGAAGCCGAGAAATGGTCAATTTTGAAATTTAGTTGTCTAAGCATAAGCATATTCATTTTTTAATTGTCTTTCGCTTGTTCCCCGTTCTTGAAAGGACGTGGGGATAGAATTTTGTGACCTGATGCCTTGTCTGGTTTCATGTGTCCTCATGTATTATGATTTAGCATATACATGTATGGTCTTTTTCATGCCATTTGAAGTGTCATGAGAAACTCTTTTTCCTCATTTGCAGACAGATTTGCATGTCAGGGACAAGATCCTGGTATTGTTGGACTCTTGGCAAGAGGCATTTGGTGGACCTGGAGGAAAATATCCTCAATATTACTGGGCTTATGAAGAACTGAGGGTACTGCAGGATTTAGAAAATTTTGTTTGTATCTGCATGTGTAAATGTGTTTGTCATATGTTGTTTATTTTTTGTACTTAAGTAACATAGTACTTAATGTCTAATCTGGTGAAATTAGTTTGCTGTTGACCCTATTTCTTTGGCTTTATCTGTTGCAGCGATTTGGCGTCAGCTTTCCGGAGCGTTCCTTGGATACAGCACCTATATTTACACCACCTGCAACTCATCCTCCACTAAGACATCCACAGCCTGGTTATGGAATGCCGAACAACTCTTCCACCAGGCTTGACCAGGCAATGGCAGCTGAGGTGGAAACCCTAAGGTAATGCTTGTGGTTAGAGTATCGCACCCTCTGGATCTAATTTCCTGTTATATCCCGTTTTCTCATTTAGGACGTCTCATTTATGATTTTGTTTTCTTTCAATGCTTCTAGCCTATCAATCATGAGTCCCATGCGAGACATTCTTGATCTTCTGGCGGATATGCTTCGAGCTGTCAATCCTACAGATCGCATGGTATAAAAACTGTCCTTCACTATTCTTGGTACCCTTTATATATCTTGGTAAGTTTTCTCATGTTTAGCTTTCTTTAGGCTGTAAAAGATGAAGTGATAGTTGATCTCGTTGAGCAATGCTGTTCCAATCAGAAGAAATTAATGCAGATGCTGACAGCAACAGGGTACTCACTCATGCTCTGTCTGGGATTTGATTATCGTATGGTTGTTGTCACTAAGTGGTTTGCTTGTGAATTTGTATATTATGTTAGGGATGAAGAACTTCTGGCTCAGGGCCTTGAACTAAATGACAATCTTCAAAATGTGCTTGCAAAACATGATGCTATTGCATCCGGTTTGCCTTTGCCCATTGACTATGTAACTGATGTCAGTATCCAATCCTCAAATGATAACCAACATTCTCTGAGCCCAAAACCACCTGCTGATTCTGCTACGACTCCGACCAGTAGAACATCCAGCAGTGAGCCTCTACCTGCTGTTCCTTCTAATAGTAGGAGTCAGCCGACCGATGAAGAGGAAGAAGAGGAAGATGACTTCGCACTTCTGGCAAGAAGGTCTAGTTCTTAATTCCTGCTCCACACATTAATTTGTGTTTGTCTTACACTGCTGACGTAAATGTTTAGGCAATTTGCTTGACCATTTGTTACATTAGTTATGTGCACTTTATACAGTTCACTTCATCTTACCTATAATGTATATTTTAAAGTGATTTCGGGTTACTGGATAGTTGGTTGACCATTTTTAGGAACTGGCGACCATTTTTACCCCTTGTCTGTGGTTTTGTTGTTTCAGCAAATATAGTTCATACCTTTTGCAGGCACTCAAAGACATCAAATTCATCCACTGCTTCTCAGCCTGCATCGACCCTGCGAACTTCCGAAAGTAATGACGGCAACATGGCAGCATCTCAAGAATTATCTTCAAGCCCAGTCATGAGCAACGCATTAGTTCTTGCTGATCCACCAGTACCATCCAGGACCACCCAAGAGCAAGACATAATTGACCTCCTGAGCATCACTCTGTTAGAGCCTGCATCATCGTCAACAACACAGACTGCTGCCACACATGCTGCTCATATTCCCTCGTCACAAAACTACGGGTCCGCACCTAATGGACAAGGTAATAGTAAACCAGTTGCAACACAAGCTTACCTCGGAAACCAGACACCGGCATTCAATAGCTATGTTGCTCCTTGGGCTCTACCTCCACAACAATTTCAACAACCGTCGGCGGTGCAAAGCGAGCAGCAACAGGTGGATCAGAACTCCGAAAATTTTCCCTCACAGCAACAATATTCTTCTCGATATTATAACAACCATCATTCCCAAATGCAACAACCACCTCAGTCCACACCAGGTCCACAGTACTCATCTGCTTACCCCCCTCCCCCGTGGGCTGCCACCCCCGGCTACTTTAGCAACCCTAATCCATTGCCTAGGGCTCCTTATAACCCATATTCATCCACTGAAGCTACGTCTCTAGTTCCCTTGCAAGGAACCGGGACCTCCCAGTTGCAGCCGCCTGTTAATAATGGAAGTAATTTCTCGGCTATGAATGGAGGAGATGCATCGAGGTTTGGCAATGCGAATGTTCCAGTGAACAGTCCTGGTGGACAGAAGCCCTTTATTCCATCCTATAGACTATTTGAAGATCTTAATGTTCTTGGCAACAATTCCAATGGAGGAAGGTTCAAGGCATCAGGAAGCAACTTATCCTCTACCTCCCTATCTGAAGCACAATATAAGAGTATGATTGGGGGAGGGAACTCAGGGAAGTGGAAATAGTGAAATAGTCGTATATACCTGGTGCATCTAATGCAATGTTTTTGTTGATCCCTGATACGCGAGAATGTGTAGTCATTGGTACGCCCGTGTTGGTGCTTTTTTTTTTTTTTAATTAGAAATTTCGAGGGCTCAGGGTTTATAATTTTATTATCCTGTTGGTTCTTTTAGTTTGTATATGAGTTTCTTTTGGGATTTCGCCATTTATGTCAAATTCAGTGCTGGTGCTAATTTTGTGCATTATCCAGGTATCAGTTCTCACCCGATGTGAATTCTACGTTTTGCTGAGTAAATGTAACACGAGTCCTAGGATAATCAATTTTTTGATATTAAGATCGGCATAATGTGGCATGAAAATCACTATAACTTTCCAAACGAATATACTCCTTCAGCCATATAATTATTGTCCAGTTTGGATTTTCATTTTTAGTTCAAATTGTACTAAAAGTAAAATCTCAAACTGGACAATAATTTTGGAACAAAGAATAGTTTTTTATAGCATGTCCTGCTCGTGCTTTTGATTGGTTGAAAAAGTTAGTATTAAGTGTGAACCGTTACAGCCTTTCGGTCTGTCACCAAACAAGAGGTTTTGCAAGGGAAAAGGAAAAGAAAAAGAACAGGGAAAATGATGCCAGGGACGGAGAGAACAAGATTCTAAACATTCGTCCAGAAGAGTGCAATATTTGATTTTTGGGTTGAAATGAAGTTTACGAAGGTCGCATGTTAGGTTACATGCCCCTCATATGGTGCAAAGCAGCATAAAATGCAAAGGGCAGTCCTTCCAACCTAACTGAATATTCGATACAACATTTACATCACCACCTACTGCCCTAACGGACTCTCTTTCCAAATGATTCTTTCTAGGGACGCACTGCCTGAAAGTGAAAGGTAATCTAAATTATATTTCATAATAATATAAAACTAGTTATTCTGTACAAATTGAACAAATGGGCATGACCACAATGGAGAAGAAAAAGGATTTTGTAACCAAAAAAAAAAAACAGGGCACACTAAGCCGAAAGAGACTAGCAACATATTTACACCTTTCTTTTTACCCTATGTATTTTGGTTTATTGGCCAAAGCCTCCCAAGCTACGCGTTGATTTCGCCCCGATTTTCCGGGCAAACCTTCTAGAGCAGAGACTTTAATGAATTATATAACATACATCATCTTCCAACCCAGTTGGAGAAGCTCGTTTCAGTCCTTTCGAGCACACCGAGGGGCTGAGACATCACCTTAATCCATCGCCTCACATCTGGGGTCCTTCTGTTGCACCTCCTCATCGAGTTCAAGCAGACCAACCGGAATGGAATACTTACTGAACCATTCAACAGTATGCTCACCTCGGACCGGAAGTCTCATCACCGTGTATAGAGACACAACCATCGGCAGTTCCAGCAGCAAGCAATACTTGATATGGATGGAAGGTAAGGCAGCTAACGGATCCAATCTTCTGCGCCATGAAAGATGGCTGATACCGGATGCTCCCTAACTGCTCGCCTTCCAGGTTAAAAAGCTTAATTAGCTGCTTTGCAGAACCACTGGCAACAAGGGGAGCGTGCCGGTGGACAGCCAAAGCTGTTAATGAACCCCGGTGAGCGTCGATAGTGAGATATGTATCGCCAAGACGTCTCATGTCGAGGAATTGAATAAAACCAGCCTGAGATGCACTCACAATCTAGACACCACAGAAACAACGGGAAACACATATCAACTGTCGATGGCATGATGACTGCTCAACAACTTTTGAGGATCACAGGTGAAGCAGATAAGGTAAAATTGTCATTTACCTTTCCCGGTTCAAGCCCAGGTTGAAAAGCAAGTCCAACTATTCTTTCTAACCTTTGTGTATGTGGCCGTGCTGCAGAAACAAGCCTAAGGCACGTATATACAAGAGGAAAGCCAAACATGTCAAGCATCATTCAAAAGGCAAAAAGATAATTTCACAAGCCGAGTGAAGTGGAAAATATTCAGGCTTTCTGCTTTCAAAGATACTTACATTTCAGGGGTTCGAACATCAAACAATCTCACAAATCCGTCTGAAAAACCAGCAACAAATTGACCCCCATGCACTTGAGAAGCAGCCTAAATAATCATGGTGGCATATGCTTTCGTAAAATGATCTTTCTAATCATTAAACCGAAACAGATAAAGCAACAATTTCAAGATGAAACTTACCAATGCTGAAACGCTGCAATCTGATGATAATGGGATAGTATTTACAAGTTGTTCCTTGTCCAGATCCCATGACATGATAGATGATATATCACCCGATGCAAACTATTCAGGTATAAAGCAAAAATATTATTTCAGAAACTACAGTGGTACATTAACACGTAAAGAGCCATATTTGTACAAATGAAAAAATTTAAGAAACTCATAGATGAAAGTCTCTAAGATAACAAAGTTTTAAAAGTGTACCAGACACCCCGACTGCTGCTGCCAATCCACAACAGCATTAACACAACGAACACCTGGTCGATGATGACCTTGGAGTGATGAAAATGCAGTGACTAACTTCTGTTGACCTTTTGATGTATAATCCTTCCAAATGCGGACACTTCCATCACCTATGTCCATTAAGCATTTAGCATCCAGAGAAAAAAAATAAGGTATACCTTCCGGTTAAAATCAAATCAACCACCCAACATAAGATGGATTATAAACTAAGTCGACTCCCCAAATAAAATTAAACCATCTAGAGACATACTTGAAGCAATAAGCAGCAAGCTCTCATCAAGCTCATTTACAAGGCAGAGCTTTGAAATTCCTTTATCAGGGTAATCATGATTCTCAAAACTGTTGAGAAGTGTTGCTTCTTCATAGTTCCAGACCCTAAAACACAAAATAAATAAACAAAAAGAAACCTGTATAAAAATTTCTGGAAGGGAAAGAATCTTTAGAAAAAAAGTGAGCTAAGGACTTCCTTGAGCAATAAGACATACAAAAAAGAGTTCCTGGAACCAAATCCACCCCCCCCCCCCAAAACTCACCCCACCCCCAAAATAAATAAAATAACAAATATAAAGGAAAGCAAATGCAGAAATAAACCCAGCTCACCCTATCCTCTCGTTCTCGTCTGCCGCAATCACCAATGGAGAGAAGGGGTGCAGCAAAGCAGTTTTTGTTCCCGTCTCAAACTTGGTACCCCAACTAGCAATTTGATTTTCAGGTTTCTGCAAAGCTGTCAAACACATCATAGAAAATCATCATGAAACCACAACCTCAGGACGAGAACCAAAGATTATAAAGAATGATCAATCATCGTTCTAAAGGGACCTACAAGAATGTTGGCATTTGGTTATACGGTCCAAAGCAAGCTTCTCCCTCTCTTCTCTTCTGGCAATAATCTCTTCGCTGTCATCTGCAGCAGTAAGGAGAGGCTTCGAGAAGTGACCACAACTCCAGTTATAGATGGTAGACTGGGGAAGAAAACTGCGTTCCGAAGACCCGGACGGTCCAGCAGTACCCAAAACTGGATCAGCAAGCCCAGAATCTGGAGAACTCATCAAATGTGGTCTAAACTCTAAGGAATAAACCCTCCGCATCCCAGTCAGGTAACTAGGCCGAGGCGGGCTCACTGGAGGAGTCCTGAACGTGAGGGGTAAATGGCCTGCTAAGAACACTCAAACGAATGAATTAGAACAAAAAAATAAATACAGTAAATTTCGAGTCGAAAAAGAAAAAGCTCCAATCAGAAACTGATAAAACATCAAAGGAGTGGAGAAGAATCACCTCCATTCATGTCAAACCATGATGATGAACGAGCTAGTCCAGTAAGACTAGGGTTCGTATTAGTAGCTGATTCTGTAAGCTGTGAACCAGCAGTTGACTTGACAGATTTTGCAACCACCTGTTCAATACCGATAATGGATAATACTCGACGTCCAAGGGCTGCAATTCTCGGAGAAGGGTCTTTAGCCAATGTGCACATAGCCAAAATGCACTGCGAATAGAGAGCATTGTCAAGTGGTCTAGGTCTTGAGTGGTGGTTAACAGTGCCATTGCTAATGGAGTCAGCCACTATGCCAGAATCGGAATGCTGAGAAGAATCATCAGACAGTGGAGATCCATGCATAACACCAGGTGTTGCTAGGGGACTGCTGGTTGATACCCTTCCATCTCGTACAGCTGATGGCGTATTATCCCCAACTCTATGCAAAGGAGCAATAGTGGATGGAACGATACTTCCGTGTGGCATAAACTGTGTAGGCGTTGTATAGCCACTTCCTGAACCTTTGACTGTAAATGAAGGCAATGCCGTAAGCAAGGAGTTCGGTTGAGGCTTCAAATATGCAGCAGCAACTGACTTGAGGTGTTTATTGTGACCAAAGGCAAACCGGGCAAGAGCTGCAAACATGAGATAAATCAATCAAATTGGAAATAAGCCAAGTTGGAAAAGCAAATTGCATTTTACAATATCCCGAAAAAAGTACAAATAAGCAGGGGCAGGGGCAGTTCCAACTGGTAGGTGATCAAGAAGTTGGATATTGCGTACGCGGTAAAGTTCGGGGTGTTTGAGAAAAAACAGACGGAGTCTTATCCAATAATGTCAGCTTAATACATACCTACAGCAACCTCAGCACGAACCAGTGGACTTCCATCTGAAACAACACTCAAAATGTTCTTCACAATACCAGCATCAGATCTCACTCTATCATCGTCATCACAATCTTCCTCTGCCACAGAGCCATCTCTTGCCATGTCAGATCCAACATCTAAAACGGTGCCCAAAGCAAAAACAGCTGCAGCTCGAACCTGATTCAGAAAATTGTTAGATATATAAACAATTGAACACCAAACCAAAAGGCAAGTAAAACAGTCTATTTCACATTCACAATGAAGACTGTACAGTAATACCTCAGGTTGGGGTTCAGAGAGTAATGGAGCTAATATTGCAGGGGCATCTGCTTGCAAACCCAGCATTTGAGCATCAGTGAAGTCTTCCCATAATTTCCCAAGACAGAGGCACAACCACTGAAGAAAAAGGGGTTCAGTTTGTGAATCGTTCAGATTCGACCCCTGAAGGTGCCTCAAGCAGACAGGGATCAGATCGGCTTCAATGCAGGCTTCCTGACCTCGTCTGTGACCATCTACAATTACAGCCAGAACAAATGCAGCCATGGCTCGTTGTTCTGGGTAAGCTTCCACACTATCAAGAAACCTAATGAAATAAGCATGCCCACCATCCTTCACAAGATCAACCTGGCAAGACTATCATTACACCAGAGATATGATTAGAACACCAACAATTGCAAAAGGTTTTACGGACAAAGAAAGGTATGATATGCCAAAGAAAGGGTGGCGAGAAATGCATAAAAAGTTTATCAGTTTACGGCTGAATGTACCTTATCAAGAGCAAGAATCTTTGTCCATATGAACACAAGAATTTGGCGGAGTTCGGGTGTAGTGGTTTGCAAGAGCTTCAGAACGTAAGGAAATATTCCAACGGATAAGGCCTGTAAACAAAGATCTTGTGAATGATTAAGATGCACAAAGAGGGGAACATTGAAAAGAATTGTTTTAGCACAAAGGTCTCCACACCAGATCCACAGCCCAGGATCCCATATCAAGAAACCTTCCAAGAAGCACCAATGCTCGGAACCGGTGACATTGACTAAGCAAAACCTAATAAAAAGAAAACAACTGCAGATCATAAACCAAAATAATCACCAAAAAAAAAAAAAAAGACGAAGCAGCCATATCCAACTTTTGTCCCTACTCATAGATCATATGAAAGAATTGCGCTAAGCACAACTACATACTGCATAAACCTAGTAAAATTGCAAGCTTCAGACTTCCTAATCATGCATATTTCAATACCACAATGTTGAAAATGAAGCAAATGTATAAAGGAGAAATGCCATGTTATACAGGCAAGAGATCGGATCATGACAAGTTTCTAACCTGAAGAACAATGGGCAGCTGTTCAGGCGGTTTTTTAAGTTCTGATCCATGATCAAGCCAGACTTCAAAAGCTGTCAACTGCTCCGTAAAGAAAGGACTAGGCTGAAGAATTTCCAGAGGGGGGGAGAGAGAGAGAGAGAGAGATATGAAGAGGGAAACAAAAAAGAAATCAGCAACCATAAACTGCAAATATACACCAAGAATAAAATACAACTCGGACTCAGAAAGATAACCTTTTCTGGATCCTCTTTCCAAAGTTTTTCATTTTTTCATAATTTTAAATTAATCTATTTACCTTCCCAATACACTTTTTTACAGTTCCAAAGGAATGACATTTTAAATTAAACTAAAAAATAACCACATAAGCAAACCTGAAAATCTGCATTAGGATCATCGACAAGAGCTGGAAGCTGAGAAAGGCAGATTTCAGCAGCCATATCCCAAGCATCCCTATTGTGGAAGAAGGTAAAGAATGGGCAAGATACAGTCAGAACACATCAAGAGGATCCAGTTTTATTTGAAAATCCATAAATCTTAAAACAGAACAGCTAAAACTTTTCATAACACATTTACCACATATGGTGCTGATGTGTTGGCGGCAAGACGGGATATGAAACGGGTGAACAATTGGCAGAGCGCATGATTCTCTCTGCCAGCAGAAAGTTACGAAATAGACTAGCAACCAAAAGATCTTGCCTGAACAACCTCTGGAACAGATCTGCAGGTTGAGAGTTTAAGTTACTAAAAAGATCTAATGCAGGATTATACTGGGCTCTGAACGGTCAAAAATTATGTGTTCATAAATTACCATGCGGAAGAACATTCCAGGCAATTGTATCAGTAACTGCTGTAAATATCCAATTCAGTTCCCCAAGAAGGGTCTTCCTGTCAGTTTGCCGGCCAGGAATCCTATCTATTAATGAATAATCAAGAGACTCTCGAAGCAGAGAGCGAGTACAAAACCTGTGAGCAACAAGTGTAAAGACAGAGACTCAGATAGAAAGCAAGTCAAACGTAATATCACTCAATCATCAAGTAACATGTTAAGGGTTAGTACATGTATATAAAGCCCCAAAAGATGAGAAACAAAAACAAAAACAAAAATGAGAAAGACAAAAACAAAAACAAAAACAAAAATGAGAAGAAAGACAAAAACAAAAACAAAAACAAAAAGGAAATTGACTCCAGCATCGACTTCATAAGCAAACTTTCTCAAGAGCATTGGAAAGAAAAAAGGACCAGCGAAAATCATAATTTGAACAATAACAAATTGAAAAAAATTCACATCATTTCCAGCACAACTTCAGTCACCACACTAACTAGGACACCCAAGATAGCAATAACAGAGTAGAGGCACATCCTTCCAGACAAATAATCGGTATCTTAAACTTAAGAATCAATACTCAGAAGTTGAGACTGACTGTACATCAAAGAAAATCTTTCAACAATAAGAAAACAACGATTCCAAAAGGAAATCATTTAGGGTTAAGAAGATGTAAAGAGTGGCAGCAAAACCAGTCTAGCTATTTACCATCTCAAAGCCATTTTGATAGGCGTCGTAAGGCAAGAAGTGAACACATCAGCTGGAAATTCAGCACTCTGCGGAAGGGTCTCATGTGCTTCACAGGCTGCGAGCAAAATACAATCCCTAGTTGAACTGCCAGAAGAAGCAGATGCAGTCCAATCCTGAAGCTGCTAATGACAAAGTATAACATTAGAACATCAGCCAACAAAAATGGAGAATGTTAATTGTATACACAAATAATTATTCAACCCCATCTTCATACCTCAATGAAGGCATTGACAATCATCCCCGCCGCAGAGCAGTCAAAAACATATATTGACGGTGTTTTCAACCAGGAATCCAAATCACTAATGGGCAACGGAATGTACTGTGTATAACTCTGCAAGTTTAAAAGCCTATGAGAAGAAAGAGAAAAACAATAGAAGACATGGAAATAGTCTCATATTGCTGTAACAAAACCTTATTGAAAAGCCAAATTTCTCCATTAGGTGTTGGCTTTGGGACTCCATGTCCATTATAATGAAACAGAACTCTCTCCGACTTCGCATATTTGCGGCAAGTTGTACAAAGCTTCTTCACCTCATCCACAGTGGGATCTAAAGAGATCTTGTACCGAGCCTAAAAATAAAAAAAGTCACCAAGTCATCAACCTTGCAGGAAAAATACTACAAAAATCACGATTCACAATAGCATTGCAACCTGATTCCCATAAAAGTAACTATGACAGTCCCTTACCCTAGGCTGCCATCTCTCGTATTGTTGGTTTAGGGTTCGTCCAATTGTTTCAAGAGCTTTTTGTGGTGCCATTGAGAATGGATCTACATGGAGCGGAACACGAATATAAAGAGGTTAACAGGCTAACAAAGTTGCTATTTTAGACACAAAAGAAATAAAATGAAGTTCCAAAATTTATACCAATCCAGCACTCCATTCGAGCACAAGGAGAAATCTTTATAACATCAGGGGGGTCGACGCTAATATTTAAACATAATACAAGGGCAACACATCCCGTCTTCATCTGCAACAGAATATTGTAAATATGTGATAAATAAGATTCACGAGAACATTTAAAATGATAAGAAACTTCATGGGCACCAACCAAAAAAATCAAACAAAAGCCTAGAGAATTGAACCGCAAAGAAGCATAATTCTCTCGAAGATAAATCTACACACCATAAATGAAAACCCATTTACACTGAAGATATCAAGGCCAAACAAAGTTCAGGGAAAAATATGTGCAACACATCACACCAACATTGAAGAACAAATAATAATTTCCTGGAAAAGTTATGCAGCACATCACATCAATAGCACTACCAAATGTAACAGCAATTAAATAATGCAGTCATATGTTTTCCACAGGCCAGGAGGTCTGTAATGTAATATTCCTATAAGTTCTTGATAGAGAAAACTTTATTTAGTGCTTGATAAACCGATGACAAATGCAAAATATTGCTCAGCAAGAGATCTAGAATGGGTAACAACAGTGACTTGAATAATAATAGAATACTACATTTTCTAACATCTGAGAAAGTAATAGAGCACAATGAAACCAGCCGTCCGATAGTTCCTGTGTGCTAAGAATCAAGTGAGGCACCACAAGTCCAGAACATCGAAACAGAGGCATCCACGAACATCGAAACAGAGGCATCCAACGACACACAAACTATCCTCACAGCACCAGATTGCATAAGTGATAAGCTTTTTAATTATTACTGCACAAAATTTTACTGCTTTTCAATGAATTATTGCACAAATAGACAAAGTTATATGACTTGAACCCAGCATCTGCTTGGCGAAATCAGAGAAGGATTCCATGCCAAGGACAATAGATAGGATTAAAACTTCAGGGGAGTAAAATGTAGAGGAAAATGGTATGATTTTTAACCCACGAAAAGAGAAAAGGATTCCTTGATCAAACAATAACAATCAATCAAGGCCTATGCCGAGCAAGAATTGGAGCCTCTAACCATGATCTCTCATCTGAAAAGTGTTGCAAGGAACATATCATGTCCAACCATCAACACAAGTTCAGCCTATGGAATACTAATTGCATCTGAAATAAGAGACAATGTGCATTCCCCAATACCTCACAAATAAAATCACTTAATTGAAAGATAGTCGAGATCATCAATCATAAAGGTATTACATTCCACACATACACGCGCGCATGGGGGAGGAAGAAACAAAGACATTTCAAAATCAACTTATTAATAACCAACTATTTGTTAACAGTTTGTACCTATGCAATGTGACCGAACCTTGATTAGTATTTCTGGCCATGACAAATAAACACAATTTAATATGTGGGTCACTCTGTATCCCAGCAAATGGAGGAGAGCGGGAGGCTCAGGACTCCTATCGGTGAGAATACAGCAAAGAAGGCAACACGACAAAATGAAATTAAATCTGCCAAAAGACCGTCGCGCATGAAAATTGCTATTTTGAGCTCCTTATGTGCCACACATACATGCCCCAATTATTTAATTTCCATATCGACATCAATGGATAAAACAATTACCACCAAAGGCGAATCATGGATTAAAAGAACAATAAATTCTTAATTAATAGTTAATATAGCTAACCCAAAGTCGTTTCTTCAATTTAAAATTACTACCCGCAATTCTTAGAATCAAGCGGCACATTAAATGCAATTTGTTGGCAATTGGCTGTGCTCACGGTCAACATCAATACATAATTTTAACTCCGTAAAGCTCAAAACTTTTGTCATCAATTCAGCAAGAGAAGACTAGTGAAATTCAAGTTAAAAATAACACCTAACAAACAAATACACGGCCACAAAAGGTAATCGGGTAAGCATCATTATGCAAATGCAACCAAATAAGGACTTTAATCACCACACCACCTCACATGTGTCACCCAAAACTAACCAACAAAGCAAATGAAACTCATTGTTTCGATATAGAAATGAATGGAAACCAAAGAGTGCAACATGTTAGGCAACTTATGATTACTCACAAGCAAATTTTTTTAATTGCTTCGGGGATATATAAACATGGATTCTAATTTAAAAAATAAATTAAAGGAAAAATCAAACAATTCCATGCAATAATTGGAGTTTCTTCACTTGCCCATGTGTCTATCCCCTCATTTCAAAACATTCCAAACAATATAAAAGGCTAAGAAGAACAGTAAGCCGATAATAGCACCAGCAAAAGAACAGCACTATGGGAAAGAAAGATAAAAATTTGAAAGACACAAGCAATGGGGCATGAATGAGAGGTTTACCCGGTCCCTGGGCCGCCATTTAGAGACCAAGCCACTGTCAGATGGGCCAGAAGGTAAGGTACCCTCGAATGCCTCATGCCGGAGCTCACACAAGACCACAGTCTGGGGCAAATAAGCCATGCTTGTAGTTGTCGTCGTCGTCGTCATTGCGGTGGAGGTGGCCACACCACCAGCATAACTACTAGTACTGGCAGTTTCGGAATAATCCCGAACAACACTCCTCTCACCATCACCATCCTCGGGAACAACAACCACCATGTTACCATTACTACTATTACCACTATTGCTACCACTAATATCCAACTCCTCAAAGTGATTAGCCGTCGCCAAAGCCAGAGCAGAGGACGATTGGGAATGAGGAAACCTAGACGCCATCAAATCCCCCAATGCCATTCGGAGAAAAATCAATCTGTCTCGCTGCCTTTCCCGCTCTTTGTAGTCTTAACCCTGCCCTAATCGAACGAATTTCGGGCAGCAACACATAACAACAAGGGATCGAATCCAAAGAAAGGCCTTTCCTTTCAGCTCCTTTTAGACCCAGAATAAAAGAAAGACAGCAATTGATAGGGAGACAAACCCTAGACGTGCCCAACGGGTATGAGGAGAAATCGGCGCGTTGGAAACAGTCGCGGAGTAGAGAAAGGAGAGAGTGAGGAGTGAGTGAGAGAGCCGCCGGAGATAAAACAGGGGAAGGGGTGGTGGTGGAGTGATTGATATGTAATGATTTTAATTAATCAACGAAACCGATGAACCAGCGGCGTAAGCCATTGGAGATTGGAAGGAGTATGGGGGAATCCAGCTCGAATAAATAAGTATGCAATCAGAGGAAGAAGCCCTAGGAGAGCACGCGGCGATGGTGACGGCGGCGACGGTGGTGGTGGTGATAGAATGGAGGCGCATGTACAAAATGAAGAAGGGGAAGCAAAAAATAAAAATAAAAATTTTAAAAAGAGAAAAAATGGAGAAAGTTTTTAGAGAGAGAAAGCAATGTAACAGACAAATAAAGAGTGTGCTTCTCTGCGAGGTCTCTAAACGCACCATCAAATTGTAGAAACTCAAAATTTTGAAGGGTAAAACCGATAAATTACTTCTTCTCCTTTTTTTATTTATCATTTTGCAAAAACCACTTGGGTTTTTTTTTTCCGAGAGTTTAAAGTTTTATAAAAAAAAAATTAATTCTTATTGCTCGATATAAATTTGTAACTGAACAAGAGATATTTTTTACAAAAAAAAAAAAAAAATAGTGATAAGTAGGAGTAACTGTTTTTTCTTATGCATTTTCCTTGTGATTATAGTATATATTTTTATTGGACTTCATTCAATTAATACAATGTAATACTTTATAATGATTATTTATTTAAAAAAACGAACATACTTAATAAATAGATAACGTTACACAGCTTTATAAAATATGTCAATTAAAAACATCATCATTAAGTGTGTTTCTTCAGATATCTCTATCAAAAAATTTAAGCACAAAAGGAAAAAGGAGAAAATATAAAAATACTAGACCAAAAGTAAAGTGTCTCAAATAAATAAAATGACATTTTTTTTATACAAAATAAAATGACATGAATAATAGTAAACATTTTTGGGGTTTCTCGATTTTGGCACAAGACAGGAAAAAAATAAAAGAAGAAGTTACAAGAAGTAAAAGAGAGGGGTTGGAAAGGTCCAGCTGGAAGTGAGGGGGGAAGTGATGAATTGAACAAAAAGTTACAGCTGGATAAGTGCAGCTACTTCATCAGCATTGTCCTCTTTCCAGCTATTTCCACCGTACCTCTTCAAAACCATCATCATCTTATCTGCTTTTACGGTTTTACCATCCTTTTTTTTTATTTCTTTATTTATTTTTAATGTTATAACCCTCCCTGCCAACAACATATTACCCGTGGTGATGGATGGAGAGCTCTGCTGGCGTGCGAGGAACACATGCATTCCGCCCCAACATTGTTTATGACATAACTCTTCACACTAAACCTGCCATTTTAAAAAATTATACGATTGTGAGACAAAACCGTTCCTTTTGATTTTATGGATGTGTCTATTTGTTAAAAAATATAATTAATACAAAATCATGTTAGCGAGCCCCTTATTTTGTTCAACCCCTCATCACCAGTTTTGCCCCTTATTTTATCAAATTTGGGCTTGAAGGTCAGGAGCAGAGCTCTGGCGACAAGATCAATGACTCGGAGAAGGGTGGGTTTCGTAAAGGGGAAGAAAATTTTCAGTATTCAATTTTGACGACAATATTTTCCATGCTCTATTACAGACAATTTGAGTTCCTACACGATACAATTCGTGTAATTGAGTACTCCAATTGGAGACATAATGTTTGAATGTCAATTTACATTTCATCTTGCTAATTAAAAGTGAAAAGTGCTTCTAATTGAAAACTAAATGGGAAATAAAAATATTGTTTGGATGTTGGTTTTGAAAAAGTGTATTTTTGAACTATATTTTGAAATATCAAGTACAAGTCATCACTAAACAATTAAATACTATCAATTATAGTCACTGCAAAAAAAAACTTTTCTAAAAACAATCACTCAACAACGGAATCCTGCCAAATTTGTCACTGAATTATTTGTAGTTCTAAAATGGTCATTAGACTAACAAAAAATGTTTCAATTTAAAATTTAAAATGTAAATCAGACCGTTGTTTGGGTGGTGTTTTTTTTTTTACATTGGGTTTTGTGTTTAAGGGGTAAAATGAGTTAAAATGTAAAATAGAAGATTGGCCGAACCACTCATTTTGTTCAAGCAAATGGGCCTGGACAATTTAAAATTTATGGGCCTTTGTCACGGTTACGGACTTTAGAATGCAAATACTGTTATTGTCAAAGAGTTGATGGATTGTCCACACAAATAGTAGATCAAGCCCATTAGACTACATGTTTTGTTGTTGACTCATAAGCCCAATTCATCCCTGCTTCAAAGGATAGGATGTTTTGTTTTGTTTTGTTAGACAAATCATATATCCACTAATGTAATAATTGTCGTAAAAGAGGTATGTAAATGTAATGAATGATGATCTCACAAACCCTTTGAATCGAGGACTAAAAACCTTTCTTTTTTTTTCTTTTTTTTTTGGGTGAAAAAAAAAAACCTTTCTTCAATTCAATGAATTACGGGAAGTTGAAGTAGTATTGTTATTTATTGCCTTATTGGGGAGTTGAGGCCGCCTTCCCAGTTCCCGGGGGAGCACAACATCACCTACGTGGAGTTGACATCCACAGCCCTGGAAATCTACAACCGCAACTTCCAAAAAGTGGCTCCGATTTCAACCCCCAAACCACCCTATTCAATAACACCAACCCCCAAACGACACTGTACTAAAATGAGTGCTACTCGAATTAAATGATACTTCTTCCGTTAAAAAAAAAAAATTAATTCATATTGAGTTTTTAAATTTGTACTAAAATCAGTACAAAACTCAAACGTAGCTAGAGATTACTTTGTGTTATGAAGAAAACCACGCTCATGTTTGTAGCTAGAGATTCATTCGGAAGAAGCTCTCATTTTTTGGTGATTCAACTCTCTTTTGTTGAGAAGTTTATTCTCAGTATAATGTTGTGTTGTACTCCCTTTCTCCCAAAATTATTGTCCAGTTTGAGATTTCACTTTTAGTTCAATTTGAACTAAAAATAAAAATTTCAAACTGGACAATAATTATGGGACGGAGGGAGTATATTCTCTAACATATAGTAGGATTTTAACGGGGGTTAGGATCGATCTATCATAAACAAAATACGAAAGGAGGACATTGGAGGGTGGGATTAAAGAACGAAATGAAATGTGTAACAATCAGATTCAACCAACTAAATTCAATAAACTTGGCTTACATGAGCTGTGCAGGACAATGCATATCCCATATATGTTAATGAACATACCCCATCCGTGGGCTTTATAATTTAAAACTAAACTGTACTTTTTGTGAAGTACAGTAACTACCATAAGATAGAGGACAATTCAACCTCCAAATCCTGATGAGTGAGTGGGCCATCACCCCGATCTGCTTAACCAAAAAAAAAAAAAGTTATGCTCGAGGAATATTGTTAAGTCAACAACCCTCCATTTGCAATCCATTCTTCTTTATTTTATTTTATTTCACAGTAACGAAATAAGACAAAACGATTATATCATATATATTTCTTGTTCATGCTGATAAGAAGTTATTACAATTTTACAATAAATTATAGTATTAAAACAAGTTATATATATATAAACTCTTGTTTCATTTAATTCTATCTTTAAGTTATGACATAGGTGACTCTTTTGTGCTACAACTGTATACATATCAACCACCTTAATTAATTATTTGATGATAATAACAACTAAACTCTAGTTTTGAAGTGTAGGAAGCAGGATCATTAATCATTTGATGCGCAGTACGTACTGACACTGCTAGCCCGTTTTATAAAGGAAATCAGTAAAATGATGAAGGGATATGAAACCCTCCAGTTTCTAAGTCAAAAATCAATCTCTGGATTAACAACACTATTATATATATATATATATATATATATATATATATATATATATACACACAAGTCGATGGTTGTGTGGCGAAGAAAACTTTCCCTGCTTGCAGCTTTGCATGGGCCTCAAAGATATATACTGTGAAAATATTCAACCTCCCCCCACCCGACAGCGCTTCATTCAATTCACCACCCCTTTCTTTGGTTTTTTTTTATTTTTTTTATTTTTTTTTTAATTGGAGCCACGCACTACTTCTACTTCTTATTCTTCTTCCTTTTTATGAACCACCGCAATGACGTTTCAGTTAACACAATTCGTTAGATTTTTCCATGCCGTTTGAATGTGCATTTCAACGTGGTAGGCATTCTATTAATTCTCAAAAAAAAAAAAAAAAATTGTGACGGTCCACCAGCTCTATAATAGATTTATTTTTTTTTTTCCCGATAAAGAGAGAAAATAATGTAAAAAGTAAAATATAGGACCGTGTGTATTGAATGGATTGAAACCTATCACCAAACATTCCTTATCGAAAAATTGAATACTGATGAGCACTAGTAAGTTAAGAAAACTAGAGCCCGAAACAATTAAGAATGACCAATACGAATTTAGAGCAACGACCGACTCGATGTCTAGCCACAACCCTGTGTGTTAGTTTGTTGGTGTTGTTGAACATTCGCTTTCTCATAAACTCAAACTTAATAATGAGCTAAATGACACACCGTGTGTACATCATTATAATATAGTGGTAATACCCTGGCTACTAGTGCTCCCTTTGACCCAATCACATCCCAAGTTGAGATTTTTTTTAGGAAAGCTAGCCACGTTCCACCTATATACATACGTACACACCATCAATATGTCACTATGATCGTGACCACCATAATGTTGTTTTAGATATATACTCTTCCCTCCTCCTTTGAGAATGATTGATATATACTATTTTGTTTGAATTTTCACTGAATGAAATCGATCACTAAACCCTAAACCCAATACTTAATCTTTGGATGTAGAAGTACTGCTGTATCTCCGCTCATTATTTAATTGGCTTATTCCATCCACACTCCCATTTAACCAAACAGCATACACACATCTATATAAAATCCAGGTTGAATGTTATTATTATGAGTGAAAGATGGGAGATGAGATAACAAAAGAGATTAACTATATGATATGAACACATACAATGAGTGAATAAAAAAGAAGAAAAAGTTGAACGACACTTGGGAGACTACAGATACATGATGTATACGCTGCTGATGAACTTCGCCATTAGACTAGCTTTCAATGGGGAAAAGAAGCAAGCAAACATATACTCCTACATATTTAACCGGAAAAAAAAAGAGCAAGAAATACAAGCAAGGACGAAATAGAAAAAGAAACGAAGCCATATGCGGTGGTTGCGAGCGGGAGCGCGAATTTAGGAATGAATCAGAGGGTATCCGTTGCTCCTCCTGCTCCAAGAATTGTTCCTTGGCAGCACAAAACAAAACCGGGAGGAGCACTTGAGTGGTGCCCACCTCCACCCACCACCGGACGAAGCTCCTCGGCCGCCGTCAGTGGTGGTAGTAGTAGTAGTAGTACTAGTCCAGTCGGAGGATAAGGAGGAGCTGCATGAAGGTGAAAACGACACCGACGAAGAGCAACGTGACGGCGGATAATATTTACTCTGCGCTGGCTTTCTGGATGAGGAGAAGGAGCCGGTGCCGGAACGGCGGCGGAGCAGATGCCGCAAAAGATTGAATCTGGATGATCTGGCGGCGGGCACAACCAAGGCGGTGGTGGGGGGTTTTTGGAAGAAAGAAGGAGGAGGGGTGAGGGGCGGCGGCGGGGGAAGGGTAGGCCGGAATGATGAGGGTGTTTAGGGGTGCCCGGAATGGACTCCCACAAGAAGGGAACTCCGTTAGTAGTACCTGCTACAACGTCGTCGTCTCTGTAGTAATGGGAAGGCGCGGACATTGAGAGCTGCTGGTTGGAGCTTTCCTTGGATATCATTCTCAGCCTGCAAGAGGAGCTGTACCTCCTTCCGGATCCCCCGACCCCCAGTTTGGATACTATAAATGGATCCTCCAGTTTTATGCCTATGTCGCCGGACGCTGACTCCATGTATATATTGATGATTAATGTAGCTGCTGCTTGCCTGCCTGTGTGTGGGAGGAGACTAAATGAGGACGGATTCCACTGGTATTTATATACTTAGTTTCTTAAGATAAACAACAACAAATAATGACAAGTATGAAGTAAACTAACACGTTTTATAGTTAAATCATCAGTTACAAGTTAAAAGGGTGTTGATGTTGACTTTAGATGCAACTATTCTAACAAATGTGGCTCATTAATTTATTTCATTTTACATACATACGAGTTGAGTTTGCTCTTCTATTCTTTTTAGTTTAATGCTGTATATTTTAATTAATTCCAATAGAAATGTGTCTGCTCACTAATTTGCGGAGATATTTATCATTGTTGTTTGTGTTGTTCTAAATAGTGTGTACCCTCCCAAAATGACCACTCAGCTATGTTACTAATATCCACTGATCAGTTAAGTCATTCAACTCCCATTGAAAATGCAACCTGAATTAGACTGTGTCTTAATGTTAAAGAGTCATAAGTAGGTCTCAAACAAACAGATGAGGTCGTTAACCAAAACGCGGAGGCATCATCTGCTCTTCTACCAGTAGTGACTAGTGATTGTCAGACAGGTAATTCAAGACTTCCTTTTGCACCAAATGACCAAAAAAAAAAAAAAAAAGCTCTTTCTGTCAGCTGCCCCATAACTTGCCCAATGGTGTGTACATTAATGTGGATGTGGATGGCAACAGAACTGCTGGGAAACCAGTCAATAACCGGCTTTGCTTTGGACTGTTGGATCCGGACCTTACTGAAGTGTAAGGGCCCAATGTATCCTTGTCCGAGAGCCCATCTCAAAATTGTTGCCTAAAGTATCCATCCATTATACCGCCAATGGACAAATGATATCTCTCGTGAAAAGACCCGGTAATGAATTCTCTAGCCAAACTAGGATTAGCTTATTCTCCCGAGTGGTATTTTTTGAATTTTCTTTTAGTAGTTAAACTTTGTAGTTTGGTGACAATTTTTTTTAGTTTTTTTTTTTGGTAATTTCTTTAATTTGATATCAGTTTTTATTCTTTTCTTTTTTCAATTTGGTTGCAAATTTAAGTTTAATTATATAACAAAGCATATGACAAGAACAAAATTTAAAGATAATGCATCAAAATTACAATTGGGAATTTACGCTGAATTTGGTGCGACGCTGTTCGTTGTAAAAGAAACAACGCATAGATTAGTGTCTTTGTAAAAGTAAATATATTATACAAAAAAAGGGGGTGGAGTAGAATAGTAAAGTAGTGGGTGTTAGTCCAAATAGTAATCCCCCGATTTATTTAATGCTTGAGATTGATTTTATAAGGTAAAGGCCCCCCAATTAATTTCAGCTGTTGCCTCCGCCCCACTGAGTCGTCAGCAGGGCAATGCAAGCATGGAAAGTGAGCGTCGGAGCGCAGGGCAGAAGGCTGGAAATTGGGTTCAAGGGCGGCTTCCGCTGGGCCCGCAAGCATTTCCAGATTTCTATGAGCTTGAAGCTTTCCCAGGTATCTTCACTCTCCGCCGCCAATGCCGAGACTAGCATTGTTATTTCTCATCAACCCAAATCTCCGGTTTACCGCAAGATCCTTAGATCCTGTAGCAGTATCATCCAGAAATGTCGCAGCATCGGAAGAAGCCGGAATGGTACGGGGAACCACTGGCTCCGCCGCCGCCGCCGCGGCGTTGGGATTCATGGTGGAGGAGGAGGAGGGTCGTCTGGGTGGGTTTGGAATCGGATCATGGGTCGGGTGAAACAGGTAGGCCCCAGACGAGTGAGGATGGCATTGGTGGTTTTGTTCCTTGCTTTGTTTAATTTGTCCATTTTTCATACCGTCGTCTATGCGCATTATTAACCCCATAATATTAGTAATTTCTTTCTTCGCTCTCCTTGGATTGAGATCTGGAAGTGTTCATTGTTGTCTTGCAGAGAGAGAGACTGAGAGACACACACTTGTGGTGTTCAACGTTAGAATGTGGGGGGCGGTGGGGGATTGAGGGCAGGACTTAGGAATTTAGCTGATAATTATTACTCACTCCGTCCCATAATTATTGTCCAGTTTTACTAAAATGAAAGATTTTATTTTTGGTCAAACTTAACTATATTTTACCTTAAACAACCGGATATACCCTTACATAAGTAATTGTTTAACCATTAAGATTTTATGGATAATGTTTTTTATTAAGGACAAATGTGTAACTTGATTTATAAAAAGTTAAATTGAACAATAATTTTAGGATAAAATTTTTTGAGCAAAGTGAACAATAATTATAGGACGGAGGAGTACTAGTATCAAAAGGTATTCGATGCGTGAAAAAAATACCATTCTGTACTTAATTATTTGTGCTTTTTTTCCCCCCTCAAGAATAAGATAACGCAAATAAATACTGTACACTGGGTTGTTTTACTATTCTCTACTGTATTTGATATTCCTGTTCTACTCTTTAGCACTCCTACTAGAAAGCCTAAGTGATGTAATTGTACTCTTTGGACAATGTTTTGTTTTAGTTTTTCATTTCTATTTGAGAGGATTGGTATTTGGATATAGATGTCAAATGTAATAGTGAAATAGCTTGTAAATAACAGTTTTGTGGAGTTTATATATTTTACAAATTTACCAAACAAATTAATAAAAAATTTGGATAGTATTTTAGTATAGTGTTAATTTATGAAATTAAAATAATTCAATGATCAAATTAAAGACTTTACAATAGTTTAATGATTATCGGCACTAATTTTTTTCCCTCACCAATAGATCACCCCCACCACCCTGCTACGGCCTGATCGCTCCATGTCGCCGATCGACGACCGGTTGTCCGGATTACGGCCAAATTTCAGTGAGTTAACCGGTCCGGCGGTGGCGAACGGTGATGGAGGTGGTCCGGTAGTGGTTAACAAAAATTATGTACAAATAATGTTTGAATTTTTTTTTTAAAAAATGTAAGTTAAGATGTTATATGGATAGTGTCTTGAGTTTTGTGTTTAAAAAGGAAAATAAGACCAAAAAAATTAATAAATAAAACAAGAGGTTGTCCAAACAAAGCCTTATTAAGTGAAAAAGTCACTTGTATAAAAATTATACTCTCTCGTCCCAAAAAAATAATCCACATTAAATTTACAAATTTGTACTAAAAACAGTACAAAACTTAAAACTCAACATGGATTATTTTTTTTGGGACGGAAGTATAAATGATTTAGAAATATTGCTCTAAATTTCTCGAATTTCCAATTGGTCCAATTTCTACTCTTTCTTTACTTAATTTTTAATTAGTTAATTGAAGTCATTTTGCACAGAAAATTTGTTTATGTCGGCATATGATGTCACTTTTCTGATAAGGTCCGTTCAGTTGGTTAGTTGGATTGAATGTTAGGGGGTAATTGTAGTATTCATAAAACTTGAGGGGAATTTTGTTAAAGAGCCGTAATTCGGGCTGTAAATTGTAATTTGCCCTTTTTTTAATATGTCGTATTATGGTAAACTCAAAACTTTTTTTTTTAAAAAAAAAATCTGTAACATTTCACTTCAAATGTAACATTAAATACAACCTTTCATTTTTAGCTTTATCCGTATTTACTTTTAATAATATATATTAATGAAAAGTACCTATTTTTTACAGTCTAGTTTCTAATTTTGTAGAATTTTAATACTTTTAATTAAGGATAAAAAAAGACATATATTTAAAACTTAAAAGTTTAATAATTATTTTTTAATAATTGTGCAAATCCTAAAACGATATATAAAAATAAATGTCTAAATGAGAGATAATATAATACATCAGGATAAAATTACTTCTCTTGTTACATTAGGATGAAATTGAAGTCGGCATGATAAATTAATAAATGAAGAATAAAAATTAGAGAGGAGGATAGAAAAAGAAAAGGGGAAAAAAGATAATTCAAGATTGGGACATCCGAGGATGATGAGCTAAGTAATAGGACATTCCAAATCCAAATTCCACACTTCGAAGCGATGATGGGTGGTGGGACCATAAATAGCTAATAGGTTTGAATAAGGTTAGGAAATTTGAGGGCCGTTGGATTAGAGGTGCGGTGGACAATCCGACGTTTTGAGTAGAAAGTCAAATAATATCCGATTTTTGAATCCTCTGATGAGGGTCTATGTTTTTGACCGACTGACCGCACCAACATTTATACAAACGTGATCAAACCCTCCATCCCACCTTTTTCTTTTAACTTTTCTATAGTTATGGTTATACACTTATTCTAGTACTATAGACTTCTAATTGTCTAATTGTCGATTTTCAATACTTTTTACTATTGTCTAAAAGAAAAAATTGTCTGTTCATCGTATTTGCTTTTACGTATCTGTTCATTTTTTTGACTAATTACGGTTAGCAACTACTACTATAATTTTATTGATAGACTAATTATTATTGTCGACCACAAATGTCTATAACCTGAAAAAATAAATAAATAATTAAAATGAATAACAATATCACACAAATTAGATTAAAAAATATTAATTAATAAAGGTATTGATTGACTTTAATTACGATTAGAATTTAAATCCGGACATTGATATAGAACAGTGATTAAAATATTTGTTGGGAGAATTTTATCTTTCTACAAAGATCTATTCAAGTAGAAAAGTTAAAAGATTTTTGCCTCCTGATAAAAACTTACTCAAATCGAATCCGAATTGATCGGAGTAATGATCAAGACACCGAGTGTGTAATACCAAACCCAAAAAAAAATCAAATTATAATATGCACTATTGTAGAAAATAAAAAAAATTATACGCACTAGTGTTATCACTCACAATTTCGCCATTACATACGCAATTTATTAGTACTCGTACATTCATTGTCACATACATTCCAAAATATAAATCTTTTTGATTAGGCGATAATGGAAAATTAAGTCACCCACGCATGTTGAGTATTTGTAATTAGAATACGATATAACCAGTGTTTTATGTTAATGAAAAAATTGTTATTTCAGATTTTTTTAAAGACATTTGTCTTTTTCTTTGTTAAGAAAGAGAAGAGAAGAGAGTAATGATTTTTTAAAATAATGAGTAGGATTTTTTTGAAGTTTGACTGTCTTTTTGAACAAGAGAGGCCGCTTAAGCTTCAAAGGTCGAAGAACTCAGGAGTCAAGACATACGGAGGCTTCTGCTACCATCTATCCCGTACACTCTGATTTTTTACGCTTTACTATTTTAACTTTTTTAATTAAAATCAGTAGAAAAAAATTACTCTCGTAACTTTAAAATTATCGTACAATTAAAATTTTCTTTTTAATATAATTTGAATTAAAAATAAAAATTCAAATTGACATTAATTTTAAGATAGAGGGAGTAACTACTACTATTGTTCATTGATTTTTTTTAGAAGACATTACATCACAAATATTTCATGAAAATTCTATAAAAACACATTGAAAGACATCACGTAATATATACTCCCTCCGTCTCAAAATTATTGTCCAATTTTGTTTAGATACAAAATTTAATTTTTGAGTCAAATTCAACCAAAATTTGTCAAGAGTTTCCACATATACCGCAACATCCCTAATTGGTTTTGCCGGCCAAAGAATTCTTTACTCTTTTCTTTTTTCTTATTTTTCACTTTTAGTTCCCAGATTGAAAGACCAAATGCAAACGCAATAACACCTCGAATCATTACTCAGTCAGGCGCCTATAATTGAACCCAATTTCTAGACGAAGAACTTCGAATTGATGATGTTTATATGAATACAGTTCCTTAACTTCATCGAAACTTCCTTTCCGGAATGGATCGAACAGAGTCCAACCTCTAAGCCATCGTTTGTGCCAATCAAACCAAAATTTTCAGACGAAGCGATCAATTATGATGATCCATACGAATTGGAGTAAGATGCCTCAAATGAATCGAAATTGGAATCTGTACCTCAGATCCTCAGCCGAATGAACACAAAATTCAAGTCGGAGTCGAAATCTTTTCAAAAGGATTACAGTACGAAGAAGCTCGAGGACAAGGAGAAGAATCAAGTTTTATAGAAGCCAAAATCTTCACAAATCTGGCCGCGTAGAGCGAGCCATCAGAATATAGCATCGTTTCTGCTTCTGGGAGAGAGCTAGTTCTATCCCAGACGTGGTCACTGAAACTAGCAACCAGGACAATCTTTTATTTAATTTTGACATCGTTTCTGGGACATTGTTTCTGTTAATTTTTGACCAAAGGGTAGAAGTGTAATTTAATCCTTAAAAATTCAAATTGGACAATAATTTTAAGACAAAATTTTTTTAGCAAATAGGACAATAATTTTTGAACGAAGAGAGTATGTATTAATTTCTTGCTCGAACCATATCTTAAAGCTATTTATTATACTCACGTAATTGTCAAATAAAAATAAAATCTACAAGTAGGTAGACCTTCATATTGATAAAGTTAAAATTTATACCAAAAAACATAATTTAAAAATAAAATCTCCAAGCACGTACACCTCTACATAGATGAAGCTATAATTTATGTTAAAAAAAACATGATTCAAGTAGAGTTTGAATTTATGTTATTTTTAGTATAAATATCAAAATTTAGTGAATCTTCCCCCTCCCCCCCTCTTCTCAAGAGTTACTTTAATCTCAAACAAAGGTTCTTAGCAGTAAAGTATGTGCACAAAATGAAGGAATTTGTTTTGTCTTGAAATAGGTGAAAGTTAAGCCGGAAAAAATGAAGTTATAGATCACAGACACACTAACATTTGAAGTCCTTAAATATCCATCCATAACATTCATCAATTAGGATAAGTTTACATTTTAAATAATTTGGCACTGCCAATTTTTTTTCCCAAAAATAACCTTAAAATTATTAGTCAAGAAAGGTGTGATGAGGAGTGGTATACACGTCTACCCAATTGTTTTTAGTTTAGGGATTAAATTGATTATAAGAAGAAGGGTTTTTAGATTTGGCCATTTTGGAGGGGGTTTGGTTTGACTTTGACCACTGCTCCCCTTTACTTTTATTCCTATGACTACTATCCTCTCTCACCTCTTTCATTTCCATTTCTATTTTTTTTTTTTCTTTTTTTCTTTTTCTCTGTCACTTCCTTCTTCCTCTTCTTCTCTGCTACTTCCCTCCTTCCTAATCTGTACTTTTTTGACAAATTTTTTCCACTTTTCCTTTTACACTCACAAATCACAACCCTCTTATATAATTTCCCTCTTTTCTTTTTTATTTTATCTTCTTTTGGGGTATTGGAATCAGCTCTTGGAATTGGGCAGAGAGATCTGCTCTGTACAGAAGAAAGAATCAGCTCAATTTTGCTGTTTTGGCTGCCCTTTTAAAAGCTTTAGGTTTGCATTTGATATTCGTTACTTTCTTTTTTTTTTTTCCTGAATTATTAAAAATTGGAACTTTGGATTGCCCAGGAAGAACGAATAACCGCAAGTAGGTAGTTTTGCTTTTAGGTTTTACTTTACTTGCTATGAGTTTCTGTGTAAGTTTCCTTTGGTGGCGTTGGGTTTGGAATTGGGTTTAGGTACTAGTCCTGCGTGAATTTAAATTTTTTTTTGGTCCCGTATTTGTTTTGTGGTTGGACTTTGTTATAAGAAATACATGTATTTCTATTGTCAATGCAGTTTCAATCGCAAATTATAAGAATTTTTTTTTTTTGGGTTGGGGTGGGGGGTTGGAAGATCTGTTAGGGGGTTATAATGTTAACTTTCCTCAAACATGAGGGACTAAAGAGTTGATTTGGGTGTATGTCGGGTATAGTGGAGGTTGAAAAGCTCAACCTTCGGATGACCTCTTAGGTGACTATGCCAATGCCATTGCATTTTGTTCATTTGTACGTATTTGTTAAGAGTGCTGCAAAGGACAGGAGAAGGCTTGCCATTTTTCTGTAAATGAATGAATTTTGGGCGTGCCTACTATATTTTTTCAGACAATGCTGATGAATCTTTCTTTCTTCTGGGGATTCGTGAGTTGGGGTTTTCAAGTGCCCATCTCATAACCAGCCAACTTAGTGTCTCTTTCAAGTGAATCATATACTTAGGAATGGTTAAGTTGGATGGGGTTTGGGGAGCGCTGTTTTGTCATTGCCATCAGGGAAGCATTTTTCCCTCTCTAACAGTCATTGCTTGTGTCCGGGGATAGTATTTCACTTTTTCATTTTTCCTTAGTTTTTGTACATAATTATTGTTCCATCTTTTAGTATTTTAGGTCTCATCACTAATCAGCTGTTGCCGAGGATTTGTGGTTTGGCTTGTCCATTTGCACATGATCTTGTGCATACCGTTGATAGTTTGACAAGGTTTCTAATCATTTAATCTTGTGCTTTGGACTGAACAGATAAAAACCTGTGCATAAAATGGGTTGTTTCACAGTTTTGAAGAGTAAAAAGAAAAAGGCTGAGGAGCCGATGCTTTCCCCAGTAGTACAGGGTGGCAATCCTCAGGAGTGTTTGCAGCCCACCACACTACCTGAACCACCACGAAACGCTGCCACTCGCTCCCTGCAATCAGCCCCTCCAAGTTTTAGAACTAGAGTTAAGCCTGTTCAACCGAATAAAAAGCAACCGAAAAACAATAGGATGCGGGCATTATCTGCCCCATCAAGTCTTGTTGCTGCTGAGGATACCCTATCGTCCAATGATTATGAAGAACAAGAAGAAGTATCCAAGAGTCGTGTTGGATCCAAGAAAGATTACTACCAGCCCGTGAGCCCTCAACCTCTGCCTCTTCCATCCCCTCAGAATAATTACTCTGCGCCATTAAAAAATCTAGGAAGCTTTAAAATGGGAAATAATGCCAGTGGCCCTCTTAATGCCTCTGGACCGCTCCCTTTGCCCCCAGCAGCTGCCCCTCCAACAACTATTATTCCTGCTTCAGGAGGAAACCTGAGAAGCTTTTCCTATGAAGAAATTGCTGCTGCGTGCTTTAATTTTTCTCCTGATCGATGTGTGTCAGAAGGTCTTTCTTCAGTTATGTACCGTGCTTCTTTTGGGGAAGAGAGCTCTTCATCCAGGAAGCTTGAAGCCACAGTCACCCGTCTTCATTCCTCTAATCAGGTGATATGTTGCTCTTCATTCTTTTCAACTTCAAGCAATTAAATTGTAGCTTCACATTATTCTCCTGGTTCACAAGTTGCTTACTGTTGCAATTTTTAGAGAGGGCAGCACTGCAGTCTTATGCTTTATATTTGATTCCTGTCTATAATGTAAATTGGGATTTTCTCCAAAGCTGTTCTTTTTTCCTTAAATTTTATCAATTCTACACTTAGTGATTTTTCCCATTGATGTAGTCGAGCACCCAAGTCCTTATAAACTGTCTGCTTAGTATTGATGATATTGTTTTTGCTTGTCAGAGTTTAAAGGAATTCATCAATGAGGTGAATACCCTTTCCTCTTTGCAACATCCACATCTCTGTAAAGTTCTTGGTTTTCATGCACGGGAGGGATCCGATTGCCGGATGTTAATTTATGAGAGACTTTTCCATGGAAGCCTGGACCGGCTTTTACATGGAAGATCAGATGGTCCTCCTCTTGATTGGAATGCCAGGATGAAAGTTGCTTTATGTGCTGCACAAGGTCTTACATTCTTGCACGAAGAAGGGCCTTTTCAGGTAAAAGGCAATTTCATATTGGAACATTTGGATGGAACTCTATCTTGGTATCCAATATTTAATCTTGTTAAACTAATGTTTTTCTTTTTTCCTTGAATGAGCAGGCTATGTTCCATGAGTTTTCAACTGCCAATATACAGATTGACAAGGACTTTAGTGCAAAGCTTTCTGGATATGGATGCATTAGCCACGTTGCGGAGACAGATATCTCAAATAGTAATCTAGTGAGTGCAGCTACTATTCAGTGATTAATATTAATGCGCTTCATCAAAATCTCATATTCTCTTAAGCAGCGATGTAGTTTTTGTTTCAAAAGTTGTGTAAACAGAAATCTTCATCATCTTATTATTCGGAATTTTTGTTAAATATGAGATTCCTAGTTTATATGCTCTAACTGTTAAAAATTTCATATTTTTTTATATCTCAGGCAATGGCGAATCTTTCTGTGGAGACAGTAGAGAGAGGTTTATTAACTCCAAAGAGCAACGTGTGGAGTTTCGGCATTGTGCTGCTCGAACTGCTTACCGGGCGAAAGAACCTGGACAGTCGGCATCCCAAAGAGGAAAGAAACTTAGTCAAATGGAGCAGGCCATTCTTGGCTGATGATTGTCGCCTTTCTTTAATCATGGATCCTCGGCTTAAAGGCCGGTTTCCTTCTAAAGCCGCCCGGACTGTCGCTGATATTGCACAAAAGTGTCTCCAAAACGACTCTTCCGTTCGGCCAACAATGAGAACTGTTGTAGAGCAACTCAAGACTATACAAGATATGAAACATCCTTCTAGATTTCCATTGCAGGAGCCTGGATCAGTTTCTGGAAAAAACATGTTGAGATCACCGAGTCTAAATGGAATTGTAGTTTCCCCAGCCCCTAGGTTAAGTTTCTCCCCATCACCACCAGCAACACGGCCATCCATTTCCCCGACTAGACCTAATTTATTACCGGCAGCATCTTTTACTCTGCGAAATTGTTCATCTTCATCGCTGTCCTTGGAAGACTTTGATCAGCAGGAAAGCCGGAAATCATCATCATCATCAGCAGTAAGGAGATCCAGTGTCGAGGGCTTTTGATTGTTGTTAATAGGCAGGTTTTTTTTTTAATTTTTTTTTAATTTTTCATTTTTCATTTCCTTTTTGTTTTCTTGCTCACAAGAAGCTGAGTTAGTAGTGATTTTGCATGATATAGGGGAAAAAATGGAAAGTGGTGATCCCGTACCTCCATAATGTGATTTGGGGAGGATGATATTTTTGTAAATAAAAATTTGTTAATCCTTCTCTATTCTGCAATCATACTGTTCCTCTCTAAACAACTTTGATGGATCATATTTCACCACAACGGTCTTATAAAACAATAGCTCCTTATGAAATCTCACACTCTTATCAAATAAGCTGATCAGGATCATCCATGTTGATATCGCTAAGCTCCTATTACGCTATATGCAGAGAGGTCGGGCATAGAGTTTATACATCTCCATTGCATTCTGTTAACATAATGTTCTCATTTATATTTAGATACATTCGTAGAACACAGATCATGGACAGTATACCAAGGGGTGTGGCAACTATTAATTGTATGTTCACACTTACATGCACATTTCACACGTTCAGTTTTGAAAGAGTGCTTTTCTAGGGTCCAAATCCCTAATAGCCAGGCTTGCTGCGACGAACACGTTGTGAAACTACAAAAATACGAAAATCAAGAGCCATCACTACTAGATTGATCTGCTACTTCTGGAAGATCCTCTTTAATCTCTTGATTTTGGTCAACTGCAACCACTTCCTCATTGCCTCTCACAGCTTGGGGCACCGGGAGCCCCTCTAATTCATCAGAAACCAAACTAGTGAGACCCTTCTGTTTCAGATAATTTTCCAAAGGTAGGCTTGCCTCTCGAAGGAGAGTGATCATGCTGACACGGGCGGATGACGAAATTTGTTCTGCTGCAGCTTTTTCAAGGCCTGGATGATTATTCAAGTCCAGTTGTTGTCCTTTTCTGATTTCATCTAGCGTGGTGGCATTAGTTTGGCTTTTGAATTCAAAATCTGTTGTCTCACTTTGCCCATGAGGATGATTATCCTGGTAAGGAGGTCCATAGCTATTGGCTACTTCAGCTTCTTCATCCTTAGGAAGGTTCCAAGAAAACTTATTACTCCTCTGAGCAACTTCTGCCTCGCGTTCTGATTGCCGCTTCTTTCTGCGCATCATTAGGGTTTTGAAACGCCGCTTCACGGTCATGCACACGTTGCACGTGCATGTCGGCTTGTGTTTGCCCTTCCCACTTGGTGGCTGAATGCAGACAATGCAAGAACAGCCAGGACGATGCCTTGGGTGCTTTGTAGTCGTTTTAACAGATGCAGCAGGAACAGCAGGGTTTCCCAAACCATCTGGGTCAGAAGTTTCACAGGTTTGTGCTGACTCAAGTGCGGCTTCCATTCTCTGTCTTTTACTTTCTATATTGCAAGAAATTCGACAAAAAATGTACGCATGTCACTCCAACCGTCAATAAACATACACAGACAAATTTAAAATTTTCAGGCCAACATAATGCATGGAGAACAAACTCACCTATGCTCATCTTGAGAAGATTTTCAAGCTCCTCTGGACTTAGCTCGTCTTTCACAGAACACGAAGATCTGATTAGACAAGGAGAAAATAGGGAAATTAAAATAGTTGAACAGAAAATCCTTAGTGCTTACCAAACAGAATGAAGTTACGTTATTTTCGCATTAATCAGTCAAATTTTAAAGTCCCAGGTAAGCTTCCAGATTTACGTCTAGTTCCCATAAAAAGTAATTTTGGTCAAAACAAAGGCAAAGGCAGGTAAACATTGACATATTTATGATAAATGTGGACAAAATTAATAACCTGCTGTTAGACCAAGTATTATCCTCACATGTCCACTTAGGGGGAAGAATGACAGTAGCTGGCAGGCACCTCCACTTTAAGCAACTATCACATTGAGCCCATTGCTCCTGCTTCCTGTTTTTGATATCATATTGCCCACATCAATGACCACTAAATGACCCAACTGTTGCATAAGCTCACAGGCAAAAATGATACTAGGCAAACAAAGCAAGACAACGTTAGACCACTTCTTGATCAATGTCCCTGGCACCCTAAAAATGCACCATAGTAGATTCTGAACAAGGTGCGGATAAGTTTAAGTGTTTAACTAGCTGCAGAAATATGAACATCATGACCTTCCAAAAATGGCTAGTGAATATATGGTACGCAAACAAACAGCTCATTAATTGTGGAAATACTGGATTATATATTTGAAACCCATTTTATGTAACTTTTTCATTTCCACATTCTCGATATCCAGATGTGTCTTTCATCCAGATGGGAACAATGTAAGATTAATTGTCAACAGAAAAATGTTTTCTTACCCTGAGGAGAGGCGGACCGTGAAAATGCTCTTCTTTGGAAATACCGGTGGTAGCTAGAATGCAAACACAAAATAAACTTTATGAAATCATTTAGTTAAAATCAATGCCAAAAAATATTCCTATTCGAACTTAGAAATAAGGTGAGGAAATACTCAGGAAGTAATGGTTCAGATTTTAGAGTTCCTTACATCGTATTCTTCAAATTCATGATCTTCAATTGCTTCGGTGCTGGGCTTTACACTGGGAGGAGGACAAAGCATATTCTGTAACTCTTCCCATGAAAGTTTCAGCTCCAAAGCATCCACACTATCTATGAGAAGTCTCTTACTCTTTGACCCAATGTTTCTACTCTTTTTGCGCTCTGATGGACCATCCAGAGGTTTCCCACCATTCGTCTCGTCAATATAGCATCCAAAATCCCCATCACTGAAATGATGCTTTGACAATGAACTCAAAGAAAGATCCTTACTTCCCTTAAATAGCTGGAGGCAGCCCGGTTGGCCGTTTACTGAATTTAGGTTATCAGAAACTGGCATAACCAACGATTCTCTTGAAAAATTGCCTTTATGACTGGAGCCTGGATGCTTGTCCTGCCAAGAAAGCAACCCACATATCAGGATCTTAGCGAAACTCCATCAAGTGTTTGTTGTGTACAGATATCATCTTTGCGAAGTTTTAATAGAGTAAAAACAGCTGGAAAAACCTGCATGAAAATGGTATTTGAGGCCTTCCGAAACCCCATTAGAAGTTTCCCCGCTGGGTCCATCCGACTAAACGTCACTGAAATGAAAAGATTCCAGATGATAAAGTAAACCAATAGTAATGAAGAATGAACAGTTGTCATAACATTGATCCTTAAATTCCAACAACCGGAACATAAACACGCATCAATATTTCTTTTGCTAAACTTTCTGCAGGCACCACATGCAGTTGAAAAACTGTCATTTCAAAACCCATGTGATAGGCACCAGAAGGAAGAAAAAAGGGAACAAAGAATACCAGTATCTCCGGCTTGTAATTGCATTGACTGTATGCAAGGGGTTACACCTTCTAAGACATACATCCTACTGTTATTATTTGGCCAAAACCTGAACTGGAACACCCATTCTTTTCCCTTGATATCTTGAATCCTCAAAGGAAGGCCTTCTGGTTGAGAAATAGGTGGAAAATATGCCTGAGCAAGTCCACAGATAAGCAAGATAAGAGAAAGAGAGTAAAAAATGAAGGCAAAGGAAAGAACGATATAATCTAGCATAACAAAATCAACCATTTAACTTGGTTGATCATAATACAATGAAGAACCAAGAATAAGATTCAGGAAAGAGCATAAAAGGCATCATACTTCGGCGCATGCTTTTGGAAGAACCAAACGACCAATTCGACCGGCATCACTGGCACTCAAAACCTTTTCAAACAATGGAACAACGGTGGAGTTTGAGCTGAAATATATGCTGTCAAGGAAATATCGGCTATCCATGGATGCAAGTAAGCAGAATCTGTTGTAATATTGCAAACCAAAAGGGAAGAAAGAACACTGTATTATGGATACTCTCCACATATTTTCTGCAACTCTTGGTCAGTTATCCTAGGCCAATAACGAGGAAGCAACTGATTCTTAATTCTTCCTTCAACTGGAGGCCTTGCAACTCGTAACTGTGAGGAGACCGAGCTAACATTTGTCTCCAGTCCAGCAGCCATAATAGACTTTTGTGGTTTGGGCAAAAGATGTAGAGGTTTAGACCCCTGTGGAATGGGAGGAATGTTCTTGCCCAATGACCTTTCTTCAACAACTGCCCCCGTCAAAAGATTTCCATTCTCTGCAGTAGCTGGAAGTGATATGGTTAAATTTGTCTCAAGTAATGATCCAGACATATCATTAATCTCTGTATTCTCATCATTTTGATTTGGTTTTGCATCATGTGATGCCTCAAATGATGACTGGCTTGAAAATGGCAACAATGGGAATCCAATTTCTTCTCCTACTTTTGTTTGCCCAACGGACTGAATCACATCATCAGACTGAGATGGGAGCAACAGTGACGGGTTCGCGTTCTCTGTATCATCACAACATTGGACAAGGTTTGTCTTTTCAGTGATGCCAACATTTGATTGATTGCCTGCTGAAGTCAGCTGATTCTCTCCAACAGCATTAACAGATGTAACTCTGAAATCTTCATTGTTTTCGAGGGTAGAATTCTGCAATAGTTATTAGAGTCAACTTCCGTTAATCAATTCACAGAAAAACAGAAAGAAGCAATGGAATCTCCAGGGTCAAAATAGGAGATGACATCAGCTAATATTCAAACAAGTCTGCAGGAAACAAAACAAAGGTTATGAAACAGAAGCGAAGTATTAGAGCCAAAAGTTGTTTGATAGCATGATATGTGCTTGATTTGGAGCTTACAGAACAAAGTCCATGATACCGTGAGCAGCTAATACAGATTACGCCACCACTGTCAAGTAGTTCCAGCATAGAGCTTGACGCAATGCATCCACAATGAAGCCTCTGAAAGTATAAAAGGAAAAAAAGCAGTTACCAGTTAGTTAATTCATCAGTTACTTATATGTACAAAACATGTCCAGTGCGGGGGTTGGAAAGCATGCAGAACAGGAGGGAAACTTGATATACCGAGTTCCTAAAAGTTTTGGGTTTGGGATTTGGAATATACACATGCATCATGAATGCTAAGAAGGTAGCAGCACAGAAAGGGAGGATTTCTTTAATTTTAACTTTTTCCTTCCCCATCAAGGAATGTAAGTGACAGTTGAACGTAATTATGCTATAAAAAAGACTTAGCGGACCTTGCCACATGACCTGCATTCCCTCCAGCCAGAGTCTCTCGAGTGGAACAAATCACAGAATGCAAATTGTTCATAAGCAGCTCTGCATACAAAATGGGGAAGACTCGATTCATTTTGAATTTCTACACTCACTGGGGTGATGGCTTGGAATACAAAAATAGCACAGAAAAGAGTTGTCTTAGCAATGTAAAACGGTAACTTAAACATCCAATAAGAGAAGTTGCACTATAAGTTTAAAATTTAATAGTAGTAGGCAACAAAAGAACTCATAAACATCCCTTCGCCAAACTTCAAGTGTATAAATTGCCATCACCTCATTTCGTGGGTTTATTATATTTCCGAATCCAAAAGAGTAACCTTGTAGTAGTATTTTACAAACTGCCAGGAAAAAGAGATGTTGCCAACAAAATAAACATAACTAGGGACAACGCAGTCACACCAAAATTCAATCATCCACCAAACCGGAACTTGGTTTCTTCATCATGCCAAACGGGATGGAAGAACATAAAGTAAGAAAGCATAAAAACCATCATGGCCTCTAAGCAAATTGAAACGTCAATCAACAATCAACAAAGGGGGTGAAAAGTTGACATTTTTAAGAATTACCCGCAGTTGCGGCAGAGAGTGGCGAACTTTCCGGGGGATCGCAGAGGCCAGCCTCTGGTGCAATCATCAGCTGAGGACGACGACGGCAGAGATACAGCGCAGTTCTCATTCATGCACACCGCCGCCGGTTCCGGCTCCGGCGGCGGCTTCACATTGTTGGCGGTGGTAGTGAATGAAGTGGACTTTCCCTCCTCCTGGTTCTGGTCCATTGATAATCTGGTGGAGTTTTAACCCAATTGAGCTTAGTAGGAAGTAATGAAACTAAACTAATAATTCATAGCATCGCATGATCACTTGTGGGAACGTAAAAATGAAGGAAAGGGTGAAGAAGGCCCAGAATTACAAAGCCAACAATCTTCATCATCAGTGAAATTAACAAGCAAGCAAAGTGGGTTGCTTGCCACTTTTGTGGGTTAAAATTAAAAGTAACCAAAACAGTCAACCTTAAAAGATTCCCCCACACAATCCTTTCATTAATGAATTTTCAAAAAGAGATAGAATTTCTTACTCGATTTTCATTCTCTGCAAAGTGCAAACTAACTCATCAATCAATCAATCAATTCACAGTAAATACATTCAGTTGTTTAAAATACTAGAGATACTTGTGAACTATATGTGAAATTCTCACAACGTACGACGTGTGTTGAGCTGATTGAGATTTATTTAATGTTTTGAAATTTTAATTAGTAATAATATTCTAAGTAATCATTAGATAAACCGTAATGAGTGTTTTGAGAATGTGTTTAATACAAAAACGTTATGTCAAAAAGTCTTTTTGGGTGAGGAGGGAGAAGAAGAAGGTGGAACATCAGAGTCATCATTAGAAGTTGGGTGGGTTGGGCTTTTTCCTTTCCTAACTTTCCTTTTCATTATTATCAGTATCGGCACCTCTTTAAATATCCTTTTTTTGAAAGGGCTTTAAATATCCTTTAAACACTAGTAGTACCATGCATTCTTTTTGGGTTTTTTTTTTTTGGGATTTTTTTTTTTGATCAAGTTGGCTTTGTCCAACCCCAATCAGGGTAATCAAAATCCTCTGTCAAAACCCAATACGGGTAAATCAAAGTTTTCGAATATATTATCGAGTCAGCCAAAGTCTAATACGTATATAAATCAAACAGGAGAAATCGCCGAATCGGTCAAAATCCACCCACAAAGTCCCATCTTGAAAGTCCATACAAGCCCACGCATGTGATTCCACTTAAAATCAACTGGCAATAAAGAGAGTTGCACATAGAGTATATGTGTTGATTAAGTTGTATTCCCAACTCCAATGTGGGATAAGTGTCTTTCACTTATTTTCAAGTTCAAAAGGAATTTTAACATTAATATTATTAATTAGAGGTATGTTTCATTAACAAACAGGAATTGGATTAAGGTGTTGGCTAATTTGAATTCCTGGTAATTGGAAAAAAAGAAAAGAAAAAGAAAGAATATACATGAAAGAAATAATTCACAAGAAAAAGTGAGGAAAAATGATGTGAATTAATTAAAGATATTTATTTATAATGATAACTATTTTTTTTATATCATTATAATAAAACAGTTAGCGAGTAAGTTGTTGTAACTTGTACCAAATGGAGACTTAAGGCCAACTGCAAAGTGAGAAGGGACGGTGAGGTACAAGTTGGTTGGAAGAAACCGTCATTGACGTGGTTTAAAGCCAACTGCGACGGTACAATAAATACTACAACAGGGGAGGCGACAGTTGCAGTGATCTTGAGAAATGAAAAGGGATTTGTGGTAAAAGTTTTCAACAAGAACTTGAGGCATTGTTCTGTGGAGACTGCCGAGCTGAGAGCAATCTTCTTAGCAATGGAGGTCGCCAAGAAGCTAGGAATCACATCGAACTCCCAAGCCGCTATTGATTTGATTCAGAATATGATGAAATCCCTCTGGATCCAGAATTGAGAGGGATTCATACCATTTTGCGCTTTAATTGGGATGTATATTTTGTAAAATCGTGTAGAGATAATAATATGTGTGTTGATACTCTTGTTAAGGCCACTTTAGGTGTATCTAGGGGATTATAATTTTTTGATGCCCCCTCCGTGTATAGATATGTTACTGGAGAACGATTGTAAGGGTTCGTCCATCATTGGCGTTAGCCTTTAATTAAAGTTTTTCACCATTAAAAATAAAAAAAAAAAAAAAAAACTTGAGTCAAAACTTCTATTTACTTCTCCCAAATCCGAAGCTCCGAAAGGAAATCCGGATACTTGGCTGGCGTCACGGTGGCGTAATACTGCCCCTGAGCTCTTATTTACTTCTCCTTATCTATATTACAGGTGTGACAAACTTAGTTCCCTCCGGTGTGGTCTCCGGCACCCTAAAACCTGAATCTCTATCTCTTCGTCGCTTCCAATGGCGGGAATCATCTTCAACTTCAAGCCATTGTCTCCATCATGCCCGTCTTGCCTTGCTTCCTCCTCCTCCTCCTCCGCCTCTGCCTTCAAGCCCTTCTTTCTCACCTTCCGTCGACCTTTTTCCACCCGGCCCAGATTCCCTAGTAAGAAATACTAGTCTCTCTCCTACTACCATCACATTCGTTTGGTTCAGAAATTAGATGGTTTTTTTTTTTAACGAAATTATTAATTTTTTCCTTTTCTATCCGGCAGAAATATACGCATTTTCTAGCAATGACATCAAAGTCGGTTCCAATATTGAAGTGGAAGGCTCCCCTTGGAAGGTCATAGGTATAATTCCCCAAAAAAATTTGCTAGCTCCATATCCTGTATGCATTAATTGATCCAGTTTTACCTGATTTCTGAGCTTTTGTTTTTGGTTGGTTTGAAAGAGTTTCTGCACGTCAAACCTGGAAAAGGGGCAGCATATGTGAGGACTACTTTGAGGAATTACATCACTGGAAACTCCGTTGAGAAAACATTCCGGGCTGGAAGCAAGGTAATACTGTCCAAATCAAATGTTAATTCATATCCTCTGATTATACTCATTGTGAATTACTACTATATATATGGTATTTAGTAAGACAACTATAGGGGTGACGATGGTGTCCTAATTCCCTATTCATGGGTGGAAGTTTGGTAAATCTTTTAGTGACGCATGAACAATTCCAAAGACGCGCTTAATAATTTGATATGAATCCTCAATGTTTATATTGTGTTCTTGGTATTGTGAAATAAACTCTCATTTCCGTACACATTATTACTACTAAAAGCTGCTATCACAATTCGTGTTCTGTATTGTTGCTCTTGCTTGTTTCTATTCATGCGGACCTGCATATTTCTCATTCTTGACTGACTTTTGTATTTTGGTTAATGGCGAAATTGTTTCTATCAGATAGAGCCGGCCGACATATACAAGGAAACAAAACAATTCACATACAAAGATGGTGCTCAATTTGTATTCATGGACCTGGTATGGTTATACAGCTCACGTCTATTTGTTTTATGATAAACCTGCTATGCAACGCTATATGTATAATTAATCACAGACTACCTACGAAGAATATCGTCTCAATGAGGCTGATGTTGGAGACAAAATTAAGTGGCTGAAAGAAGGCATGGACTGCAACTTGCTATTCTGGAATGGAAAAGTATGTTCATTTCTTAGATTCTCGTTTCATTTGAGAATTGGTTTTCTTCTTGTTGTTTTGCTGGCGTCTCTCTAGAAACTGCATCTTCTCATGCTAGAACCCTTGCTAGGTCATTGATTTTGAACTCCCCATCACGGTGAAGTTGACTGTCGTGGATGTTGATCCTGGTGTTAAAGGAGACACAGCTCAAGGTAATCGTTTCTGTGTTCTCTCTCTTGTTTCTTAATTATAATCTTTTGCCATCAGAGGACGAATCCACAAGTATGCTTATGATATTAGGACCATGAAGTAGTGGTGGTTGGTTTTATTTGGTTGTAGCTTTCTTTTGTTTTCACTAGTTTGACTTGGGAGTGGTGGTGGCAGGTGGATCTAAACCGGCAACTCTTGACACTGGTGCAGTTGTCAATGTTCCCTTGTTTGTTCAGAAAGGCGAGGATATTCTTGTTGATACAAGGACTGGGCAGTATATGAGTCGTGCATAGATTCGTTCGGCGACAAATTTTGTTGACTAGAGAGGTTTTTGTGGTCGTCTACAGTTGGGCGATTTCCCTGCAAATTTGACAAACGTATGGAGTATTTGTAGTGCGGTTGCAGAAATATAAATGGTGCAGAAATGCAATCCTTTGAACATTATGGCCCCAAGTGGTCAAATAGGGTATTACAAGTTATTGTGAATTGGCCAATTACTCAAATGACGGATCAGATGGCAGAGTTCTTTCATACCATCTCTATATGGCATAGTTCTTTCATAGTGGACTTCATGACATTCAGTGCAACGCTATGTTTCTCTTCCTTGTCAATTTTGCAAGATGAATCCATACTGTCCATTCAAGTAGGATCAGTATTCATGGTTTCTACAAACTGAACTGACACTTTTCATGTTAGCATGTGGAAGATCAAGAGCTAGAATCTCCTAGTAATCATATTTTACAAATTCTTCTATGCAGTCAGCTCTCTTCTACGTCACCTTGGATCGGCAGCCATTTCCAGTGGTGTCATCAGTCTTGTTATGAAGATCTGGGGACCAAAACAACATTCCAAGAGGAAGAGAGATTTATCATTTCATCAATCAAGATGCCAAATGAAGAGTTCACTGGCATTTTTACACTATCATCGTCACCCTGGTTCTGTGTCATCAAATGTAACGCAAACACTGCCTCCTCAACTTTCCCCAGTCCACAAAGAGCCCTAAGGATCCACCCGGAAACTGATGGACTTGGGAGGTATCCCCCCTTTAATCATATGCAAAAAAAAAAAAGCTTCACCTTCACATCACCTGGGCAGAAGTTAGTTACTACTACTTTATTAGAACGAATGCTTGGACTGTTAATTGTTACTATTACAAACATATGACTGGTGGTACTGAAAATGACTCTAGCGGATGGGCAATTTTTGGTGAAGCAAAGATTCAACTTAAAGTGACACACATTTGGCAACTTTATGGTTTTTATAAAAGAGAAAACTATTAGAATTGGTGAAAAACCTCAAGTTTCATTATAATGAAGCAGATAACACTAACATTTTCATCATACTAGCTACTGTTGACCCTATTAAGAAGTGTTGTACTGTAGTCACAATTCAAACGGTCACTACACAGTACAGGACACATGAAAAAAGAAAGAAGAGAAGAGTAGTTATATTTCATCGGCCGTCGGATTCAAGGCCTCCTGAGAGATCTACTGAATGGTTTTCTCCACAGCTTGTTGGACTTGCAGTAGTCCTGCTTGGGTACTCCTTTTGCAGGAGCAGAGACGGAAGGAGAAGATGAAGAAGCAAACTTTTTTGGGCTGAACAACTTGTTGAGGAGTTTGTGAATGAAGCGTGATTTGGGGTGCTTTTCCTGGTGAACATAATGATGGTGAGCAGGGATTGGTGAAGCAGCAGCAGTATTCACCGTCCTTGTCCTGGTACCAAAGGTCGATGGCTCAGACAGACTCCTTCCAAGAAGTATGGCCTGGTTTAACTGAACCTCGAAAGACAGCCTTTCATACTTGTCCAACAATGTGCTCTGATTTTCTTCTTCGTCTCCAAATCTCATTTGGTCCTTCAGTTTCAAACCCATGTGGAAGATGATGGATGAAGGATGATGATTAAATTGTCATCATTAATGTGTTACGCCAACTTGCTCAGTTTCCCTGGTAGGTTGTGAAAATTTGAATGCCTACTACTACTACTACTACTACTAATGTGAATTCACCAGACAGACAAGAAGCCTTTATTCTGGACTCCAATTTCATCACCTCCCCTTCAGATCAATTCCAGCACGCTACAAAACCAAATACTTCTAGTAATGAATGAGGGAACTCGGAGGGTTACCTCTCCTGATCAGCAGGGTATCTGGAAAGGCTGCAGAAATTAAATTCAGAAAAAAAAAAAACAAAAACAAAAATACCATAAAGAAAAAGTCATTAATGAATCACAGTTCACGTATTTATTCCCCCCTTATTCAAACCTTACCCACCTTTAAAAGGGAAACACAAAAAGAATTAGTGAGAGATTTATGTTACTGACATTTTCACATTCAAGGTTAAAAGCCTAGCTCAAATTATTTTCTAGTTTGAATTTTTATTTTGAAACATGTAAAGTGTAAACTACATGAAAGTAATTTGTTGCCAAAAGAATGAAACATAGTTCAGTAAATATATATATATATGGGCAGGCTTCCAACACACAAAAGGTAATTAAGCCCCCATGATGAATCCATTTCCAGCACTTTGTGGTTTCAGTTAGGATGCACCATTTTATTTGTGCTTTGCTTGATTGAAGCTACAATCTGGTGCTTTATTATTACGAGGATGATGAGGAAAGAAGAAAAAAAAAAATAAAAAATGAAAAAGCTGCCGAAAAAAAAACAAAGGGCCATCTTTAAATCTGAAAAGTACTTCCGTTGGGCTTCAAGTTTGGGTTGTATGGGATGGCCCGAATAACTCTTGAGATTTATGCCACGACCCGGTGGTCGGGGATGGCCGGAAAGTATAAATCGGAAAGATGACGGACTGAGAATTGGGAATTCAGGGTTTGGGAAAGAAGAAGAAGAAGATTCAGATTGATACACAATTTTTCGATAATTAATTTATAGATCCAACTGACTATTTATAGTCTGCCTAATTTCTAAAATTACACTTTGGTTCCTAGAGATTGTATTTCGTATGATTAAGTCTAAGGGCATGACATACTACCCCTCTTAAAACAGTCTTGTCCCCAAGACTGTTAATATAAAGATACTACTTCAAGAAATAAACTGAAAGGACTGAAATTTCAGAGTGACAAGCCTAAATGACTTACATCCTCAAATTACTAAATAAACAGCTTAAAGAAATGAGGAGGAAACCTAAATGAAATTCAACAGCCACTGTTCTATTAGCCTGCACTCCCCAAAGACCATTGCATGGTTGGAACCTTCAAGGCAACAGCCCCACTCATCAGGAATACAAGGATAGCTCCCCATTCCCTTAGCAGCAACTACCAAGGCGTGCCAAGCAACCTTCACCAACGCTTGTACCTCCTCTGAAAAGTGTCACATTTTCCACCCAGCTAGGATGCAAGTCTTCATTGTTCCTTGCTTCATTGGAACTTGATCCTGCTGTTTCAGCTCCAAGATGTTTAGTTCGAGCTGCTTTTGTCCAATTCCCACCATTTTTAAGCCAATAAGAACCACCAGGATTTGGCCTTGACTCTGGTTCAGTCACTTTAGTTTTGGTAGTGTGATGAAAAGAAGCAAGAATAAGAACTTGGTTACCAACCTGTTTACATAAGTTTCTGAAGTTTCTAAAATTACAGGGGCTCTGGTTACTTTCAACCCCGGAGGAAGTTGCCCATTTAACCAATTCCCTGCTCTGTCTTTATCAAAAGAATGCATCCATGTAATGTTTTAGCACATAGCTTCTCAGCCCTGCAACTTTTCATTTTATTTATGACTTCCTCTATTATCAAAATCCATGGTATAAGAGAAAGATTAGCAACTGATGGTTGATAAACAGTAACATAGATAGCTAATTCCTTAATATCAGAAACCTCACTATGATAAACTAATATTTCATCAAGTAGCATTAGAGCTCCAACCAAGATTTCCTTGACTATCGTCCCACCTCTAAAACATGTTGCCTTTTTAACCCAAATTCCACACACCAATTGATTCGCAGCCAGATTAGACCATTTCTTCACCCACATATGCTCACAGCAACTCAATAGTAACCCATAACTTCTTAATGCAAAAAGAAAATTCCCAGACAAATAGCATCCAAAAGGAAGATCATGAACATACATACTTACCACCCCTGAACAAGGATCTTTATGCTTAACCAAGTTGCCAAGGACCAGAACACTTAAACTAAGGTCACCATACTGCTCCTTTGGATGAAAATTCCATAAGAAATTAAAGGCGTAATCACGGATGACATTCCAATTCTTAAAATTGTGCAGAATATAATGGATAACTCCCTTCCCCTTAAGAACTTCCTTGTCCTCAAGGAAGTAAAATGAATAAAAAGGTGTTTTTCCATTCAAATTCCCATCATTAACAAACATTTCTATAAATTCAGCACTTAAAGAAATAATCATTTTTACACTTCCACTATTTCAGAACCAATTGAGCTCAATGTGCTAAAGTGATTTTCTATTCCACCAGGGTCAATAAGAAAAGAGCTAGAGAAAAATTCTCTATTATTGTGACGACTCAAACCAGCACAATTATCATTTATATCATAGTTTAACACAAAATTCTCATCAGCTATAGCCTTATCAACCAAAGGCATAGACAGAGAACTACTTTTAGCCAATTTGTAAGGCTTACCTGATCCCAGGAGTTCAATAACACAAGTACTTGGAGGATTTCTTTTAGTAACAGAATATAGCAATTCAGGATCAACCTTAACCTTTGACTGAAACATTTTCAGAACCGAGAGCTCGTTTTCAGCCCCAATTTTTAACAGCACATTAGTTTCCACTAAGCAGCAATCACCCACACAAGAGGCTTTCATTCTCTTCTTAAAATCAGAAGCAAATTCATCATTCAAAACAGACTCAGCCAAATCAGGTAGATAGAATACAACTTCAATGACCAGCCATGCAATTTTCCGACCAAAATCAATAGCAAGAAGACTTAGATAATTTCTATTCATCACACAAGTTATAAACTCAGTCCCAGAATGATCCATTTCCATTGTACGTTCTTTATGATTCGTCCCCATTTCACGTGCATAGAACCCATAAAATCCAGGTTTGACATTCCACTTGACTGACACCACTTCCTCCAATACATTGAACTCCTCTAACGTTTTTGCAATCATAAGCACAAACTCAGTATCCACATTTTTCAGTATGATTTCTAAGCAGTGACACAATCGACATGCGAGGAGCTATTTCTAATCAATTTAGAGTCCTTATCCTCCTGTTTCATGGCTGCTAAAGGACAATTTCCACAAATCCCGATTCCAGTTTCAGATTCATCCTTTTTTACGATTTTATCTCTAAAACCACAGCCATCAATTTCATAAAAAACAGTCTTCTTTTCATCATAATTTTTGCAATTCGCCATCACCTCAATTTCAGAGACAAGATATTTGCAACTATCCATAACATAACAGTTTTCATGAACCAATCCCTAAGCATTATTCAAGAAAACAAGACCAGTATCATCCTCAGTCAGGCACTCATTACCAGAATACACAATTTCATCCTCTATAATAACATCAACAGTATAGGAATCTAACTTAACCAAAGCAGTATCAGTTAAAGGCATCATACGAACAGGTTTTGGAGTAATCTTTTTAAAAACTTTAGAATCATTAGCTGGTTCTGAGCAAGCCACATTAGACGTTACAATCTCCGTTTCAGCTGTAATTCCTCCTGGTTCAATAACAACAAGATTCCGATGATTTCCAGTACTATCGACACCATTCAATTCGACCCCATATTCCAGCACAGTGTCATTAACCTCAAGAACAAAATCACTTGGAGTCATTTTGCCATCCTGATTAAAATCAAATTTAGCCAACAAAGTATCACCCAAAGGCATCATACCAACATCATCACTCAGAATTAAACCATCAGAATACACAAAATGTTCAACACTAACACCCTCAACAGTGCATTCATTTCCCCCTGGTTCAACATGAAATGAGTCGGGGCCAAATCCTTCCCCGAATTGATTCAAATCCGACATATAATTCAGATAAGTCAACACATAAATCATTGACTTCCTTTAGATTTACAGAATCTTCTACACTCAGTTCAACATCGCTATAGAAATCAAATTTAACCAAAGCAGTATCAACTAAGTGCATACCAACTCGTTCTTCACTATTCTTTTTCACACAGTACCATCATCAGTTTCAAATTCCACTTCCAATCTATTCTGAGAATCGGGAAGATAACCTGTCAATTCGAGATGCGACACTTCCATGATGTGTGTTGTTGCATACGGTTCCAACGATTCAGTGTCCACCTTGTGTCCAGAGATTTCCTCCACTGGTAGCTGTTCCTCTTTCTCGACTGAGAAATCTTCAAACTCTGTGGCTGAACCATCCTCATCAGACGCCTCCCAAACATTGACCACTAGAGGTTGCCGGATGAACTTGCCAAATCGGAGTTCTAATTTTTCAGCAAACTCGTCCCAAGTAGACAATAGAGAAGCAGAGATCGAGCCATAGAGAAAACATAGAGGTTCGCCGGATAAATAGAAAGAAGCGGTAAACAACTTCAATTCCGGTGGTGTGGAGTTGTAATAGAAGAACCACTCCATTATGTCTAACCAATCGCTAACATTTTCACCGGAAAAACAGAAAATTCCGTTTGGCGAAGGGTCTGGAAGGTTGAACTTCGCCGGATTTGGAGGAAGGATTTCAGATGAAGGAAGAGTTAATTCTTTCTGAAGCCTGCGTAGGGTTTTGCCGGACAAGATGAACGCCATCGATTTGGTTTTGGTAGGAAGTTTAATTGATGAACCACTAATGGACAGAACTAAAAAAATTTTGGTGCGGACCGGAGAAAATGGAGAACGCCGCACAGATTTCAAATATAGGAAGAAGAGAAAGGGATTTCAGATTTCAGATGATTAGAAATAGCAGGGGAAGAAGAGAGTGAACGAATCGATCAAATGATATAGAGTCGGCCGAGGAAGGACCGGCTCTGATACCAATGTCACGACCCGGTGGTCGGGGATGGCCAGAAAGTATAAATCGGAAAGATGACGGACTGAGAATTGGGAATTTAGGGTTTGGGATAGAAGAAGAAGAAGATTCAGATTGATACACAATTTTTCGATAATTAATTTACAGACCCGATTGACTATTTATAGTCTGCCTAATTTCTAAAATTATACTTTGGTCCCTAGAGATTGTATTTCCTATGATTAACTAAGGGCATGACAATGTACAATAAAAATTAGCCATTCGGGGTGTGCTTTTGAATTATGTACAGCAACATACTACTATCTGTTTTTTTTCCCTATGCAGGTTCTAGAAGGACACTGTACACACATCAAAATCTGCTAAAAGGTTTTGACGTTGAAATATACTCCCTCCGTCCCATTTCAATAGGCTACATTACTATTTTAAGATGTCTTATTAAATAGGCTGATTTTCTTATTTATGATGGATTTTTTAATAAAATTCTAAATATACCCTTAACTTAACCAACCACCAAAGTACTTATTGATTGTATTGGGATTAGTAGAAAGAGTCAAAATTTATTTTTTCCAATGAGTTGAGATGAATTTTTCCAAAGTAATTCTCTTCATTTAAAAGAAAAAATTATCTCTCGTTGTTTAATTTTAACCATTCTCATATCTAATTAAGCTTTAAATATTCACCTAGCTATCATGGATGAAACTCCTTTTAATTCCAAAGTAATTCCTTTTGGTAATTTTCGGTCTTGACACTTATCCAATAACATACCAATGATTGTCATTTTTTTGTTGACGTTGATATGCTTCTTCTTATTTCCACGATGCTGATGAGCATTGTTACTCTCATCAAGAGCTATCCAAACTATGATACTCTTCAATAGGAAGGCTATTTAAATCTATGTGGTGTTCTTCAGGAGGGAGATTCAAATCAAATGATAGATTGGTTGAAGATATATATATATTTTTTGGATTTGTCAAATGTGATGCATATACTCCTTTGTGCGTAATGTATATATAGAACAAACCAGGTAGACTTTTGGAGGCGGAGTTTAAATTTTTAATCAAAATTGAACTTTGAATGATTTTTTCTAATCTAAATTCAAATTCCCTCCCAATCTTTTTTTTACGGATTGAATCAAAGTAGGAATAGCAAAGGTTGGCTTGAACTTTTTGTTTCCCTCCCATTTTTATAAAGAACAAAAGAATGAAAAGGAATACTAAAGGTTGGCTTTGATTTTTTTTGTTTCCCTCTCATTTTTTTAGGAACAGAAAATTAATCTGTACATGCTTGATTGGGTAGATGAAAGGAAAGGAAAAAGATGAGTATTTAGACCAGTTGTAACATTTGAACAAAGTATTAGTTGGGGAGTTGGTTTAACAAATTTCAAGAATAGATTAAAGTCTTTGTCACTAATTTATTAATTTCTCTATAAGGGTAGTTTAGAAAAATTAAAAAAAAAATTGTTAGTTAAGTTAGTTTTATTAATCTGTATGAAAAATGGTACAAGCCTATTAAAATGGGATTGAGGGAGTATATAATTAATATAATAATAATAATATCATGAGACGATGATACTCCTAAGTCGCCGGATAGCCCTAGAAGAGTTACTAGAAAGTCAAACACATATCACACACATCTATCTATCATCTCTGCTCTACATTCAACCATTCTTTTACAACTATATTCCAATGTAGTAGTTGTTATTAATCCTCATGTATCCCTCCATAAATAGACGAAGCTATTCAATCAAAACCCATCATTATTAAATAAAATAAAAATTAAAAAAAAGGGGCAAAACTGCCTGAAAAACTTCAAACTCTAATTTAACCCCCGCCCTTAATTTCATCATCCCAAAATTTGATTTGGGAACGATCAACTTGCCAAAAAGGAAACACACTAATTTTTTTTAAATAAAAATAAAGAAAAGATGTTGCCCATTGTGTTGTTGTTCATGCTGCCTATATTGGGATTAGCAGCACCAGCAGCAGATGATAGCATAATATATGAGAGTTTTGCAAAATGCCTACAAAGGAACAGGATCCCAGCAGCCCAGGTTCCAGCAATGCTGTACAGCCCCACAAACCCGGCCTTTAGCGATGTCCTGAACGCCTACGTGCGGAACCTGAGGTTCAACACCACCGCCACCAAGAAACCGTCCATCATCGCCACCCCGGTGGACATCCCGGCCGTCCAAGCCACGGTGGTTTGCACCAAGGAGGCCGGCCTTCAGCTCAAGACCCGAAGTGGGGGCCACGATTACGAGGGGATCTCCTACGTGTCCGCCAACCCGTTCGTGATCCTGGACTTGTTCCACCTCAGGAACATCACCTTTGACATGCCTACTCAGACCGCGTGGGTCCAGGCCGGGGCCCTCCTTGGGGAGCTCTATTATGCCATCTCCAAGCAGAGCAACGTCCTCGCCTTCCCCGCCGGGGTCTGCCCCACCGTCGGCGCCGGTGGCCACATCAGCGGTGGCGGTTATGGCCCCTTGATCCGCAAGCACGGCCTCACCGTTGACCACGTTGTCGACGCGCAAATCATCGACGTCAACGGCAAGGTCCTGGACCGGAAAGGCATGGGAGAGGATTTGTTCTGGGCCATCCGGGGTGGCGGGGGAGCCAGTTTCGGGGTTATCCTGGCTTACAAGATTAATCTGGTTCCCGTGCCGCCGGTGGTAACGGTGTTCAACGTGCAGCGCACTCGCACCCAGAACGCGTCGGACATTTTGGTACAGTACCAAAACACCATCGAGAAATGGGACGACAACCTCTTCATCAGAGTCCTCATCCAACCCGTCACGGTGGATAAGTCGAGCAACAAGAGTGTTAGGATCACACTCATCGGAGAGTTTTTAGGCAATCCTGACGGACTCCTTCCCCTGATGAACACTCATCTCCCAACCCTGGGGTTGACCAAGGCGGATTTACAGGAGATGAGCTGGGTGGAATCCATGCTGTTTTGGGCCAATTACGACAATGCCACCTCACCCGAGGCCCTAAACAGCAGGGTCCCCCACGACGGCGTCGGTTTCCTCAAGAGGAAATCCGACTACGTCCAGAAACCCATTCCCAAGGAAGGCCTGGAATCACTGTTTGACAAGATGATTGAATTGGGGAAAGTAGGGTTGGTGTTCAACTCCTACGGTGGGAAGATGAGCCAGATCCCGGAGGATGCCACCCCTTTCCCCCACCGTGCTGGCATCTTGTACAAGATCCAGTATTCCGTCAACTGGCACGACACCTCCGACAACTTGACGAAAGAGTACCTCGGTGAAGCTGTTAAACTTCACGAGTTCATGACGCCGTTTGTGACCAGTAACCCCAGGCAGGCCTTTTTCAACTACAGAGACATTGATATCGGGTCCACCACCAACGGCAACAATACCTACGAGGAAGGCAAAGTGTACGGCGTCAAGTACTTTAAGAACAACTTTGATCGGTTAGTCAAAATTAAGACCGCCGTTGACCCCACCAACTTCTTCCGCACGGAGCAGAGCATCCCACCGCTTCCTAAGTGATTCCGATCATATATCTTCCGCGTCGTCGTCGATTAATTAATCCCCGATCAATTATTATCGTGGATTTGGGGAAACTTAATGTACATTTACATATATACTATATTTTTAAAACACACTGAATTCAACCATTATTTGGTGAAACTTAAATTAAAATGTTAATTGTAGTATATATTATTAATTAGTTTTTGCGGATAGAGTTTATATATTTGTGAACTCTCTCGAGTGTATTGTAAGGCCGCTTGTAAATATGAATAATCAGTTGTTCAACTTAAATATTAATACTATAAATACTTTACACATTACTTATTACCATTATTTTAACATTTGTATCCACTTGTTCCCTTAATTCAAAAAGCTAGCTCTGGTTAACAAATTTGAATATTTGTTTTCTGTAATAGGTTTCCGACCCTAGGCATTTACATGCAACAATGATGATTCAACTTCTTATTAGGGTAGTTGTATATATCTTCCGGAAAAAAGAAAAAAAAAAGAACTATATATAGTTGTATCTTCCGGGAAAAAAAAAGAAGATAAAAAATTAAATAGCTCGAAGTATTAATAATCAAAACAATCTTTATGGACATTGGATGTGTGATATTAAAAGAGAGAGGAAAAACAATGAAAGAAAGCCAGGGCTTCTCAAGAAACAACGGCAGTCGTATCAACCATAATTGCTGATTAATTACCATACCATCCAAATCAAATTCGCTCACTTGGGGACAAAATCACAAGAGGCCCAGTAGTGGAGGGCTTGGTCCCAACTCATTTGTATACAATCATTAATGGTCAAACCAAGGGTTGGGAGATGATTGTTGATAATAGGGAGGAGGGCCTCAGGATTTCCCAGAAATAATCCGGTGACCGTTAATTGAATGGTTTTCTTGTTATCTAGGGTAGCAGGTTGGAGGAGAGCTTTTGTAAAGAGGGTTTGGTCATCCCATTGGTCCACCGCATACTGATATTGGATCACAATATTCTTAGCATTCTGCTCCCGGGTCCTTTCTACTCTGAAAACCGTTGCTGTTGGAGGAGGGGTGGCCGATGACGCTATTGATAAATTCTTATTCGCTGCTCCAAAGGCTACCGAAAGCACCAAAACAAGCAACATAATCATAATGGTCCTCATCCACATGTTTCTCTCCAAATTTGTATATTACTAAGGGACAAGTTTTGGAATGAGAATTCTGGGCCTGTCGGCCGAATGTTATATAACACAGGCGGGGGAGTTCATGAATTTCTTTCCATTTGAGAGTTGATTGTTATTTCACCATCTATTTGTTTACAGGTTCGTAATTGTAGCTATCTTTTTAACGGTTAAGAAACTCCTACACCATTATCTTATAATACCTCCCTAAACCATTATATACTGTTTCACGTCCTAAAAAAGAAAAAATAAGCCTATTGAATTAGAATAGAGGGAATTTTAATTAGTAATGATTGAATACATGTTTGGTTGTGTTCGATTTGATTTTTTATATATATTGTCGTTAATTTTAGTGATTTGGCGAAAATTTTAATTTCTTGTATACAAAGAAAGTTCTGTTCACCAAGAAAAAAAAAAATCTGTTTATATGTAGTGCGACACATGCCGAAATTCAGAACATAGTTTTTTTTTTTTTTTTTGAAAAAGTACTTGTATATTAATTAAGAAATATCTAAGCTATTACATCTCATGTGGTTATAAGCTAAATTATGTGTTTCTAATACATCACACCTTCGCATTTTAGTCAGTGTAGATTATGCAAGAGAGGAAATTAAAAAAAAATGCATCTAATAATAATAGGACTTCGCGTGACTCCGATTGTACCAAGGGAAATGTACGATCATGTGTCAATACTACACAGTCCGTAAAAACCTGGATCCTAGCCAAAGCTTGCCGCTTCTTGCAAATCCAATAGACATGTCTTAGTTTCTGTTTGTAGCGGTATAAGAGCATTAATACTTACTGTTTTAAGCGTCATGACCATTCCATTAGGCGAAACAATTTTCTAAGCTCCTGTTGCTTTCCTCGTTCGATGATTAAAAGAGCCATCAAATATAATCAAGGCAGTATTAGCGATTCTCTGTGTTGCACTCTGCCTCCGTTAGCTACCATTAGTAGAAGCTGTGGAATGTTGTTGCAGAAGAATGCGTGCATCAGATTGGATAAGGCTTATGATATTGCCGGATCATGAGGCTGATTCCTCCAAATGCTATCATTTCGATTCAACCAGATACGCCACATGATAAGTAGGAGAAGGTCAATCTCTTGTATAGATGGATGTGTTGCACACCATGCTACGAACCACTGCATAAGTGAGTCATACGTAGTGTTAAAGATGGAGCTGAATCTGGGAAAAGCCAAGGCCCAGATTGCTTGTGATTCTTCACATTTGACGAATAAGTGTGTACTATCCTCTTCTTCACGAAGACAGCGTGGACAGGTTGTATCTAGTTGTACCCCTCTCTTCGCCAAGTCGTTACGGGTAGCTAGAGCATTAAGTAAAGCTCCCCAAAATAAAAACTTCTGCTTTGGTTGAACTTTAGAGTGCCAAACTCTTTTCCAAGCTACTTTTTCAGCTTGTGCAATTATAGGATCATGAGCAGGTTGAGGAAGGATCGAATTTATTGCAACCTGATAGCCTGTCTTAACTGTATAGTGGCCATGATCAGTATGAATCTATTGCAAACAATCCTTCTAATTGCGTCTTGCTGGATCAATGAAAATGCCATTGATGATTGAGATGATATGATCCGGAAAGAAGTTCCTCAAAGCCTGAAGTCTCCATTGACCTGATGGAGTGATGAAGCGGTTAACTCTAAGGTTTGCAGCTGATAAAATAGACTGGGTATTAACCGAATTTGGGATTCCAGGAATCCAGTTTGCTGAGAGAAGGGTGTCTCTTCCAGATATGATTTTGGTCCTCAGATTTCCTTGCAATAATTCTGCTCCCCATAAAATACTTCTAAATCCCCAATAAGGAAACCTGGGGGCTTCTAAAGGCGGAAACACTCCATTCACATAGTATTTAGCACAAAAGAACTTTGTCAAAAAAGAGCCAGGTTCCACTATAATCTTCCAGGCATGCTTTGCCAACAGAGCTTGTTTAAATTCCTTGGTAGTTTTGAGACCTAGACCACCATGAAATTGAGATTTGGTGATCTTAGTCCAAGCTCTCCAGTGAATTTTTTGATCCTGAGTATCTTGTCCACTTTTGATAGTGTCTGATTTGGTAACTTAAAGACTCCCATTGGATATACTAATATAGCAGACAAAGTAGATTTTGCTTGGGTAACTCTACCTGGCAATGAAAGTAATCTTATTTTCTAATTTGCAAACTTGTTGCTGATTATGGTAGTGAAGTCATTGAAGATAACTGTTTTGTTCTGAGTAAAATCCAGAGAGAGTCCATTATATTTATTATGGAAAGTTCCTCTTGGAATATTTAGAGTCGAATGTAAGAACTCTTGCATTGCTGGAGGAGTGTTGTCACTTATTCAAAACATAATTATATCTTGTTTATGATGATAGCAATAAACATAATTATATACTTTGAGGGGAAAAAAAAAAGAAAAAAGTAGCAGGAGTATAATAAATCGTACTCAAATGGCGATGAGACCCAAGTTATAGTGACAACTTCCGGTCGATCGGCGAATAAAAACGATGTTTTCCCAGCTCTAACGCTCCCCCCAAAAAAAGAAGCAAAAGAAATACAAAAACAAAACAAAACGTGTTAGCGAAGCAAACCGATGCATGTTTCCTTGATGACTTGATCACAGTGAAGTGTGTTCTTTCTTTTTTCGACACTTAAATATCCCTATCTTAAGCACTCGGTCAAAGAATAGAATATCTTTTTATTTTATTTTTTATTAATATTACTACTACTGGTGCTTCTAATATTTTTCAATATACGGTTAGCTTGCAAATTGATAAACCTGGTCTCATTTTATTTTTTGAGTATTATAAATTTCAAGTATGGTACTATATAAACGGTGATAAGTGAACATTGTGCATTCCTCACGCCTCCCTAACGATTTATCTATTTGTTTGCATATGTATTTGCAAAATTACGAGTGTAATTTTTTCCTTTTTTGTGTATTTTCCGACTGCGAATACAATTGATCAGTTTATTCATTTTTAGTAATCCAATAACACAGATTAACAAAAGACAAAAATCATGTTCACTTCATAAAATGTAGGGTACCATTATGCCACCTTCCAATTTATAACAGACTAAATGAGTTATTTCCAATAAGATTAAGGGGTAATTTAGCTGAGTGATATTAAGTAGAAAGAAGTGAGAAAGTAGAAAAACCCCAAAACCACCACCAAAATAGAAGAGAGTTCAGTTGCACCTCCGCAGCACCACCGCAACGACCCTTGGCTCTCCCGCCGCCGTCGCCGTTGCCGTCATCGAATCATCGCCCGGCACGTTACCCCCTATCTCTCTCCTTCAACTATGGCAGCTCTGTCGCTCTCCTTCAATCGCTCCTCCACATCCTTATTCTTACCCAATGCTCTCTCTCCACCCACTCCGGCCGCCGCCTGCCGGCTTTCCCTTACTTCTCCTCCCGCCAACCACCACCTCATTTCCTTACATACTTGTCGTCCGTTATCTTTAAGGAGCCGCCGGCTGCTGCCGCTCTTCTCGTTCGCTCAGGATTCATCGGTGAGTAATCAATTCCACTTTACCTCCTTACCTATTAGATTTTACTTTTGACACCGACGTTTTTCAATCTCACTACCCCCTCCGACCCGGAATTATTTTCCAGTTTCCATTTTCATTTTTAGTTCAAATTGTACTAAAAGTGAAAAATCCAAACTGAACAATAATTTTGGTACAGATAGAGTACTACTGTTATTTTATTGTTGTTGTCATCATATTGTATCGTCATTGTTTTTGTTTGCGACAACAACCAAGAAAGAAAAAGAGAGAAAGAAGAAGGCATTTTTGTTATTTCCCAAATGTTATTTATATATATGAATTGATAAGGGGTGAATTTACACTTTTTGCTTGAGTTGAATTGATTATGAATCGGTTGGGATTTTGGCTTGTTCATTTTTTCCCGATGCAGCTTTGATTTATATTAGAAAGAAAGAAAAAAAACTTGATGTTATGGACATGCATACCTCTCAGTTCAATGCTCGACAGATTATTACTCCTTTTTTTTCCCAATCATTTTTAATAGTTATTCCTTAAAGGGTTCTTTGTATGCTTTCTGGACCCTTATGGTTTTGGTTTTTATTTTAATCTCAAGTTAAGAATGGGAAGCTTGGATTGGAGAATGTTAAAATGCACGTCTAAACTACAGACAGTTAATTGTAAAAATGAGAATTGAAATAAAAAAATGAGAAAAAGTGACGCTGAGATTTATTGTGTTGCTTTTTTCAATTTTGCTTTGTTCTGATCATCCAGAGGCCTTCGGACATTGACATTGACGACAAGGGAAATGGGCATCTTGAAGAGGAGGAAGCTGGAGAATCACAACGTGAAGAAGCCTGGAAACAAACTCTTGAATCATTTAAAGAACAAGCCTTGAAATTGCAAGCTGTATCTCATGAAGCTTATCAGCTTTATTCCCAGAAAGCCATCGTCATTTTGAACGAAACTTCTGAGAAGCTTAAAATACAAGCTGACAAAGCCAGACAAGACTTGACTGTCATCGCAAAGGAACTTGCCCTGGAGAGTAAGGAGTACTTGGCCAATGCTGCTGAGAACACCCCAGAACCTGTTAAAGATATTGTTGAAACGTTTGCTTCCTCACCTGATGATTTAAATGAAGTCTCGAAAGTGCGTGATTTTTACGTTGGAATTCCTTATGGTATGTATGTTCACTGAATCTGGCTTCTGATTTGGGTGCTTATGTGTTGGTACTTGATTCTTGCCCACTAAGATTAAATTGCGTGAAACTTTTCAAAAAAGTTGTGCGAACAAGATATTTTATCGGCTTTTCAAAAGTTGTGCCCTACAGTAATTGTTGGAATTCTTCAAAACTCTCATTTTCTCAGTCTTCTTTTTTTTTTTTTTCTAAAATAAAAAATTAAAATAAACTCAAACCTATATACTACTATCTCCATTCCTATATATAAGTTGGAGATAACTAACTTTACACAAACCAATAAAACTAACAAAAATTAGTTTTTTGTCTCAAAAATATTGTAAATTCTCCAAATTGTCCTTGATAACATTAATGAAGTGGTTACATTAATTTCGAATTGGTTAGTTGTGAGGGTAAAGAGAGGAAAAAAATCATTAAAAGTTTTTTTGGAAATATAAAACTTCTTATAAAAAGGAATGGAAAAAGTATGTCCAAAACATCTTATGAATAGGAATGGAGGTAGTATCTCATTTCCAAAATACTTGTTGAGTCAGATTCTCATCGCTATCTTTGTTGTTCCATTCAGTTTGTGTGAGTTGTTATGGTAAAAGTGAGGAAACAGTAATGCTTTCAATTTTTCATCACAAATCAAATGTTATATAGCGTCAAACTTTCAAAGATTTTTCCAGCATTCATTTACTCAAAACTCTCTTTAACTATTCAATCCTCATTCTTCGTGTATATCTATTGGTATGAATAACTTTTGATACAGATCCTATCATGGACTGACCATAACAATTATACAGGGGCTTTTCTTTCTGTCTGTGGCTTTCTTTCCTTCATGATTTTCGGTAGTCTCTCTGGAATAAGGTTTGGTCTCATTCTTGGTGGTACTCTCTTGGCCCTCAGTATCTCAAGTTTAAGATCCTGGAAAAAAGGAGAATCATCTCCGCTTGCTTTGAAAGGACAAGCAGGTTTGTTCCTTTATTGGTCTTATGCATAGATGTCGATAGGCTTTTGTGTTGATTGTTTACATAATTTACATTCCGAAGCTAATTTTTACCATTTAGACTAGGTCATCCTCAAACACTTTTGTAGTCTTATTTTCTAGTCTTCAAGAATAATTTTTCAGAATCATTAAAATTTGTGCTGGAAGATTAATCAGATTTGGAAGCAAATCAAGTTGTTATTTTGCAATACTTTTAGCCAGTTATTTGAAAGCGTTTGACTAGCATAACTTGAATGGATTTTTCATTGCCTGGTACCTAAAAGTGAGCCCATCAGTTGACTGAATCTATTACATTTAGATTATTTATCCATTTAGCCTCACTCATTGAATGTTGAGCTGCCAATTATGATGCTGTTTATATCTGTTGTTTTGCAGCAATTTCTACCATAATATTTCTCCGGGAAATTCGCTTGCTCCTTTCGGTAAGATCCTAACAGACTTTTGTATTGGCTCAACATTTGTCTCTAATAAAGATTTGGCCATGGGAGGACCTGATATGATCAATTTTCCTTTGCAGAGACCATTTATCGGCAATTTTATCGCTGCCCTTGTCAGGTTAATATTTTTCTTGAATTATGTTGAGGAAACTTGATAAGCTCCGGCAAGCGTTGTAATATGCTAATGTCATGTTTGAAGATTAAAATCTTGCAATCTGTCGTCATTTTTACACCCCTTCCTTAAGTTGTCGTTAAATACTCAATAATACAAAGTTACTTTGTGCAAACCTAGTGCAGGATTGTTTTCTTTAATCTGGAGTATGTGATTCTATTTTAACTTTATTAATTGTTTGTGTGTTAACTTTTAATCCCACGTTGAACCCTCTTTTGTTAAAAGAGATACTGAACTCATATTGCAAAAGTTTCCGAATCACTAACTTTTGACTTATATGAGAAACAATTTGCGAAAGAAGAAACTTTAACTATGCGCAGCAAAGCTTTTTAACTGGACTATTCATCTAGAGCTGCTTCCTGTATTCCGAAGATAACTTGACCCGTGGCTTCTCTATGCAGTGGTGCAGTAGTGGCATTCTATGCGTACAGGATTGTTACCGATCGTGAGCAAGCGAAAGGATCAAACTTGGAAGGGGAGACTGAGACTTAGTTCTCTTTTTAAGGTGAATGCAATGACAATATTTTGTGATGTATGTACCAGATTATTTTGCTACTTGGTTCTTAAAGTTTACTGCTGATCATGGATGCTTCCTTTGTGTGGAGTTCACTAGTAAAACTCATTGCAAATTACAATGTCAACTGTTTTTTATGTTCGTCTGTTAAGGAATGCTTTTCATTTGGTCAGGTTACCAGAGATTGGAAATTTCTTATTTTCAAGCTGGAATGAAGTTGCTGGATCATCTTGCTCAATGCTCTGCGCTGCCGTCCACCTATCAGTGATGTTCATTAGGTCAATTAAGTGCCCAGCAATCTACTAGCTTCGAGAAGGTGATGAAGGCTTTAAAGTGTTAGCTTCCATGAGATTACATCCTACAAAATAGTAGCAAGTTTGATGAAATTAGGAACTAAAAGCGGTTCAAATGCGGCCAATATGTAATATATTCCTTTTGTACTTGAACATCAAGTGTCAAGTTAATCTAGGCTACTTATGAAGTATTCCAAACGGTACAATTAGTTGATTCCGTTGTAAGGTTGTGTTATGGGTTGTTGTGATCATCGTTCCATCCTTATGGTTTCCGGGCTTTCGATGGTTGCTTACTGAAAACCTCGGTAGCAGATTTCATACCTTGGACATTACTTTCAGGTATTCAGATTAATCGAATTTCTATTGTTTCATATCACTATTTGTTTTCTTGTTTCCATAGTGCCATAATTTCAAATGTAAATGTCATAAATTTTTCACATCGTTAACGGTTGAAAACAAAATGAAATTTGAGAAAAGTTATTCCCCCAAGATGTTACGAAAGGCTGGTTTCTTGCTCATCTGAGGTTGAGATTTTTTTCCCCTTCAAGATTATTGAGATTTTGCTCCAATTTTCATATTCAGACTCATTTGAAAACATGAACGCATTACAGTACTCTGTAGCATCAAAATGGATGCAAAAATAGCCATCTTCAAAAACTAAACTACATCTACAAAAGAAAAGAAAACCAAATACTATTTCCTTTTGTGTGTCAGCCCAAGAATTTACAATGTACAACAAAGTAGTATAAGTTATCAACCACATCTTATCAAGAAAGAAGATGATGAGGTAACATTCTAAACCAAATAAATATACTCAAGACTCAGACATTCCCTTGGGATGCATGGTGGTGCGGACCTTCTCCTTGATTATCCAAGGGCATGTACTGCGCCATAATCGCTCGTATCTCTGAATCCATGTATCTCTGCAAAATGAATCATTCGTCGGATTTAGTCATCATCACTCAATCATACAAATGAAACGGATGGATGATAAAACAAAGTCCACCCATCATGCCTAGCTTGGCAATGACAACTAACTAAAAGAGTTCCACTAGTCATCCATCCGTCCAGCAATATGCATTAATCTAAGAGTGGAGACCCCCTTTCTTTTAAAATAATGATAAGGAGAGTGATTGCAGACAGTGGATGGAGGGAGTCAACCATGTGTGGAAGATAAAAAGACATTACAATCCAAGGAAGTCGGAAAAATCCCACTCACCCGGATTCTGTACTTGTATAAAGCATATCCTGCAGCTCCTGCGACGGCCAAGCCAAGGATAATGACCCAAACAAAGCTCCAGCTGTAACTGGATTTCGAGTCTTTACCTGCAGTTATTTTCCAACCACAAACAGAACATTTAATGATCCACTTCGATTGGTGACTAGAAAAGTGGCACCAAGATATGTAAAGCAGTGAGCCAGACACAAACTCAGCCATCAAAAGATCCCAAACCGACTACTTAGCCCAACAAAAATTACCAGTCAAATGCACATAGTAGCATTCTAACTCGGAACCTACTACTATGGCTAGATGTAAAAGATTTATTACAAAACTGGCAATGGGAGGACATAGAAAAAAGAGAAAAAAAATGAAAAAGAACTCACTGATGCATGTGTCGTGTTCCTGCATGTACAATAAGTTGCCACTACAACTGCACTCGTAACTGCCCCAAGTATTCTTGCATTTGCATTCTGGACATTGGCAGGCTGTCTTCTCCTTGCACTCGTCGATATCTGGAACACATCGGAAATTTAATTTAGGAGGTTGATCTTAGATTTTATGTGAAGCCAAACCACAGGCATCCCATCATTTTAAGGTCAAAAGGATGTAAAAAAAAAACATCATCTCTCATGATAATAATGATGATCTTGGGATTATGAGGAACATTGGTTATTCTAAAGGTACAGCTCCAGAGAAACCTTCCAATACATTAGGTAATGCAAATTTCGTAATCTGTTAATCCAGGAGGAGTATACAATTGGATGTCAATCTGCCATCTTCCTTCAGATCAGTAAAGAGTCGCAGCTCTTATAATAACCATTGAATGGTATCTTGTAGCCAGTGAAAGCTACAAATATTATATTGATCTTCATTAAAATTTTAAATAAATGACACAGAAACAAACAAGGAATTGATGCATATACCATTTCCGTAACCTAACTGTCAAATGTCAACCAACGTAGATTAAAGGACTTGGTTTAACCATAAATAGTAAGCCCTAAAAGCTGTCACACTTATACCTTCACAACTTTTAACTCCGTCGCCCCTGAATCCAGGAGGGCAACTGCAACCTTTAGTTAGGCCATCCTGCACGAATCAAACACGCTATAACACTCTGACATCCATGGAACATATGTATATAAAAGAGGCTTCTGGACTTGCACATAACAGCCATCAAAAAATGCAAGTCAGAGAAACAAAATTCAACTTACAATGCAAGCAGAATATGTTTTCCCATCCTTTATTCCCTTCCAACATCCTCCATTATTCAGTTCGCAACGTGCAGCCCCAGAAGCTGTTGAATCAACATAACCAACACAACTCGTTTGCATTAGATTCTAACAAAGAGGTAAACATTTACAAGCCAGTAGTTATACAGGAAAAGATTTTGTAAGACTCCATTTCAGAAGATAATGCAAGTTAACAGATATATTTTACCTTCACAGTGAGTATAACCATCACCTACGAATTGTACCCCATGTACAACAGGGCATTCGCATACTCGCCCACGAAAAGTATCCTGTAATAGAGGTTAATGAAGATTAGCAGAGTCCCAGGTTCAGATGAGGCATGCCACTAACATGCCAGCTGATAATCAGCATACAATAACTTACTTTACATGCAGTCACGTTAGCAGCCCTATCCTGCCAGCATCCACCATTATTTTCCAAGCATTCATTTGTCTGTATATCTGCATTATTAACAAGCAGCAAAAAGCAACTTGAGCAAATCATCCTCCTAACTTTGGTATCCCACATGCTAATCCATAACTTCTCACTACTTTGATCATCAATTAGATTTGGAAATTTAGAACAACTTTTGTTCCAAAACCATTGACAGAAATCTTCAAAATAACATGCTGTCAAAAATGCACATGGCAAAAACTATCTGGAAACATCTTGAATATATGCTAAGAAATTGTATCAATGTCCAACACAATACTGCAAAGAAAATTGTTTCAACCTTTCAGAATAAACCAGCATCTGATGAAACGGCTATTCAAATATAAAAGCCAATTGCACAGATGAGAGTGAAAAAATCTTTTAATTACTGACGCAACAGCATCAACAACAGCAGAATAGCCAACTCATCAAAGAGTCCAAATGCCAGGCAGAAAAAAGAACTATGACTAAGAGTGCTAGACACTGACATTGATAAACGAAGGCCAGTGGCCTCAGTTGAGACTTCTACTTCTACTACAGAAAACCCGAATCATGCTCAAGGAGTGAAATAAAGCTTGAGTCATCATCAAAAACATATAAACCTCCCTATCTACACAAAATCCCTCCTTCGCCAAACCACCAGCACAACAGTAGTTTTTTCTAGGGGCATGCTCGAAGCGCCCCTCCCAGTTTTGACAATTGACACAAAAGCTTCTATTATAAATACTAGAAATTCAACGTCAAATAATTCACAGCAAGAATTTATTACCTTCACTTAAACAAATTGCAGGTTCTGTGGTTTCCTGGAATCCAGAACATATAGCTTTAAGAACAGCACCTTTATCCAGCTTACCTACAGGTTTGAATCAAAAGGAAAGAAAGCCATTTATACTCCTTTGAAAAAAATAAAAAAATCAAATGCAAGAGCAACATCTGATCATGAAGTTGAGATAGACCTCTATATTGCCTGTTATTTATGACAAGTGTAGGTAAGATTGTAACATCCCCGCGCACGCCTTTGCCTATCTGGAAGCAAGGTGGAAAGAAATAATAATAAAAAAAAAGTTGGCTGGATAAAATTTACTAGGATCTGAAGATGGCAAATATCAAGGATCGACAGCAAACCTGAGCATCCTGCTCACCCTTCAAAAGAGGGTTGTCTGCATCTGCATCAGGCTCTCCCACACATTTTTCAACCTCCCTAACATCAACGCCTTCAAACAAAAAAGATGTTACAAAGAAAAGTACTAGACACAGCTTTGTGAAATATTGCCTTCTTTTGAATTGAAAAGTCTTTTACTAATCAGTCACTTATGCAACAGTCAATTATTTGGAAACTTCTTACACGGATGGTAGATGAAACAAATACAAATTAGCAAGATCGTAGGAATAACATAGTATAACATGATTGAAGGACACAAGGCACAAGTAGCATGGAGAAGTTGTTGAGAGACACCAACTGCCACATGCAGCCCCAAAAAAGCAACAGAGGCTATGAGTTACTTTGGAGACATAAGAATACTGAGAGAATTTTGGGAAGCGAAGAAAAGCACCAACAGATAAAGTATTATACAATAAATCTTAATCCAAATGAAGATTACTGAGAACCCATAAAACTTATACATGGTGAAAGATCAAGCGAAACAAAAGAGGATGTGATGGATCATACATAATCACATAATTGGAGCTTGATGCATAGCAATTCGAAATGGAAAGATACGCAGTTGAAACAAAACTACATCTGGTACCGATCGTTTTGAAGAAGCAAAAATATTTAAGATGACTCAATTTTGTATATAAGCAAGATACGCAATACCCACAAACAACAAATAAGGCCTGATGGTAATATTCAGTTGTTAAACCTACCGAGCGACTGGATCACTTGATCTGCACAGTCTTTGGTATACTTTTTCTCTTTCATTGGACAGCGGATGGAGAAATCCGTGACATAGTCCCACCACAGCCATGGTTTCCCACTTTCATTTGCCACCTTAAAGAAGCAAACTTGCCGTAAATTTTGCAATACAACATCCTTCCCATCATATCCCCGGCTGAAATCTTGCTCTGGGTCGGGTGCACAATACCTCCCATGGTTAATGCATTGGGACTTGCACTGTTTGCTCAAAAGAAACGCCTCAGGGCAATACCAAGTAATATAATGAGGAGTAAATTGAGTGTATCCTTTCTGCTCAAGTATTTGGGCAGCCCCTTTGAAGTTTTTGACGAAATCTATCTGGCTTTCGCACTTGACCCCACATTCGTCGTTGCTGTTTGTCCAGAACTCATATTCAACCCGCTCGTCCGGATGCGGAAGAGCCTCCCTCCAATCAAGGTTCAAATTAACCATTTCTCCCTTGGAAAGTTCACCCTTTATCTTATCCCCAACAGATTGGCTAATTAAAGCAGAAGGAATGGTAATGTTCTGAAGATAATCTGCTTGTGCTTGTGCATCCTCTTCTTCCGGGTTGTCCATAGTTATCAGGGGTTCGGCTCTATCATCCGCGACAAGAATAGCCGCTGCGCCTGCCTTCTGAGCATTCCATGCTTTCAAAGTGAAGAAACAATCTGCCAAAATTGCCAGAAAAGTGAATAGGAAAATTTTCTATGAAGAGAAGTGCAGGAAAAAAACCAATCTGTTTTACAACCATAGCACTTCTGTTTATAACCCAAAGGGCGAAAAAAATACAAGTGAAGCGAGACATACAAAATCTATGCATATTGAGAGCACATTAAAATCTGACATTGTACCTTTCTCCAGGAAAAGTAATGCTCAAAATGAATTACCATAAGACTGCACACCTTAATTACATGAACTCGTGGCAAATTGGGAAACTCAAGCTTCCCACCAAATTTTGGAACCTAGGTTAGTAGGCAAAGAACGGATACTGGTGCGGGAAACTTCTACTCAGCAGATTAACCATATTAGTGACTCCTATTATTCTAAAACTTAAACAGCAGGAGCTACACAATAATTTAAATCCAAATAGCCACCGTCAAAATTAAGCTGAAGACATTACCCAAAAAAAAAGAAAAAAGATTAAGAAAAGAAGAAGAAGAAGAAGCAGAAGAAAACCACTGGCTTAAAACAAAGGGTCGTGACATGCCAAAAGCAACCTAAATTTAAATTGGACAGAGCAAAAACTACAAACTGGAACGGAGGGAACAAAGAAAAACTTTACCTCCTCGATCAACAAGAAGAAAGGTAGGCATGCCACCGGGCTTGGATTTGAAGGAGATACCAAAATCATCAAAACTCTTGCATCCTTTCTGGTTGGCTTTCGGGTAGACAACATAACCAACCAAGGTACCTCCATACTGAGGAACCCCGAAATTCCCAATTGCACACTCATATACATCTTTGATTGACTCCGGGGATGTCACTTTCAAGCTGTTCTTCTCCACAACAAACCTCCCAAAACATGACCCAAGCAATAGAAACCCAACCAAAAATATGACTAGAAAATCCACCCTTGTCCTCATCATTCTTCCAGGTCAAAATTCCTACCGACCCAGATTAGATTTTGATCTATAGCCCACTAAAAACAAACAAAGACAGAGTCGTCGTCAACCCAAAAAAGTGGGGTGCCAAAACAACAAAGCTAGCGTCTTTAAGGCGGGTTTACGAGAACCCAGATCAAATTAAGGGGTGATCAGTTCAAATTCTTACAGCACAAATTGCTGAGAATACTAAAACAAGGAGAAAGGGATTGATAAAAACATGGAAGGGAATAAAAAAAAAAAGAAACTTGGAATTGGAATTGGAATAGAATGGAGACTGGCAAATTGCAAATGGGATTGGTTAAGTACCGGTTTTAAATGAGGCTCGAGGGAATCATGACCGCCATCGTCATCATCAAATTAAAAATATGCCTTCTTAGAAGGAAAGGATTCGAGTTTTAGAGCTTATTATATAGAAACTTCAACTAATCAGGAATTTGTGTTCCTTACTTTGGAAGTCTTTATTTGTAGGAAGTAGGAACCATCTTTGTTTTTTGTCCTTTCTTGTTATTTATGGTATAGTAGACTTGTAGTAGATTTGAAATACATAAGCCACATTATTTTTAAAAAATATATATTAATAAAATAGTAATTCCTATTTATTTTAATGGGAAAATTTAGACTAATTACTGGAGGAGGATGTTGTGAGAGAAAGCAGCGGGACTTTTCTTGTCGTAATTACTATGTTTACAAGTATAATAATTAAGGTTACCAATTTTGACCAATTTACTGCTGGTTTAGGATGGGTTTGTGAGAAGGGTATAATAATGGTAGATTAGGTAGTTAAGAAAAAATAAATAAATACTCCAGCTTTGATTAATGTACCAAACTATATTTTGTTTTTGTTTTGTTATAATCATGACTTTTCCTTTACTTTATATTTTGTTTCCGTTTAGAGCTTTTAAAGATTAAAAATAATAATAATTAAAAAAAAAAACAAAAAAAAAAGGTGTGCCCGTGATGATTTGCATGTAAGGCATGTGTCCCAATTTCTTCAGAGCTATGTTGAACAGACCACCTCCCAAGTGTCCTTTTTTTTTTTTTTGCTTTTAAATTATGCTGATGATGATGAGGAAGGTTAATCTTTGGATTACAAACCAACTTTGCCAACGAGAGTAGTAACGTACTCGGGGACGCGGGAGTCTTGACAAACTATACATTCACTACCAAGTGTCTTTTGTTACTACTGTGAGTGTGAACTATGAAAGGGATCTAATTTTTCAATTCTTCACTGCATATCATCAAACTAACAAGGAGGAATTAGATTTGTACTTAGTAGTAAATACAACTGTACACGGGGTTCGACCATAGTATAATATTATTATGGTGAACAAACGCACAGTCAGGCAGAGGAGACTCCACAGAACCAAACCAACGGGTTCCCTGCTTCTGCCAGAGCCGTCGGCTATCATCACATTCACAATACTTGCTCTTGCAAACACACATTATTAGCTTAACCTATTCTAGCTTGTCCTCTTCATCATGTTCTTCACCCGTTGGTCCATTAACCTGATCCACCCCTGAAGCAGCACAACAACCCCTTTTCTCCTTTCTTTCAAGCTTGATCGTTCCCGTTTCACTTGCCATTTTCACTCCCCTCGTAAGTGATATCGCTTCTTCATCCCAGTCATCGCCATTCTCCCCGGAGTAAGCATATCTACCAAAGTATTAACCAATTATAACTCGTTTACCAGGTCATGGTGAAGCAAGTAAAATGAATCTTTACTCCTGCACTGGTTTTTTCAATATATAGACATAGTCAAGGAACATAAATTAGAAGAATACCTTGTTTGGTTATCTGAAGGGGCCCAGAGAATACAAACTACCACCAGCAGCAAGAACCCGAGCAGAGTCCAGAAAGCTGGAATGATCCACGCAATTTGCCACAGCTCGCTTAAGGGATCGCTTGCTTTGAAATAAAGCTGAGTCCAAAAGACACATAATCATTCATATATTTCCAAACAAATAATAGAAGCAACTACACAAATATACTGAACACGATAACTAACAGAGCAGGACACAAATAAACTTGATTTCTCATATGTCTTATGCTGATTTCACTTCTCGTCACAGGGAGAGAAACGCGTTCGTTAGGAGTTTCATAGTATCACCATTTCTGATAATGTCAAAATCATTACCTCGTAACCAACCCAAGCAATGGAGAGCAACACAAATACAGCAAGATAATTTGTAAACCTCCGATAAAGCTCCAGTTTCAAAATATTTTTCCTCATCTGCAGATAAAAATACGAAGCAGAATAACAGTTTTGCTTCATTACATTCTTCAGCAGTAATTGAAGGATTTTCACAGAAGAATAATTACCTGAAGCTTTTCCAACGTTTTTGATAAAGACGAGAATATCCACAATATAAAGCAGGCATCTAGAAAGGCAACCGGAAGGACCAAATATAGCTTAGTTTTTCCAGAGAAGTCGTTGACGTTACCCAAATGTTCAAAAAGTTGAAGGGCCTCCACAGCAGAAAAATATAACACCAATAACAGTATTATTTTAGTCCTTCGACCACCACATGTCGGCCTCAACACACCATACCCCATTGAGACCAACAAAAGAAGCAGCTGAGATAATGTCCTCCTGATAGCACTAAGGGTAACCGCCCACAAAGTGATCTCCCAAGGTCTTTTCCCACTAGCATTGAGATTTGCATATTCAAAATACCAAAGTGCCATTTCACACATCCCGAGTGCGATTACAGCGGTAATGTGGTAATGCAGTTGTATGACGTCCTTCAAAAAGCGGATGAACCTCAAGAACCACACAAGTCCAAGCACAAGATAAGCTAAAGACGCGATCCCAAAAAATGTCATCAAAGGAATCATCTTTCCGGGCAAATAGCCATCTGGATTCCTCCATATAGTCTGTCCACTGATTAACGTGCCTTTAAGTAGTGGATCACAAAACATAAAGTAAAGATAGTACATTCCTGTACTGTTTATTTCTACTAACTGATTATCCATTTTAGCTTCCACGCTCTTGCCTTCGAAGAAGATCTGGATACGAATAGGCCATTCAGGATTGTCGGGATTTTTCTGAATGATGACCTCTCCTACGGTGCAAAATTTGTCCTCGGAGAGTTTAGGTGTGCAACATATGGCATGAGATTTGGAGAAAATGTCCCCAATTCTATTACGGTCCTTCACCTCGAGAATAATGGCTTCTATTAGTCCAGTTCTACTCTGCATTTCATTTTGACGCTCAGCAGATTCTTTTGTCCTCGCAAAGGTTATACTTTCAAACCTAAAACACAAACCGAGATGGTAAATCAGAGGCCTTCTGACAACACAAAAATCCACATTCAAAACCTACTTGTCCATTACAAAAGATTAAACAGAAAAAGAAAAAAATAAAATAAAAAACAAGACAAAACAGCTAGCAGAGCAGTAGCATGTAAGGGGTACAATCATGGGAACATAGCTTCGAACTTAAGCGTGGGTAATCAATCATGAAGGTGAAAGTTAAACTCAACCACACATTTCGGTTCAGCGTTGAGTCATTTGGAAATGCAAAAACTAGCCTTTCACCTGACTAATGCCTGTTATTGGGGTTAATTTCTGTCCCACCAAAGGCCAAACATTAACACAAGAAGTGATTGTTTTGTAGTTGCAATTGTTCACATCAAGGAAAAAGAAGAGTTTAGGGATCCGAATTTTGCTCCATAAGAATGACTTAATCTCTCGTGTCGTACGTACCCATGATTTGGGCAACAAAACCCCGAACTTTCCTAAAACCGCAAAATGAAATTCCACTATAGTAAAATAAAATGCGCGATATAAAAACAAGATAAAGTCCTAAAGAGAAATAGAGCAACGCCAATAGTAGAAGAGATTACCTGATGGAGGATTTCCCTCGGAATGGCCTATAGGCGGAGGCAGAGGCGGTGGGTGAATCATGATGGTGATGGGAAGCATACATGCCCTCGCCACCGCCGAGGAAGAAGAAAGCATTGGATTGAGGAACGAAAGGCTGGTTTTCGTATTCGTGAATTGAAGCGTCGACGGAGGAGTGGAGGAGGAGGAGAAGGATGAGGAGGAGGAGGCGCCGGAGTAGGAAGAGAGTGAAGTGATCATCTTGTGACGGGCTCCACAGGCGGCTAAACCGCCGGCTTGGATAGTCATTCATAGCCTGAAAATTAGTTGTTGAGGATGCAAAAGTATATGGGGGCAAGTGAACCTCGGAGGTCTACGGTGGCGGAGGTGGTGGTGGGCGAATGAGGACTCCTCCGCCATCTTTTTATGTCATCAACCTGATGATATATATTAGTAGTCCTATTTTCTACCAAATGACCCTTTTTGTTCACCTATTTTACATTTAGTACTCCCTCTGTCCTAAAAAAAAAAAAAAAATAGTTTGTAGATTATATATAAAAGCCAATTATTGCATTCCTAGTATGAATTGTATTTCTAAGGCCTGTTTTGATAAGAATTAGTATTTAATTCTGAATACTTAATGCTGAAATAGAAATGCTAAATACTTAACTCTGAATGCTTAATTTTTAAATTTTAATGCCTGAAACAAAATACTTAATGAACTATTCTTGTTTGATAAAAATACTTATATGAACGCTAAATTGTGTGAATTTTACCAATTTATCTTTTTATAATTTTTTAAAATTTCTGTATTGTAAAATATTTTTTTCCCCTAACTACGCAGTAATTATGTTTATTATTCATAAAATATATACTATAAAATTATTATATATTGTAACTAAAATACGCGTGGCGTTTTTTTTTTAATAAAATGAATGAGCCAAATTATAAAATATTAAATTTTTATATCTTTGGAAATAAATTAAAAGAGAAAAAATCAAACACATGTATGAAATAATTAAGATTTTTACGGATCAAAACAACGAGACTTTATTTAATCAAAAAATGAACAGTTAAAATATTTAAAGAATATTTAATTAGTGTGGTGAATGGTAAAATATTCATGGACAACGTTAGAATTCAATAATAAAGAATTAAAAGAAAGGTGGATGAGAGTAATAAGCAATAAGCATTGAGCTAGATTTTACTGCTTAAAATTTATAATGGAGTTTCGGGAGTGCTTAATCAAATAAGTGAACTATTTTTTTGTTATCAAACATGCTTATTCTAAAAATCACTTAAATCAATAATTTTAAACAATAATTCAAGTTATCAAACAGGTCCTAAGACAAAATGAGCATTTAGTAGACTATCATTCCTTCTGTCTGGTTATCTCAAAGTAAAAAATCGGAGCAAAGTAAGTACACATACCATTCGCTTCTCATTTCGTGTCTCTTGAGAAAAGAATTTTTTTTTATCTTTTACAGTTGAACCAACAAGTTGAGACTTAAAAACCACCCAGCAAAAGTATGGATTCAAAATACTAGTAAGTATTTTGAAATTTGGGGTAAAGATTATACAAGTGTTATTTTGTAGTCTAAAAACAAAATACAGTTGTAATATGCGTGTGTATATATATATATGTATATATAGTACTATAAAATATTGTAGATTGTAAACTTCTTAATTGAAGATGACAATATATACTTTTTATGCAGTAGATTAAGTGAATATGAAGGAGAAACTACAATTTCTTTGATCACTTTACACTTCCATTTTGCTACTCACCAAATCTATATATATATATATAATAAATTTGGGAATCTGCTTTTTAGGTACGGTTAAATGCAAGTTGCCTGTGATTTTCGATGATGTGACAGATGTTTATTCGCCCTTCTCATTTTCTTGTCGGGTTCCGCATGTTTGCATTCTGTTCTTCTCTTTCGATTGCTCATCGCCCAATCGTCTCCTTCTATCTCCTCTTCCGTTTGCCGTGTCCATCACCCGAAGAAACAAACGTAATCTCTCCTCTTTCTTTGTATTCTGTCTTTCGCCACCCATATCTTTTGTTTCCTTATTTAAAAAAAATGAAGAAACTAGCTGCAGTTCATGTTAATATTCTTCTTTGTTAACACTACCGTCCGATTTATGCTTTAGGCCAGTGGAATGGTTTTAAGTTGCGATTGGATTTTAATTTTCTCCTTTCTTTGATTTGTCTTCATTGGAGGTTGAATGAATGTGATATAGTTTCATGGAATTGTGTTTGTCTTCAATTTGGAGGTTGAATGAATACGATATAGTTTTATATTGTTGTGTTTATAAAACATGGATATGAAGTGTTCGATTATTGGTCTCAATGAATTATGACTTAATTAATAGCAGTATTGTAACAATTGCATTGCACAAGGGTTTGTCTAATGACTTGTTGGAGTGGTGAAGATAGTTGAAGGCTTGCAATTGACACAAAACGGCTTAAAATCTGTATTTAAGTCTTTGTTTGACCTATATCCGAGAAGTGATGATCTAAAGGGTTTTATTACTTCTACCTTTGATTATGAGGTTTTCTTGTTTAGTATGTTAGAATTAGTAGAACTGTAGAAGGTTTATTAGCCAAGAGAAATTACTTTTGGAGAGGTAAAAAGCTTTCATTTTTATGAATGATGCTTGAGACTTGGAAGTTACTAATAGTATTAGATATCCACTTGATTTTGGGAAGAAACTCACATATGGTATTTTACAAGGCCTCTGTTTTTTTTTTCTTTTTTCACTTGATTACCAACCGTCATAATTTGAATTGCTGGGAGTAGTTTCCTGCAACACTTACATATCTAAATTGTTAAAAATTCTTAATCAGGACACTCTACTTAACTTTTGTTACTTTGAATAAATACCTCATTTGGAAACTTGAGCTCTATGTTCTGATTTATTCGATAGTACTGTATTAGACTGGGTAAATTCTTCCAAAACACCGCATGTCGTGCGGTGCATCCATGCTAGTTGTTCCCTTAAAATCTGACCACTTTTCATTGATCCATAATTTTTCAATGGTGCAGTAAAAATGACAAAATTCATTATATCCTTTCCGTCCCAATAAATAATCCACAGTATGTTTTGTGATTTGTATTAAAAGCAGTACAAATTACAAAAGATAATGTGAATTTTTTATTTTATTATTTTTTTGTTTGACGAAGAGGGTGTAAGATACCATGGGCAAACCTCCTTAGTTTATTTCTATTCTATGTATATTAATACAGGATAAAAATAACTTACTTGGCATGAAATTAAAAACTCACTTATTCAGTTCGAAGTAAAAAAAAAAAAAGGAAAAAAAGATTTAATCGTGATTACGGTGCATCTTAACTATAAAAAATAACTTTGTCTTAACTTTCTGCAATAATTTTTTGAAATAAATAATCTGATAATGAAAGTTCAAATAGAGTCCAAGTTATCCTAAATTAATCCTATCTTAAATCAACGCACAAGATTTGTTAAACATTGTTCTATTCAAACTCCATGATAGTAAAATTCGAAACAATTAGGTATGTCTTTGTTTCTTTTTCCTTTAAAACTTTTGTTCCTTCCGTAAAGTTTTTTTTTATTCGATGGGTTGTTTTCATACATATATTTTCTCTATTCAATACGAGTCTATATTTAATGCAAGGAACTCTCAATGGATATGGAGTACCTGTACATAGTATCAGAAAATATTACCAACAATGGTTTGGTAATAATCTCGACTATAGTTTTTTTTTTTTTTTGAACGTTACAGTTTGAAAAATCACTTGTTTATGATTATTTATTTACGCAGACTCTTTCGAGTCGTCTGCCATCGTTATTTATAAAGGAGATCCATGAGGTTATATATGTCTCCGCATTGATTTTGGAGATTTATATGTTAATTTCGTATCACCCGTATGGCTGAAGACAGTTTTATGGTGATAGATGTTTGAAATTTATTCGTAGCATCAATCTCATTCATGGTGCAAAAGTTCACATCATAGTTGCTAAAGAGTATATCATGAAATTTATGATCGAGGAGGGTGTCAGAATTTTTATATTTGCGGTCAACCTATTTGTCTAAAAGTTTTAATCAACAATGATATTTTGTAAAAAAAAATTTATAAACCAAACCATTAATCTTTATCTTAACATATATTTTTTTTCATATCCCATGCAACTTACGAGTTACCCACTAGTTTATTATTATTGGATAATAATAATAACAACCCCTAAATGTTCAGAATGGTTTAAAATTCTTGATAGGGATGCCGGCAGTTATTCCCGCCTTTATAAATATGTTGATCGAAGACAATCTATTTATGCCGGCAAACATATCATTCCCGCCGTTTTTTTAAGATGAATTTTTTTTTTCTTTTAAAAAAAAATCTCTACTTGAAGACAACTGTAACAATGTTATTATTTGGGCAGGTATTGGGGTTTCTTGATGATTGTGAATATTAAAAGAATATTAAACGTTCACTATCTCAAACATAAAATAGAAATTAGGAGGGTTAAAAGTAGATAAACTATGTCAAATGCGTTTTGGACCCTTTAACACTCCGAAAGCAACACAAATCTAATGTAAACAAATATACGAAAAAGACATGTAATGGCAGAACTATGAGAGAAAGAAATGGCCCATCAGTACTAATAATAATACTAATATTTCAGGAAATAAGTTTAAGATGGGTCAGTGGTATAGTGGGGTTCATGTCCTTGGTTTAATTAAGAAATTATTTACCCACTGTATTGTAGGTAGTTATATCATCAATCATTGTAGGGGCTAACCAGCACCATCATTTCTTCCTTCTGAACATAAAATTAAGCAAAGCTGCTGCCACTCTCCTCTAGTTTCTTTCTTGGTTTGTTTGGATTGTTTCTTTCCTTCCTTCCTTCCTTCCTTTCTCTTTGCAGGGGCGTAAATACGAAAAGAAAGACCTAACAAGTAATTTTTGGGATTCTTTTCAGCTGCAAAGTTGGAATCTTTATACTCTTCTTCGTCTCTACTTGAACAGGTACGAGGTTTGAGTTATGTTCTCGCTTCTTGTGCGTTGTTGTCTTTAAGGGTTTCTCCGATTGTTTTTTGTGAATTAATTGTATGTTTCGTGTGTTTGTCGTGTTTTGTTGTTTTCAAACCTGACCGTGAGGGTGGAAATGGGGGGAGGAAATTGGCTTCCCTCTATAAGTTGTGGCATTGACTCATCGGACAAAATTATTAGTACCACCACCAATACAGCTTTCCTCCTTTTAACAATTGCTTATTAGCATCAATTTGTTACATTTTTTTTATTTGGATGATGAAGTATTCAATGCCGGGGGAGTGCGAAGGAATAATTCAGAGGTCGATGGACTGATGAGCACTCCCATTTTAGTCTCTGTGTTTCCTGATTAATTGTTGATGAGTGTGATTTATATCCTTCTACAACATGCTGTCTTGAGTCCTACATGAATTTTTTTTTTTTTTTCAATCACAATTCCATAGGTTCTCTCCACTCTTTCATCTAGTGTTTCCAACATGCGATTGTTTCTGTTGCATAATTTTTCAGGTGCAGAGTTTATCTTCAGTGTTCTCAGATTTAACCCTCTGGGAATGTTGAAAGATGTGGTTTTCGCAAGCTGACCAGGCATTCTCTGAGGAAAAACTTGAACAAGTTAATGGATTCCTGATCAATATCTTCTCTGCCACATTCATTGCTTTTAACCTCTGCCTCATCAGCAGCCCGACAATAAAGATTACTGCTTTTCCCATCTCTCGCGGTATGTCGGTTTACAGTGAGTGTTGCAGAAGGCGGATGATAGCATCGTCATATCATGACCTCTGTGAAGATGGTTGAGCTAATTTCTTTTAGGGTTCTTGAGATCTTCATTATATGTTTGGTATCTTCAGTTCCAGCTTTCAGCTTTGAATTTCTTTTTTAGTATTTAGGGGTGTTGACATGGAAAACAAAGGGACAACCACATTGATGAGACGTTACGAGTTGGGGAAACTGTTGGGGCAAGGCACCTTTGCAAAGGTCTATCATGCAAAGGATGTTACTACCGGTTCAAATGTGGCCATCAAGATCATTGACAAGGAAAAGATTTTGAGGGTTGGCATGGCTGATCAAATCAAAAGGGAGATTTCTGTGATGAAACTGGTTAGGCATCCGAACATTGTGCAACTTTATGAGGTTATGGCTAGCAAAAACAAGATCTATTTTGTCATGGAATATATGAGAGGAGGTGAGCTCTTCAAAAAGGTGGCGGACCTGGCCGCCAAAGGGAAAAGGCTGAAAGAAGACGTTGCTAGGAAATACTTCCAACAGTTGATTTGTGCAATGGATTTCTGCCACAGCCGAGGTGTGTATCACCGTGATTTGAAACCAGAAAACCTACTGCTGGATGAGAATGGGAATATTAAAATCTCGGACTTTGGATTGAGCGCGCTCGCGGGATCAAAGAGGCAGGATGGCTTGCTCCACACTACCTGTGGCACGCCTTCCTATGTTGCGCCGGAAGTAATCAATCGCAAGGGTTATGACGGGGCCAAGGCCGATATCTGGTCATGTGGGGTGATCTTGTATGTTCTGTTGTCTGCTTATCTTCCTTTCCAGGACTCAGATCTAATGGTGATGTATAGAAAGATTAGCAAGGCGGAGTTCAAGTATCCTAACTGGTTTTCCCCCGAAGTTCGCCGGCTAATCTCCAAAATATTGGATCCAAATCCGAACACCAGGATATCTATACCTAAAATCATGGAAAATCCTTGGTTCCGAAAGGGTTTTGAACCGAGTATTGAAAGAGAAGCCAGTTGTGATAGGAAGGCTGTAATAAGGCTTGATACAAAAGAGACTGGAATCGATTCACACCCGGGATATAAACCTGGTGGGACAAATTGTAGCAATGAGCAAGACCAGCCAATGAGACTGAATGCATTTGACATCATCTCATTTTCTGCTGGTTTCGACCTGTCCGGATTGTTCATGGGGAGCGATGATAGAAAGAAAGAAATGAGGTTTACATCGAGACAAACGGCAAAAACCATCATCTCAAAGCTAGAGGAGTTAGCGGGGCGTCTAGGTTTGAAGGTAAGTAAAAAGGACAGAGGGTTGATGAAACTAGAAAGATCAAAGGCGGGCCGGAAAGGGGAATTGTGTATCGACGCAGAGATCTTTGAGATCACTCCAGAATTTCATTTGGTAGAGGTGAAAAAGTGTACTGGGGATACCGTAGAATATGACCAGATGGTTAAGCAGGACATAAGGCCAGCATTGAAGGACATTGTATGGGCATGGCAAGGCAATATGCCAGAGCAACTACTTCCTCAGCTGCCGGAGATGCCACAGGAACAGCACCAGCTCTCTCAAGTGCCTGCTGTTTTAGAGGCTGCAGGTTCAGCTGAGCTTCCTTGATAACAAGAAACAGTCTAGTCGGATTGATACCTCGTCCTCGTGGAGCTTTCACGAGTATGGTTCGAGAAAATTGATACTTTTAGACAGGTCTGGATTCTTATTTGTGATGCATATATATTTCTAGCCAACGTGGGTGGATTCTTGTACAAAAGTTTAAACCAAAGTACTGTGGTTGTGCATTTGTTTACAACTTTACGAAGTATACACGGGTCATCTAGTGCTCGCGTTTAGCATTGAGACCAATTTACTCCGTGCTTGATCAATTGGTTCTATCTGAACCACAGTCGTTTCTAAATTCTAACTAGAAGAAGAAAACAAGACTTTCTTTTGCTTCAATGCAACAGGTTGGCCAAACCAGACAAGAAGTACTTAACCAAGGAAGCTTCAGATGTCTTACCCACTTACCCATCCTAAAGATCAAGAGTTAGAAAGTACAGCATATTCATCCCTTCGCGCTGGCTGATACACATATACTTAGTGAAATTTTTTGACGCCTAACCATGACGATAGGGGAAACACCAAAGGAATCCAATTCGGGTGGATTGCCGATTTCTCTAAGGAGATGAGGTTCCATTTCCAACGGAGACATTGCAGCAAACACTGAAAAGGAATTCCTTGTATAGAAAAGAACCAAACAATACACAAGGGTGAACGTTGCTAAGACCATGGCAGAGGATAGCAACGAACTAAAGCAAGTGAAAAGCACTCGACTGGAGACCTTATAGCCCATAAGAGATGCATGCTCGAAGACTCCCCACTTTCCGGTGGGATCAAAACTTCAAGAGAGCAACTTACATCGGCAAAAACTAAGTACTTACGTACGGAGAACTCTATATAGTTCATATATTGCCATTGTTCTATATCAAACACAAATTCTAAAAGCCAAACCTCCTCCACACATTTTCAACAAACACAATGACAGCTACAAGACTAAATCCCTAAACCTCTTCGGCACATTTTCAACAGACACAATGACAGCTACAAGACTAAATCCCACAAATGGAAAAATGCATTCAATCCACCTTGTGAACAAAACCTAATGTACTTCAAATTAAATGGCCACAATCAGGTCAGATTGCTAAACCTGCAAGGAGAGAAGAAGCAATTCATCCCTAGTTAAAGATAGTCATGCAAGGCAGCCAGAGTATACCCCTATAATGTTGATGATGATCATGATGATGATGTAAAGTAAATCTCCCTTGTAAAGAAAAAGAAGGAAGATACATTGTGTCCAGTATTTCTAAATTCTCTCTCAAAAAGAGGCTGTTAGCCCTCTCTTTTCACTACAGGAGTTGTATTGAATTGAATTCTTTTTACGTCCCACATTGTATTCTAATCTCATATTCTTTTTTCTTGATCATATGACCACAGAGACTGTACATCTGGAGTTGAGTAGAGACCAACAACATGGGGCTTCATCGTCACTGATGCATTTCCTACGCCGACTCCTCCTGAACTCTGAACGTTTCTGTCATTCCTGCAAACGAATAACGTCGACATTAAACACGGGTATGCTTACACAAATATGAAAGTCAAACAAAAGATCAAAGGCACAATGAACCTTACTTGAAAAGAATGCTCTAAAAAGGAAAAGATAATTTGCAACTTCACAAGTTCACACTCCACAACACCCTAACCCAAAGAAAAACCTTCTCTCCCAAACATTAAAATAAGAAGAGGAACCATAAAAGGAGGATAATCAAGCAAATCTTGGGATTGACATGAGCACACAATAAAGGTGGTCGGGCAACTGTACTATCAGACGGTACCAAAAGTGAGACTCTAATCATTTTTCAGCACACGGATAAATTAATTACAAGCATTCAAACCCACAAAAGAAAGCAACAAAGGCAATCTAGGGATCAACCTATGCTAATAACAACAGCAACGAGATATCTGTACTTAGAAACTGAGATCCTGATATCTTTAATACACAAACTAAGAAACTTTCCTTCATAAATATACCACCTTCACTTGACTCCAGACAGTGCAAACTACTAATATGGGCAGTATTTCAACTTAAGCATACACCATAACCTGGACTAGAAACGGCCCACAATCTAAGTAACACTTATAAACACTCTAACGCACAATTTCTTGCAGAAATGAAGGCTGTATACCAACAAGCTGTGTAAAACTATGTGTACGATTTCGTACATACTAAGTAACCCGAATTAGAGACAGCAGGCTGGCCAGTATATGAGAATATTTTACCTTCAAATGGTCATTTTTTAACAAGGCCTTTATGCACCAAAAAATAAATAAATAAATAATAGGCCTTTATCCAATGAGTAAGGCTTAGCTCACTTAGAGTTCTGTTCCTTTCTCACTATCTCGTTCTTTCCAGACCCTTTTTTGAGCTAGTATTCTAAATATTCTAAAAATTTTCAGACGTCCAAACTGCGCAAGGAAATTCTCAAAGTACTTCATCTATTACAACCATTTCACCTTTTCTATATGCATTCATCATTTATAGTTCATTCATATGCATGTATAGAACAATTTCGGAGCCACAGATCAACACTAGATTCAGTACAAAAACATTTCAATTTTTCAGGAATCAGGAAAAAAGAATAGCTCATCACCTCCAAAAAAAAATTAATTAATAACAAAAGATAAAACTAATGACAACAGTCATCTATACAAAGATAGGGTTTAAAACAAAAAAGATAATCTTTAGCTTTGAACTCATCCTCCTTCCCATGTATTTTTTGGACAAAAAACATCTTGGCAGTAAAATCAGTTTGAAGAAAAACAAGCTGTAACCATGCATAAAAGCATGTAACGACAGACTCCAGCCAAATGGCATTTCAGCAAAATCCACACCAAGGCTAATACTTGGAAACATCAGACCCCAACGATGACTTCAATACTTAGATGTAAACAGAAAAAGTTCCCAAAATTGTCAGATCGCAACTAAAATAACAACTTTGCACAGATGCGAAGCACAAAATAAGAAGACAGGCGAAACAAACAGATGATATACTTACTTTCCCCAAGAATTAGCTGCGGACGCCTCAGGTAGATGGCTAGTTACACTACCACTTGGGCTTCCATAAATCTTACTATTCTGAACAGCTTCTTCCTTGGGCAAAGAAAAAAGAAGATCTTCACTGCCAGGATTTGGCCGGAAAAATGTCTTGGGCAACCAACCATCATTACCGACAGTCATAGAACTATTGTGAGGTGTTCCACCGGTCTGGACATGGCCAAAAAGAACCTTCTGAGAAGAATGTGCACTGGAACAGACATGATCATCGTTCTTAAAAAGTGAAGCCATTGATTTCTGAGGTGCAGGAGCAGAATGCAAGACATCTTCATTCTTAGGTCCGCTAAGTTCAACAGGCAGCCAGCTGGAAGGGCTTGGAGTTTCCCACATATGAAAAGGTCGAGCTTCATTCAGATTAGTATACCCATCCACTGGAATATGCTGCAGGTCCTGGGGCCTTGAAGCACCTTGGAAAGAAAAAGGAATGGCATGCCTTTCTTCCGGAATTCTTAATCGTGAAATTGGAGACTCAATAGGAGATGGTCTACTGACTTCAGCAGGTAAAGGACTACTTTTGAAAGCAGATGGTGTTTCCAACCCTGTATCTGACAAAAATCCGAGATCCAACTGGAAGTTATCAAGAGATTCAGACACGGGCCCGAGCAAGGATGCCGGATCGGGAACATAACAAGGATCTGCAAAATTCTCTGACTCCTCCGGCAAATATTGAAGCGGTGCTTCTCTAATTTGAGGAAACATAGCCTCTGATGATGAAAGAAAACTTCTACTGCTGTTGTTCGGAGGTCCAGGAGGAAAAGAAGGCAAAGTAAAGGGCAGTCCAAAACTAATAGGGTTGTCAAATGCTGGAGCAGTTGGCGGCATGCTAGCTGGAAAGGGGTTATTAAGTTCTACTTTGGAACCTGTATTTGGCCTACTTATTACATTAGAATTAGCAGGGGGAGAAGAACAAGTGAACAGATGTTGCCATGACTTTTTAGGGGCCGGACTAGGTTGAGCTTCAACAGGCCCCTGCAGTTTAAAAATCAGGAAAGGTTCAGGTCTATTATCCTCAACCCAAAGAAGAAAAAAAAAACAGAGATAAAAGACCTAAAACATAAGAAAATGTAGCAACAAAATATCAATTACTGCCTGTACGCTGCAGAAATAAAGAGTCAGCAGACAAACACAGTCATTAATTAATACCATAAAGAAGTTCTATGCTAACATGTTCAGATTCAGGATCCAAAAGCCAACTTAATAGCAGCGATAATAACAATATATAGACAGACACAGAATGCTCCACAAGGCAATAATCAGGAGAGGAAAGATTTGGACCACTTACAGGAGGACGGATGTTGATCTTTTCATCTCCAATTACGCTTGTTGGTTTTGAAGATACACGATCGGTTAGAGGAATTTCTCTTTTATTTGCATGTATTTGAACTTGATCTACAAATGGACTAGATTTTGTTTCTCTTGAAGCGGCAGTATTTGATGTCTTTCCGAAAAAACCACCACCAGTAAATGCTCTAGAAGAAGACAAAAATGTGCCTTTCACGCGATCAAAGTATCTGCTACCAGCAATACTACCTCGGCTATGATTATGCGCGAGAGTACCTTTAAATGCATGGCCCACATCATTAACATGTGTCGCCTTCACACTTTCGGACACAGTTCTATGATTTTCTCGCCGCTCACAGTCACCTTTTTTGATTCGCTCACTTTCTTTGCTAGCTCTTTTCTCCATCTCTTCGACGTCAGAGTTACTTTTGCTAGATCCACGATCTCGTTCCTTTTTCTTTTCGTGACGTTTCTTTTCTGTTTGTTTCTTGCTCTCAGACCCTTTTAAAGGGGGCGACCTTTTGCCATGATGACCTTTCTCAGCCTCTATTTTTTCATCCCGCAATTTCCTGCGCTCCTCCACCAACCTAGCAACCTCCTCCCGTTGCTTCCTCTCCTCCTCCTCCAATAATTCCTTCTCCAACCTCGCTTGCCTTTTCTCCTCCGCTTTCCTGCGAGCCTTCTCTCCTCTACTCTCATGGAAAGGGCCCCCATTTTCACTCCTTTTATCCAACCCACCTCCTCTATCCCCATCCACTGATGATTCATCTCTGGATGCACTACTAATCCTAAAAAGCTTCCTACAAAGCCAGAGCATACAGAACAAAACAGTTGCAAATAACTTGCAAGCAAAAACAAAAATGCGATTATAAGACTTCTCCGCCAAGCAGTCATCATCTCCTCCTCCAAAAACTCCGCCACCGCCACTGGAATTCCTCCAATAACTCGATTTCCTGCCTAAAGATCCACCGCCACCAACCCAATTCCCGTTCTCCAGCCAATCCTGACCACACAGCCAACCATTATCCGACCAAACCTTACCGTTCAACATCCTCCCGCCTTTCCCCACCAAATCTTTCAAAATCCCCGAATTTGATCCCGGTGGCACGGGCAAATCCAAGACGGGCCTTTTCGAAACATGGCCGCAGTATGAACACATGAACTTCCCACCACCAGGATTCTGATCCCGATAAGGGGTCAAACAATTCCTACACTTCCTCGTAGCAGTCTTCCTCAACTTTTGCAACTCGATTGCCTCAAACCTCTTCTTCTCCCTAAGCCTGGCATTCCTTCTCACCCTCCAAGCTGACAACTGAGGCATCAAAATTTCGTACCAGAAAAGGGTAACCAAAAGGACAAACACGCAAGCCAGCCTGGGGGAAGTGATCTCAAACCGGAAAGCTGGAGGCAAGAGCTGGGACAACAGCCACAGCCCAATTAAAGGTATCACTAACCATGGCAACATGGTAGCCACCCTTCTTGACCACTTCTGAATCACACACAGTATACACATTATCCTCTTGTATCCCTTATATTAGTAATCTAACCCTAAAAAAAGTTCCCCCCCCCAAAGTCAGGGAAATCCTCTCAAATCATCAAAAACCCTAGCTTCCCTATCTGGGTCTCTCTGAAAAAGCAATACAAACACAATGGTCTCCCGTCGTTTTTTTTTAATAAACCGAAAAACCCTAAGCGGTGCGCGGCACGATTTCTTCTGTGCTGAAACTACCTAACATTTCAAGAAAGTGATTGGAAAGCAAATAATCAGAGAGCATTCGTCAAAAAATGGAAAAGACTTAGGGTTTTCGGAACGGTGACGTTTAGTAATTTCATGTGTTTTTTTTCAGCTCCGAAACCTCGAAAACACGGCAAGAATCAAAGTTGGTGGCGGGGGAATGTATGAATGCAATCATATCATTTCTAAAAGGGAACAAACCGGAAAGAATACAGAGGAGAGAAGAAGAAGAAGAAGAAAGAGAGACTTACAGAATGAATCGGAGGCGGCGAAGATTCATGGTAAAGTGTCGGAGATGGTACACACTTGGAGCAATTACCGGCAACGAAAACTGTAGACGACGATGATGATTAAATGGATTTCTTATTTATTATTACATTACTTTTCTTATTACCTCCGTTTATAATTTATATATACACGTAATTCCAATATTCATGTTTATTTAATATTTTGTACGCGAAAATGGCTGGAGCTGAAAATATGAAGCGGGAGTAGGGGTTTTGTTGGACAATAATTCTATGTTTTAAAAAATTGAGAAAAATAAAATAAAATAATTTACAAGTACTCATCAAAATTATTATACTCCCCGCAAACAAATTTAAGAGGTGCACCTATGTGACAAATAATAAATAGTTTATTATAGAGGAACTGTTTAATGATATGGGAAGAAAATTGTAATACCAAATTTCAGTAACAAAATTAGATTATTATTGCTCTCTTTGTCGTACAAAAATAATTTTTCACTTCAAAATTTTTGATTAAAAAACAATAAATTCACAAATTATAATGTGATTATTTGATTGGTAGAAAAATATATATGTTATTAATGACTTGTCACACGATATCACAAAGACAATTGCAATACAATACTATACAGTAGTTATAAAAATATCATTATATGTTCATATCATATATCATAAAAATGATTATTTAGTTTAGATTTTAGAATTTTATTTGTTGTAATGATCGTACTACAAGAGAAAATCTAAATAAAACAGTCATCATTGGGCACTAAAAGTATAAAATAAGTGTGTCATTAATGTGAACTTTTGTTTGAGTTCTTCCAAATGTATAAATTTAAGAAAGCGGAAAACACCGAACAAAGTGGCAATCACAATAAATGGGGGACTTAATAAAAGTGTATATTGACGATAATAGGAAGAGTTATCAACTGACCAAAAAAATGAAGCTTAAGAAAAAAGAAAAAAATAAAGGAAGGAAAAATAATTTGTGAGATGATGTGAGAGATAAGGTTTGTTGTTTTGATGGATTCGGTGGGCTGAAGACTTGATTGGACCGAAACTGAAGAAGAATCTCGGCTGAGTGATGGGCTTTTTGTGGAGACGGTGTAAAAGAAAGAACATCCTAATCGGACTTGGGTTTGTTAGAGGCTCAGTCGGTTCATGATATCATTAATGAGAGGTGTAGCAGCTCAAGAAATAGCTTTTCACCGTCAGCCGCAACCCACCTCCAAAATGATAATGCTTTTTAATATTTACTGTTTGAGATTTTGTCATCAAACATCGTCATCTGGGAGACAAGGATGCTGAATTTACTACCTGTACCGCATTATATATTGTAGTAGATTTAAGTGCCATCTTTGTAATGAATTTGGGTGTATTAATTGACAACAATCATTTGATTTTAGACGAATGTTTGTTTCCCAGGCCCATTAGAATTGGTGAGACACGTACCCATGGCCTAGAGGGCTTTCCTGCTGTGGGCGTTTTGATGAATCCGGCCCAGTAAAACTTTGTTGGCACAGCCCCTGGGCCAGAGCACCTTAAGCTTACTTGCTTGATGATGATAATTTTGACTTCTATTCATTTCTACACTTTCTTCATAGGGAGTCACTTTTTCAGTTAATTAGTGTTTGTCCCTCGATTTCCCAATTTATAATTTCTCTAAATTAGTGAAACAGAATACCACAGTACAGTAATCAATTATAACGGGCCTCCAAAGTTACACATATCGAATGGTGTAATTTCATCAACTATCGTCATAGTTACTCCCCCTATTTCAAAATGTAAGTTTTTTAAGATTCTGCACAAGACAATTATTCAACAATTAATTTATGTGTTAAATATTTGTTTTACCCTTTATTAATTAATTAAAATTATAAACAAGACTAAATAAAAATAGATTGACATCATTTATTGATGGTAAAGTTAAAAAAATAGTCATTAATTTGCCTAAAAATTATAAAACGACCAACACTTTGAAAAATCTCTCCAACCCTAAAACGACCTACAATTTGAAATGGAAGGAGTACTGAATAATGCACGGGGAAATCGTAAATTATTCTTACTACTATGAACATTTTACTAAGACAACGATTAAAATGTCATATATTGGAGCTGTAAAATGGGCGTTTTGGTCAGTAGCAGTAAGTAGTAACCTGCGATAAACATGAACCACACATCACCGTGTAAAATCAAACAGAGGTCAACCAACCAAAAAGGCATAAAGAAAGCTTTAAATCCTAACAATAATGAGGATAAAGTTTTTCTTTAAAATTAAAAAAAGAAAATAAAGAGAGAAAAACATGAATGGGGATGGCCACATGGGAAGTATCGCAGCCTCAAAAAATTAACTTCGTTCCAAAGCCCAGGAAAGATTATGACTTTGTTGATTGATGATATGTCTCCATGATTAAGGGGGTGCAGTGTTGGCCCAATAATAAAAAGAAGAACGTAGTGATGGATCAGCTCCCCTTTCTTTCTTCTCCCTTCTTTCTCTTTTGGATGTTTGGAGATTGGAGAGTGAGATTTTGACTGCTGTAATCATAGCAGATGCAACATCTGGTGGGTTCAAAACTCTCCACACACACACACACACCCCTACGTGAGTTTACACTTTAAAAGGGTTTAAATCCATCCAATAGATGATTAGACAGTTTTAAGACAAGGGTACTAGTATACAGCTTAGCTCCTATTCGGACCAAGTGATCCGCCATTCGTCCTTGATCAAAACAAACAAACACATGTAATGAAACTACTACTTAATCCCCGTCTGAGGAAGTTGTTTTCTTAGTATATACATCATCATAGATTAAATGATTAAATGTAGGGACCTTTAGTTTGCGCCATTTGCTTCTTAATTACTGCTGTTCATATTTGGCCTATGTATACACTTTTAGCTTGCGATTGAGTTTTACTTGGTAAATTCGTATCATGACCAATCCAAAATGATAAAATTTGAAGTGCGCGCATGCAATTGATCATATGAGATGAGCCCAAATAAATTCAAACCAACATTGTTTATCATGACTTGTGATGATAAGCAGAAAGGATGAATTAATGTACCTAGGATCAAATTATACATGGGAATAAGACAGAAATGGGTGCAAGAAGTGCCAACAAACCCACATGAGTCACCAGGATGGCAGGATCCTTTGCAATACATACGCGATATTGGAAGGGGAATAAAACTAATTGTAGCATTATATATAATTTTTAGAGAAAACTCTAAGATTGGTCCCATACATTTAGTCCAATACACATTTTCGTCTCAAACATTAACATTTCGAGAAAATGGTCTCAAATACTACAAGTTGTAACTTTTTTGGTCCCAATTCACTATTCCGTCAATTTTTCTGTTATGTTGACTATTGACCCAGTAGGGCATGGGTATTTTTGGTATTTCATATTTTTTAAAAAAGTTCAACGGTCCCTACTTTTACTCCAATTCAAATTTTGGTCCTAAACATTAAAACTTAGAGAAAAATGATCCCAAACATTATAGTTTGTAATTTTTTTGGTTTTAATTTACCGTTCCATCAACTCTTTAAATTAAAAAAACTCTTTAAATCAATAGCAAACTCTTTAAATTAAAAAATTATTAATTTATCAATAAATTAATAACTTTTCAAATTAATAATTTTTTGAGGCCCCATTATATTAATTTATAGAATTTTTGCTACAATCGACATTTGATTATACAAAATAGAATTAATAAACGGCACTTGGAATCGGTCATGATTAAAATATTAATTAAAAAATAAGTTATTCATAAATTATAATTACTTATTAACTCTTAAGTAAGGATTAATTTTGATCAATAATTAAAATTATTTTGATTATGTACAAATTTAGTGATCTATAATTATTTTACATAAGTCATTAATAGATTTTTGAAATGTTGTAATAAATCAATTAACAAATTATTTACTAATTAATCAAATAAACTTGTTTCAAATATATAGGAACGTGCAAGTAACATATCAAATAATTGAGTTTAGTCAGGTGGTTGGGTTATATTAATTCATGCAGGAGGTTAGGGGCTCGGAGTTCTCCAATATCATTTCATTTCTCTCCATTTATTAATGTTAGCTCGACCATTGTTGACATCAATAATTCTGGCCGCTGCTCTGCTAAAAACGTAGCATCTAAGTTCTTTATTTTAATATTTTTTTAATTTTTAAAAATATAAAATGCCGAAAATAATCCTGCCCATAGCGGGGTCAATAGTCAACCAACGAAAAAGTTGATGGAACAGTGAATTGGTATTGAAATAATTATAAACTATAATATTTGGGACCAAAATTTGAATTGGATTAATGTACGGGACCATTGAAAATTTTTAAAATTTTGAAATACCAAAAATACATCTGTCCGACCGGGGTCAACAGTCAACATAATGGAAAAGTTGACGGAACAGTGAATTGGGACCAAAAAAATTATAATTTATAATATTTAGGACCATTTTCTCTAAATGTTAGTGTTTGGGACGAAAATGTGTATTTGACTAAATGTATGGGACCAATTCCAGGGTTTATTCTAATTTTTATAATAATAATTAGTTGCCCACATTTTCGTGAACCCAATTATTGGCACTTTCCGTGCATTTGTTTTAATGATATAGAAAGCCTTGTGGCGGCAATTCAAAGGGGTTTGCACATGAAATTTCATGACTCCAGCTTGTAATATATTCTGACCAATAATCAGATCACAACTCTTAAGCCTTGTCTCATATAAAAGTGTAACGGGGATTTAGATATATTAGATACGAGGATCCCCCTATCTCCTATTATTGTGTTTTCCTAATCCAACTGGTCCAATTTTCATGGTTATTCGTATACATACATGGTGAACGAGGTGTGTGATACATATTACTGGATTTTTTTTTGTGATTTAATTTAATTTTACTCGAGTAAATTCCAAAAGTTATTTCAAAATCTTACCCACTTAGTGCACTTAACTACTTATGACTAAATCGGTTGATTGAATGCAACCTATGAGTGCCATTTTGGTTGGATGGAAGTGATATATTTTTTATTTTTATTTTTATTTTGAATGGAAGTGTGTAATTGATATACATATCGTATATGGTAGTACTAGTAGTAAATTGCTGGTCAACTATATATTGCGTAGCTCTACAAAACGCTATGATTGGATCCCGTGCCCTTATCGTGTAGTTTATTCTGAAATAAGAGTCGTTTTTAACAAAATAAATAAATTTTGAAATAAGAAT